TTCCTCAGATTCGGACTTTACGACAAGATCATCTCCGATAGAGGCCCCCAGTTCGCCTCGAAACTCGCAAAAGAACTTGGACGACTCCTTGATTATGATATCGCCCTCTCCACTGCATATCACCCTCAGACAGATGGACAGACAGAACGATTAAACCAAGAACTAGAAACCTATTTGCGCATCTATTGCCGCACCACCCCGACTGAATGGGCCAAACATCTTCCTATGGCAGAATTTGTCCACAACCACCGAAAGCATGACGCCCGCAACGCATCCCCATTCTTCCTCACCATGGGCTACAAACCACGCGGTATCCCCTACGCATTCCCCGAATCCACCATCCCGACCGCAGAAGAACGATTGACTAGACTCCAGAAAGCTAGAGAAGAAGCCCTCGCCTGCCACAACCTTGCAATGCAACGCATGGCTGAAAGATCACACGGACAAAAGTATGAACCCTGGAAGCGTGGAGACAAGGTTTGGCTATCTGCCTCACACCTTATTACCCATCTCCCTTCCAAGAAGCTTGCTCCGAAACGACATGGCCCCTTCGAAATCATTGACGTCTTATCCCCAATCACGTTCAAACTCCGATTACCTCCATCATGGAGAGTTCACCCCGTCTTCCATGCCTCCGAGCTATCATCCTATCGAGAGACAGAGATCCACGGTCCGAACTTCACTGAACCACCCCCTGAACTGATTAATGACGAAGAAGAGTACGAAATCGAAGCCATCTTAGCTCACAAAGGACAGAAAGGACGCCGCAAATTCCTTGTATCATGGAAAGGCTATCCAAGCTCCGAAAACTCGTGGCTCCCTGAAGTTGAACTTATAAATGCAGCCGACACCCTCCAAGGCTATAAAGAACGACTTCGACTCTCCCGTCTTCTAGCAGCAGAAACATCATCATGAATCCCCTCCACCAGAACAATATCCCATTCACGACTCGCATCGTCCCTTACATGCATGAAAACTATCACCGATACCTCCTTGATCCTCTTGCCCTAGAGACATTGAAAGAAACACTCCACGACTCCCCCCTGCTTGATGCTCTCTGGAATGCCTATGTGCAGAATGCCAGAATCACTTGCGCTCTCCTGAACGATAACATCCCCACCCACGTCTCGAACGACATCCTCCTCATGTTGAACACCCAAGCCGAGTTCTTGATGAATGCACTTGATGAAGGAGATTTCCATGATAGATTGGTTGAAGTTGGTCGAGCCCTAGCTCCCACTAGACCCTCCACCCCCATTATTGAAGTAGAACCATCTAGACGATGCCGACTCTGTGGCCATTTGAATGGTCATCATACGAACACCTGCACCTCCTACGTCTGCCTTGCCTGTCGAGCCTCTGCTCCAGGACACTTCTCAGAGATGTGCCCCTTCGCCGGACGATTTTGATTTGTAGAAGTCGGTGACTTCACATCTTGAAACGGAGCTAATGTTACAGTAACATGAAGCCCCTATCTTTTTCTGACCCTTCACCCCGTCACAACGTCACACCTTCACCTCTTCACGATTCACCATGATGCTTGATGCACTCCTTGATCCCCGCCGACCCTGACCTTCTGTGATAGAAGCTAGATGCTTCCATTTGGACCCTTGATCCATGGCCTCATGGCCTTACTTCCTTTTTCCTTGATATTCCCATCCCTGACCTCATGGCCTCCTGCCTGAGCCCGCCTTCCCGATATATCATTTCTTGACCATTGTACAATTACCAGACCTGCCCTGAACACTGAGATCCTTACCTATATATAGTCGATCCACTTGTACTATTATTCCTTAACTTGATTCTACTGGGTTTTACCTTGACTTGTATATTCTCTTGAGTTAACTCTCTTGAGTCTGATCACGAACCCTCTATACTCTTGGATCGCTATCCTTGAGTCCGATACATCTTCTCTTAGACCGTTTGTCTTTGAGTCGATACCGATCCCTCGTTTAGACTTAACCGTCGAACACGAAACCCTTCTTCGGCCGCTGCCTTAGAAGCTTACCTCCCCTTCCGTTCTGTCACAACCTGACGGCTTAGGCTACCAGGTATATTGACGTTCAAACCGATACACGACACGATAGCTTAGGACCGTCGTCCTTCGCTTACCTATCCCAGTCCGACTACGACCGTTGTCGTAACAGCCAGTACCATCCCCACAGCTCTGGCCAGCACCAATGTGCATGTACAAGCAGAGGTCGGCCAGTACCATCCCCACAGCTCTGGCCAGTACCAATGTGCATGTACAAGCAGAGGTCGGCCAGTACCATCCCCACAGCTCTGGCCAGCACCAATGTGCATGGACAAGCAGAGGTCGGCCAGTACCATCCCCACAGCTCTGGCCAGCACCAATGTGCATGTACAAGCAGAGGTCGGCCAGTACCACCCCCACACCTCTGGCCTGCACCAATGTACATGTACAAGCAGTGGTCAGCCAGTACCCACATGTATAGACAGCCTCACCTAGTGGTTGGCCAGTACCACTCTCACACCTCTGGCCAGCACCAATGTACATGTATAGGCAGTGGTCAGCCAGTACCCACATATATAGACAGCCTCACCTGAGTGGTTGGCCAGTACCACTCTCACACACTTGGCCGGCACCAATGTGCATGTACAGGCCGGTGCTGGTTGGTACACATTCTACAGCCATTTGGCACATCCGGGGCACCACTTGTACATAGGGTTATGACTGAAGTATGTGGCTGTGCACCCCTTGGCTGTTCCTACACAGCGAAACACGATGACTTTCTTGGGGTCGTCCTTCTTGTGGCAGCGAATTGCTAGGCGTATGAGTCGAGGATCACCTGGACGTCCCCCTTTCCCTTTCGGAATTGGTTCTGGAACATCTACATAATCACTGTGATTGATCGTTAAGGCCTCTATGTCATCCCCCGCTTTGGGTTCGACTTCGATGACTGTTTGAGCGGGAATCTTATGAAACGTGGTGTAAGTCATTCAGACTATTGATCGTGCATTCAGCTGTTAAGTTCACCTCTTTGTTTGCAGCCTTATAATGGTACTCCGCAGCTTTCGATAGATCTTTCATCCATTTTTGCAGTATCGCAGAGTCAGGACACACTTGCAGCGCAGCCCGTAACACTTTGACCACTGCAATGAGACCAGGCCTGCGTTCTGCAAACTCAAATGGGCAAGGTGCGGAGTCGTCTCTTCGTCCTTTTGGTGCAAAGGCCACTTCAAGCTCATGGTTGAGTGCTGCCTCCGAGGTCCCGTATAATTCAATCTTTTCAGGATCTGGAGAGAAGTGTTCGAAGTTGTATTTTTGGTTTCCTAGGGGTATATTGTCTGGGAGATGGCATAATGCAGTTTCGAGCCTCGCTAATGAGGTATCATTGCTGATAACTGTCTCAAAGAAGTCCATAGTCGAAGAAAGGTAGCAAAACCGTTGTTCTAGAGACTATTCGGCTCTTCTCTTGTCTCTGTATAGTCAACTCCGACGCTCAACAATGTTCTATTAACGCTATGGTATATTTAGAATTTTTGACAGTTTTCGACACCCTCAAAATGCCCTCGAGTTTTCGACACGTCATGAACACGTTAAAAACATGTCAAAAACTAGTAGTGTCAAAAACTCTGGAGTTTTTCACGGAACACTAATGGCAATCGTACGTCCTCATCTATTTACTTCTTACCTTGGCAACATATTCCGCGCGCATCATCAGGCAAGCTACTGTCCACCACACTAAGAGTCTTCAAGATGACTTCTTCGAAGCTTCGAAGGCGGAGGTTCGGGAGATGAAACTCAATGATGTTTAAGTAGGTCCCTCTCTGTCGGTTGGTACACTCGACTCGTCCGTGGCGAGCGACCACCCCTCAAAGCCTGACAACTGGTTGTAAAAACGTCCTGGAAGTGCACCCACCCGCAGAGAACCAAGCTATGCACCATTTCCCTACTCGACTTGCCGCTACTTTGAGCCTTATGGTCTAGAATCTGCTGGTTTCAGCGTTTTATCGAGCCCTCTCCGATCGTTTGCTCTGTCTATCACTTGTTCACTTGACAAGACATGTGGTCGTTCATCGAAAACCCGCCTTCGTTGGTTTCCTGTGATCATGGCCTGCCTTTCCATCGGTTCGAGGATACATACGCTGCGACTTATGGTTCACGAAGAGTAGAAAAGTTTTTCCATGCGCATTGGATGCCGAGAAGTGTACAGAAAGAAGGAAATTCGATTGCGAGTATGTACATATCCAACATCAATCACATCACAACATCCCTCGTTAACTACATTATGATAATCCGCATGCTCAAGCCTTTTCAATTGTGACCAAAAAACATAGCAAAAGTATGCGCGAGAACTGGGAATTAGGTCGCTCTTCAGCACTCAGCAGCACTGGTCACCACTCGTCAACGACGCACGCGATACATGATATTCGTGCTATCAGAGAACCTATGTAAGTTCCTCCCTCGAACTTCTGTACAGAAATCCAGTTACGACTTGCACGTAAAAGGAGCTCGACGAGCAAGAATGTGAGACGCTGTCAGAGAAGGCACCTGCCGCTCGCCATCTTCTCATCCGCAGGAGACGAAGAAGCCAATTTCAATTTCAGCAGGACACGACAGAACTTTCCTGGAGCTGGAGCACTCTACGCATAGGGCACCGCGTATCGCAGTGTCAGATAATAAGGTGCACAACCTAGATAGGCTCGCTCCACCTCAGGTTCACAAATAATGAGCTACAGATCAATCCTCATGAAGAAGTCGAGCATACCTCCGCTATATTTTCCGCCGCGGTCTACCTTCAAAGCCATGTAGCCTCAGAACATTAAAGCAAGCTCCCGTGATGTCGAGAAGTCACCAGGACGTGGTGAGGTTCGAGTCGGACACACATGGCGGTCAAGAACGGTGCCTCCGAACCATGGGTAGACACATATGTCGAAGGCCTGAGCTGGCAGAGGGTGCTATATGGCGACCTCAGGTGCAGTTTTTCCCAATTTGCTCATAATACGACATGAAAGACACGTTCTTGACTTCCCGTTATTGACGGGACACCAAATGAGTTTGCTCTTCACAATACTAAATGCGATGATCAGGATGATGAGGAGCTGGATACTATGAAATTTGAAGGTGTGCTCTCACTTACGTCGCTTCGTGTGCATGGATGACAACCTCTGTCGCGCAAGGAGAAAGTGTAGTTCGAGGAACGGGTGAGGGACTTTCCGTGTGACTTTGGATGGGGGGTAGTGGGTATGCGTGGATCGGTCGGGGAAAAAAAAACGTAGGTATTGAGGTTATTGGCGTTCGAGCCGGCGGTCACCAAGGCTGCGTTACTGAGTGTTTGATTTTCAGATTGCTCAAGGACAGTGGAATTTGCCCAGGAACACATCAACTCAGTAATGGATCATGTGATGTGGTGATTGTGGCCTTGTGTGTTTACGCTCCGACCGGTCCACAATTCATGAGGCAAGTATTAAAGGCAGGGTTCCTTCAAACCAGCTTCGCATCTTACTCGCACGTCATGAAGCCTATTACCACATTTCCATTTAGTTACCTCCCAGTTGAGCTTGTCCTCATCATCCTCAGATATTACGCGCAACCCACCTTTGATCAGACTGCTCCACATTCCTCTAAAAGTCCATATTCTAATGCACGCGCCCTCTGTCATTTCTCCAGAGCTGTCAGGCGGGCGGTACTTCCAGAACTCCTCCATACCATATGGCTTGGGGACGATATCACAGTGACAGTGTTCGTGCATGCTCTACATATGCAACAAATGTACGCGGAGAAAGCAAACCACCTCCGTTTCGACTACATTCCCCATGTGCACAAGATCTGGATCGGACCCCATGGTGGCCGCGATCTCTCACCTTACCGTTTGCGCCGCATCCGGGCCTATACACTGATTGAGCGTCCGCTTGCCATCAGCCTCCTCTCTCCGGTTCTACTCGCTGCACCATCCATTGCCCTTCACTGGACAAGTATGGACCTTCTTGAAGGATGTCTGGAACATGCATGGAAGTCCTGTGCAGCCACACATGCCAACAACGAACATTCCCCACCCCCCTGGAACACCCAAACCCTGATCCTGTCGCATGAGCCCCTCACCAGCGACGCACGGTGGGGGTGCCTCACGGACACTCCCCAGGGATCTGCATTCGTAGCATCAATCTCTCACCTCTCAACCACCACATCCACCCTCTGGTCGAGGACATCATCCTACCGCATGCCTCCGTGGATGGAGGTCACTCCATGGGCTTCTTTCAAAAGCCTTCAAATTGTCTCACTGCCGTACTTGCTTGCTATCGAACCCCTCGTTGATATCAGGCTGGTGAACAGACGTGAAATCAACGTGCACGTCGAGCTGTTGACATTGCCTGCATCCCTGATAAGGGACCACCGCGACTGTATTCCCAAGTTGATGAATAAAATAAAAAAGGCGTTGGATCAGAGAAGTTTCGGAGAGGAGATTATTGGATCAGATGGTGTTCATTTAAAGGTGCTCCCTTCTGGCATTGTGCTCCCTTCTGGCAGATACCGCCTTACTTATGAGCCGAAGAAAGTTTGGGCAAGCATGTTGTAAAGTGGACTTGGGGCGTTATGATATGATTGGTATTATGAATTTGTACATATATCCACTTCTCGGCACCCTATGGACATTCTTTATGTACTACATAGTAAACGCATCCTCCTAAAATTACCGCTACTTTGTATAGCGAGTCTCATCGTCCGACTTCTACGATGAAGTTCTGGCTTCAGTGTAAATACTAAAATTTATTGATCCCCCGCATGGAATCGAACCGGTGTTCAATTGTTTGCTTTGTTCACCGTCTATCAGTGTTGCTCGTGCACCTGAAAAGGCACGCGGTTGTTCATCAAACCCACCCTCGATAGTTCAGATATGAGCTTGTATGAGCTGTGTCCGAATTGGCTTCCTCGAAGGCGGAAGTTCGGGAGTCCAACATTTATGAGTCGGTGGAGTCCGTCAACGGGTGATAGCCATTGGCAGCTTGAAAAGGTCCCAAGGGTACTCGCAGGAAGGGAAGATATCGAAAAAGCATATTCTCCACACGCTTGGCAAAAGGTCTTCGGCGAGATTGACATGGTGACACTTCACATAAATGAGGATAGGCACCGGCCACTCATTCAGAAATGCTTTGATCCCGCGTGAAGATGCGTGGTAGAAGGGTGGCTCTCCCTCATCCAGCCATCTGTGAGACAGAATAGCGTACTTGACATGGTTGGCGGGATCGTAGAGCCCATCTGGCACAGAGTTCCGGAAGTGCTTCTTCACATCATTACGCCCGCCAATCTTCATGTCTGATAGTCGTATGAGGCGGATCGGGATGTCATTCATCACATAACGGTTGAAATCGATTAGGTTTTGCGATTCCCGGGGGACCATCATGACGACAGGTCGATACTAACTGTAAACCGCGATGAACGTATGCAACAAACCTGATGTAGCATGGTCACCTACGTGGATGTCAAGCTCCGATGTGATGCCTGCACGATGAAGATGTTGAAAAAGGTAGTTTCAACGATGACAGTGTAACGTCGATACGATCTGTTAATTATCGACCTGATATCTTCAGTTCCTGAGGCCTGAATAGCTGAAACACATTCGAAGCATGACCTCAAGCGTCTGATGTAGATGTCGCTTTCATCAAGATGCCTGCGATTCACGGCGGGGAATTCGGTCCGAATAAAATTGGTACAGGGCGTCAAGATGGAGCTCAGCTGGAGAAGGCTCGTGGATGGGTTTTGACAGCAATAAAACATACCTGACAGGTTAGCAAATGGCCCATCGGATAAGTTGATTCGAACACTAGCAAAACGACGATATTGTTGAGCATCGCCAGTGGTACCAGCGCGTCACGACAGACTTCTAACTCACTAAGAGATAGAAAATTGTGTGCCACGGGGTGGGCTGCTGAGCCGCCTCCGAGTCACAGGCTGTCAGTCGAACCATGAAAGGGTCACGTGGTCGTGTGCCATTATTATCATATCCCCGGGCCCTTCTGGGGCTTAGATAAGTGATTAAGTTACGAGAATTACTCAACATCAGCGCGAATTGACTCGGGTCAAGCATGACATGTCGACAGCCAACTGACATTGAAGGTAGGTAAAATTTTGATACCCCTAGGTTTCCGACATCTTCACGTACGGCTGGAGTCGATGGCGAAGAAGATGGCGGAAATTTTTGACGCCCGAGCTTATCAGCCGCTGAAAATTTTGGACAACACGTAGTGTCCACACATTCGGCACACCCTTAAGAGAGGAGCTTGAGGAACTCTTGACTTCACCACCATGGCTCTCTCACCCTTAATTATCCTGTTCTTGTTACATATTCCGTTTCTTTGCGCCTCACTGCCAAACCTCAATGACACCAGCATCTCTGCACTCGATGTTAGCGAGTCCCCATCCACCGGTAATACCAGATCCTTGTGGGACATCATCTGGAGTTGCACTGCAACTCTGTTTGCTTGCACATGGACTGCAATACACCCAAACATCCCGGGTATGGAGGAGGGGATAGTCACCGTTTGGTCTCGTCGCCTAGGCATCATGATCGTGGCGCTCATCGCCCCCGAACTCATAATCACCTGGGCCACATTGCAGTTTCTAAGTGCTCGTGGCATTGCAAAGGACTTCAATGATGCCTTTTGTGCACGACTTCGCCAGACCCGCGGTAGTGGCCATTCAGATATAAGACAGAGCATGGCCACCGCATTGCTTGGAATACCAACATCAGATGAAAGGAACAGACAGCGTCCGAGCGCTCCGCATGCTGCAGATCGCAATTTTAGAGGTCAGTTACTTTTTCAGCCCTTCGGTGCAAAAACTAACTTTGTTTAACGGATGGCTCACAGAGTGGACAGTGACGCATGGATTTTTCGCATGGATGGGCGGATTCATGCTCTATGTCAATGACGAGCCGCAAGCCACTCTTCGACCTGACGAAATTTTGTCCTTTGTCCGTAATAGATCAGTGGACGTACCCGCCATCGTGGAGGCAGATATAGAAGATCGAAGCAAGGGCGATGCACTATCCAAAGGCATCGCGGTTCTTCAGCTGGCGTGGTTCGTTCTCCAGCTTGTTGCCCGTCTTGCCCAGAATCTTCCGATGACACTACTTGAAATCGACACCCTGGCTGTAGCTGCCTTGTTCAGCATTGCCTATGGCTTTTGGTGGAAGAAGCCTAAGGATGTAGGGCGTCCTTATGCTGTTCATTGGAAAGCAACATCTCCGCCAGGAAGATTAGCCTACAGGTATGTCGTCAACATTCTTGCCCGAATTTTTTTTTATCTGCATGCATTCTAGCCAAGCAAGTGAATTTTTGTCCGACAAAAGCTGGTTTGTGTATCTTGTTCCTTTCTTGAAGCCCTTGATTGGTTTTATGGGCATTATGGTGATCATTTCTCCCCATGCCGTCCGAGAACATCGGGTTCCGTCTTTAGGTGGCTATAATGATCATCTTAATGGGAGTGATAATCATGTCATTACACTTTTCATTGGTTGTGTCAGTGGGATGGTGTTTGGAGTGATACATTGTCTAGGTTGGAATGTTTTGTTTCAGGGGCATGTAGAGCAGATACTATGGCGTGCGGCTTCCCTTGCTATAATATCCACGCCGGCATCTATTCTTCTGCTGTTTTGCTATGTCATTTGGGGAACGAGGTGGACTTCGCTGGGTAGAAGCGTAGCTATCGCTCTAGCCGCTAGCTTTTTCATATATATTGTTGCACGCGTTACACTAGTCGTACTCTTATTGATGAGCTTACGATCGCTGCCTCCTGGCGTATACGATGCAGTAGCTTGGACCAAGTTTTTTCCACACTTCTAGTTTCCTTTTACTTACATTGCGGCCATGATTATGAACTTGCTGCCTTTTTCTGGAATCACTAATCAGAGATGCGAGCATGACTCAGATGACAAGGTAAAGCCGTACTGCATGATTGTGAAGTAACGAACACGGTTCCAATATATGAATGCGACCACGACGCCGTCTAAATAAGCTGCATGCAATCGAGGAGATTTGAGCATCATATGTACATTTTTTCGCAAAATCCATCAGCGCGCCACAACCATATCGTAAAAGGGAGGAGGCTTACAGGCAGTGAAGATATTGCAGCGGACAATGCGATTGGAATGAGGGTCTTCCAGGACCTAGGTTTCTCACATAAAAATGACGCACCATGCTAAGTCATGGAACTCGATGCTCATCCGGCAATGCGCGACACGCTGGTCCAGCGTGAACATGCGTGGAAGCCCCAGGAGTGCCAGTGGTTAGAAGATGTCTAAGTCGTGCTCGCGCGCGTACGTATAAGTCATCCAATTCATCGAGTCGGGACAGTCTCCCTCAACGTGTCGTGGTGAGCATATAGTGCAGTATCTCCGAGGTTGTTGAGTGTTATGTATATGCATGTTGGAGTCTCCAGGTGCCTCTCGATGCATACCGTCTATATTCTCCCCACCCTAAGTTACTCTTTTGCTGTATAGACGTACAGGTCATGATCTAAATCGAAGAGCAATAGACTTACACACGAATATAATATACGGCTCTCCATTCTTCTGCAAAATCTACTGCGTTCTGTGAGGGTGATGGATACGATCAATGTGAGAGCATTTTACGGGAATGCGGAATTTGCTTAATACCTTCGATAAGCAGTCCTTCGCCAAGGCGGGCGACTTGTGAAGTGATTGAGCTGTGCCAATTCGGGACGGTACCGAACACGTCGATTCAATACGCAGGTGTCTGGTTCGCAAAGGTCAAACTTATCATGACGTTGATGCACTTCAAGGCACTGAAAAGATGCGCTTAAAATTCTTGGGACAGTATTAGTCGGTGCGAGTGTCCTGTTACATGGCGGCATCACTGTGCACGCGTAGTGCTAGAGAATAAGGAGGCTAGCCACTACTCGGTGTGGTGTAAAAGAGTTAGATATGAGATCGTACCTCCAAGTGCAATTCTGCGCGCCGTCTAGCGACCTACGGGTTGATCAGCAGCAACCAAGATACTACATTATATCAGCTGAGTTGTTATATTAAGATCCGAAATACGTACTTGCTAGCAAAAACGTAGATGAAAACACCAGTTAACACTGGATGCCCACCAAAACGAGACATGACTTACGATACAACCACTAGCAGTAAATCCAGGGAATATAGCATTGGCAGCAAATACTATGGTGGCGAGATACTTGGGCTTTCTGTAGACGGCCTCAAGGTATACCTTCTCTCCACCGCTGTGAGGGAACATGGCGCCGAACTTGAGCCATATGAAGCTAAGCAAGAAAACAAGGACCCAGAGCATGAGGGAGGCGCCGACTGAGCCCACGCCGGATAGGATGGAGGACGATGTGGAGAATATACCAGTGCCCATGATCCATCCAACAATAAGGAGAGTGCAAGATGGTAACGGCCCATGCCTGCAGCGGTATCTGGAAAAAGTCAGACGAGCAAGTTGAAAAATGGCGAGCAGTCGCGCCTTCTTCGAGGGTCAGTTCTCCGGGATTCAGGTCAGTATCATCGTTGGGTTGTATCTGAATCTTGTGATCCTTTTCGCTGAGCTGTAAGTCGAAAGCACGGTCATCCTGGTCCTCTTCCTGCTGCTTGTTCAACCGCGACCACGAGGCAGTGGGAATTCCTGTGGATGAAGTGGGAGATATGAACACATGCTAGCAGCGCGCGCTTCGACGCAGATTGTGGGACAGGAACAAGCAGGATGAGAAAATAAACGAGCGCCGAGCAAGAGAAAGCAAGCAGGAGACGAGATCGAAGAGTAGGCGTTAAGATGAGAGAGGTTCTGGCACGATAGACGACAGTTCGTTGGAAGATGTATTGTGCGTCCCCGTCAAGGACGTCTGTTTCTGGGGAGAACAGGAAGAGTCTCAAGACTGCGATGGAGTTCCAAAAATCTGCGTTGAACCAGTCATAAATGTGTGATGATGCGAAGATGCATCCAGGCTAATAGACTCGCATTTCACGAAGCTGCATGAGAGTGGTCTCATGCTCTGCAAGACAAAGATCATCCGAGGAGTTGCGTACCAGGGATTAGTTGTGGCATCGGGGAAGTCTGCGATGCTCGACTGCCTGAAAACAGGAAGAAACTTGTGCTATGTCACGGTATGGTGAAGCAGTAACCGTGGGAGAAGTAAAAGAAGTCAGTTTTACCTGGGATGCATTGAGTGGGGAGAGGATGTGGGGGAGTGGTAGTCTTGACTTTGCGGGGTCTATGGGTGAGTTTGAAGTCGTATGCCATGAGACTGGATGCGGTACTATGAAACTATCCTGATACCCCGTGAGCCTGCTGTCGCTTGCTCTCCGCGTGTTCTATGTCGGGGCAATATATACAATCGTTGAAGCGTCTGGAGTGAAGTCACGAAGTCAGTAAACGGAATGGGTGGCTGTGCTTCTTTTTAACTTGTCACACGCTTTCACTGGCAGTACTACTCGTTGTATCGTCCGCTGCAAAGTTTTCATGCTGTCAGTTCAGTATGGAAATACACGTGCAGTCTGAGCGCTCAACCTCTTCTCCTCTCCCTTTCAGCTGAACTCCATCCACGTCCCGATATCCCCAACCCCGTCTTCTCCTTCCACTCCTTTCGCCCATCACTCAGCCCATCCTCAATCCTCATCGTCTTACTGCATCATGTCCGGTACCTTAGAAAGCCAGTCTATCAGACTTGAAGGTAGGTCACTCTGTATCGCCTTCGTATCCGTTTTGTGATCCTCACGCTCTATCTTCAGTTATCAGCGCAAAAAATCTCAAAATTCCTTCCAACCGCTTTCCCGCTGGCATTTACGTATCCATCAATGTCGACTCGAGGGGATGCTGGAAATCAGCCATCAAAGTCTTATCATCCGACAAATCTGTAGTGTGGGGTGATGCTGTGACCCTGTAAAATACAAGAAAACGTTTGGACCTGATTCAAGAACTAATCTTCGGTTTACAGATCATCACAGGCGTCACCTGCATTATCAATTGAGATCAGGGTATCCTATGAGCTCGATCGAATGCTAGGCAATGGCAAAGTCATCGGAAAACTCGAAACGTCGTGGAATGAGTTGCTTGATCATCCAGATGAGCCTTTTGGTGAGTGATTCGCTCCTTACTCATGCACATCTACTAACACATCGTAGAACTGTCCTTCCCACCTGTTGGTGGTGTCCACCCTTCCCTCACGTTAAAGACTGTCGTTGTACATGCTTGCGACAATCAGGACGGCGCACTGTTTGTTGTGAGTGACGCTGGTCTCTGCTGTTAGCTTATGCTGATGGAACCCCAACTGTAGTCCCTCGTAGACTGCGAGATTGCTCGAGAGACAGGTGAGGGCCACACACGACTTGCCGAGTACATGTCCAGGGGGACGGTCTGTCACCTGAACAATGCTGTGAAGCATTTTCAGCTGGTTCTGGACCAGTGTCCGGTCGGCCATCCTGACCACGCAGCAGCTCTCACCAACCTTGCGTGGGCCCGCCTTGAAGGTTATATTCGACATGACCCCCAAGACATCGACAACATCACTTCCCTCCTCCGCGAAGCCCTTGAATTGCGTCCGCAGGGCCACCCGGATCACGCGTCATCTCTTTATCGTCTCATTCGAACATTGAACTGGCGCTACAGCAGGGAGCACGCCACCGTCTACATTCACGAATCCGCACAGCTGTGCTGCAAGCTACTGCCCCTCTGGACAGAGGGCACCTACCTTCGTAGCATCGTCCTACACAGCGCAGTCGATTATGTGATTCCGCGATGCAACGATCTTCCAACCGATGCATCTAATGAAGGCATCCGCCTTCGACGAAACGTGCTCAAACTCTGTCCTCTGGGTCATCAACACCGTGCCCGCGCCCTTGACGAGCTTGCACTTGCAGTCGAGGCACGCTTCGACCAGCATGGGAGCATTGATGATCTAGAAGAGAGCATACAACTTGGTCGTGAAGCTCTTTCTTTGTGCCTCGAGGAACATTCCAGCCGTGATGGCTACCTGATTAACTTGGCATTCTCACTCAAGTCCCGCTTTGTTCACCAAGGCAAATTTGATGACCTCGATGAGGCCATCACTTTGTACGAAGAAGCGCTGCGCCTGTGCCCTGTTGGGCACGCATCTCGTGATTTCTCATTGGACAACCTAGGGGGCGCCCTCCACACCCGTTTCAACCATCGTGGTGACATTGATGACATCACCCGAGCTATCAGCCTTCATCGCGAGGCATTGACGTTGCGCCCATCTGGGCATCCACGTCGTGACATCACGCTCAGCAACCTTGCCCTCGCGCTTGAAACCAGATTTAAAAAATTACATGTCAGCGAGGAATCTGCCGATGATCTCAACGAGGCCATTGATCTGTATCGTGAATCCCTTCGGCTAACGGGGCATGATCATCCCAAGCGCCATGTAACTCTTCACAATTTGAGCTCGGCGCTCTGCTCTCGTTTCGCGCAAACTCGACAGAATGAAGATGTCAAGGAGGCGATTGATCTCTGTGAAGAATCATTATTGGCATTGCCTTCATTGCACCCGGGTAGATACTTCAGCTATATGAAGCTGAAGCAGGCCTATTTGTCGCGTTACCGAGTGCACAACAACCCTGTTGATTTGTCACTTGCAGTGGAGAACTTCAGACTGGCGTCAGGACACCCTACTCAAGGATTTCCACGACGTATTGTGACAGCCCGGAACTGGGTCACCGCAGCAGAGCAGCACAGTCATACATCTGCGCTGGAGGCCTACAACACATATTTTGACCTTCTTGACAGTCATCTAGCAACACAATCATCAACAATTTCACGGCGCGAACCTGCCACTGCCTTTCGTAACACCAGATCACTGCCTGTTGATGCAGCATCGTGTGCCATCTGCCTCGACAATTTACGACGCGCAATCGAACTCGTGGAGCGGGGCCGTGGCCAACAGTGGTCATTGGCCTCTCGCCTGAGGAGTCCACTCGAAGACCTCGAGTCCACAAATCCAATCCTAGCTCACAAGTTCTCCGAGCTCAACAAGCGTCTGTCTGACGCTCAAGGTTCCGCAGGCAGCACAGACCGAGCTGCTGCTGATCGCGCAGCAATAAAATACAGGAAACTGATGGAGCAGTGGGACGCTGCGGTGGCTCAAATCCGTAATCTTCCAGCTTTCTCGCGATTTCTACTCCCGCCATCGTATGCAGAGTTGCAACTGGCAGCACGTCATGGACCAGTCATCATCCTCATTGCCAGTACAAAATTGTGCGGAGCCATCATTGTCCCGACGTCAGGAGAGCCCCATCATGTTCCCTTACCGTCTATCACTCTCGCAGATCTGGAGAATCTCAAGGGCCGCTTTGCCTGGGCAATACGGCAAGCATCTCAGATGGGCCTGACAGAGTCGAGGACCGACCTCATAGTACTCTTGCGGGTAGTATGGCACAATATCATGCTACCTATCGTCAACGTACTCGAGCACGTACTCGAATTCAAGCGCCGGTCTCGTATCTGGCTATGTCCAACTGCAGCTTTCACGTCCATTCCTCTCCATGCAGCTCACCCCTTTAAAATGAAGGCAGATCGATCTGGGTGGGAGCCATCTCTGGAACATCTCTACATCTGCTCGTACACGCCGACACTTTCGGCTCTGATCAAATCTAGACAGATGATGAAGACATGTGCGAGTCCGTCCTTCGCGGCGATTGGACAGGGTCAACCTGGTTCAGGGAAAGGCAAGGAACTCTTGGCTGTTGACAGCGAGCTCGAGCTCGTGCAGAAGCTTGTCCCTGTGGCGGCCATGCGTACCACTATTTCTGGCGAAGCAGCCACACGAGCAGGTGCACTCGAAGCTTTGGAACAGAACTCATGGGTGCACCTTGCATGTCATGGCAAGCAAGACCAAGACCAGCCTTACAATTCCCATTTCGTTATGAGAGACAAACCTCTCACGTTGCTTGATATCATGGAGAAAGACATTCCGCACACCGAGTTCGCGTTCTTGTCGGCGTGTCATACTGCTGCCGGAGATAAGAAGACGCCGGACGAAGTCATCCATCTCGCAGCTGGCATCCAATTTTCAGGGTTCAAGAGCGTCGTTGGCACACTGTGGGAGGTCGACGACGCTGTCGCAAAACACGTCGTTGAAGCTTTCTACAAGACTCTGTTTGAGGGTTTGAAGGATGGGGGTCTTATGGACTGTACGAAGGCGGCGCGGGCACTCAACCATGCTAAGCACGCCGTGATGAAGACAGTGCCGCTCGAGCAGAGAATTGTTTTCATTCATATCGGTGTGTAGGTTCTGCTGTATTGTCGTCATATAGTACGCTTTCACGGGTTTTTTATGTTGCATTCTCATTCGTCCTGTCGTTCATAGTCACGATCGTGATATTCCTGCATTCCTGTTGTCTCGTTCTCGTGTCTTCTCGTGTCATTGTCCTATAGTATCTTCACCTAAGTTCTTTTGTACTACAATCGTTTGCAGCCTCATCCCCCGCCTGAGTACTTAGTACGAGCCTACTCTGGCTGACTCCCGCCATCCGGTCACTATTCTTCAAGTTTCAGGCTTTCGAGTCTTTCTGCGCCATGCAACCTCAACTAAATCGCTTCTTGGCTTAGTACCAAGTGGCACCCCTACTAGGACCCCGAAAATTACGGTTCTCAGTACTGCGCCTTATGTTACTTACAGCAACTCAGGCAGTAAGTGCTAGTAAGTACTCATCAAGCTGATTGAGTAGATGAAATGATGAGATGTTTAGATGCATTGGTAAATCAGGCTAACGTAGTGGAAGCCTAGGTTGCAACGTTGACATGCCTCACCGTCTCGCACATGTTTTTTCTACCCGACCTCCCACCATGTTTACGTACTACTATGTATACCAGCCTGGCAGCCTGCTACACGCTCGCTCGCCACACATTCGATACACCCTTAAAGAGGGAAGCTCGATGAACTATCAACTTCACCATGGCTTTCTCACCCATAACTATCATGCTACTGTTACATATTCCGTTTGTTCACGCCTCACTGCTAAGCTTCAATGGCACCAGCATCTCTGCACTCGATGCTAGCGAGTCCCCATCCTGCGGTGATACCAGATCCTTGTCGGACATCATCTGGAGTTGCGCTGCAACTCTATTCGCATGCACATGGACTGCAATACACCCAAACATCCCGGGCATGGAGGAGGAGAAATGGACTGTTTTTTCACGTCGCCTAGGCATCATGATCATGGCGCTGATCGCCCCCGAACTCATAATCACCTGGGCCACATTGCAGTTTCTAAGTGCTCGTGGCGCTGCAAAGGAGTTCGATGATGCCTTTGGTGTGCGACTTTACCAGACCAACGGTGGCCATTCAGATATAAGACAGAGCATAGCCACCATATTGCTTGGAATTCCAACATCAGATAGAAGCAACAGACAACGACTGTGCGCTCGTCATGCTGCAGATCGCAATTTTAGAGGTCAGTTGTCTGCTCGGCCTTTCGGTGCAGTAATTAACTGTGTTCAACTTATGGCTCATAGAGTGGACAGTGACGCATGGGTTTTTCGCGTGGATGGGCGGATTCATGCTCTACGTCAATGGCGAGCCGCTAGCCCCTCTTCGACCTGACGAACTTTTGTCCTATGTTGATTATGGATCGGTGGACGTACCCGTCATCGTGGAAGCAGACATAGAAGATCGAAGCAAGGGCGATGCACTATCCAAAGGCATTGCCGTTCTTCAGCTGGCGTGGTTCATTCTCCAACTTGCTGCCCGTTATTTCCAAGACCTTCCAATGACACTGCTTGAAATTGACACCCTGGCGGTAGCTGCCCTGACCAGCATTGCCTATGGCTTTTGGTGGAAGAAGCCTAAGGATGTTGGGCGTCCTTATGCTGTTCATTGGAAAGCAACATATGCGCCAAGCAGAGAAGCCTACAAGTATGTCGTCAACTTGAACAGTCTTGCCTGATTTTTTTGTCTTATTCACCTGCATTTTAGCGCAGAGGATGAAGATTTCTCCAACAAAAACTGGTTATATTATCTTGTTTGTCTCTTCAAACCCTTTTTGAGTCTTGCGGGCATCTCAGAGGGCATTTCTCCCCGTGCCAACCGAGAACGTCGAGTTCCAATTTTAGGTGGCTATGATGATAATTTCTTGGAAAGTCGTAATCATGTCATTACGCTTTTTTTTGGATGTTTCAGTGGGATGGTGTTTGGGGCGATACATTGTCTAGGCTGGAATTTTTTGTTTCAGGGGCATGCAGAGCAGATACTATGGCGTGCGGCTTCCCTTGCGATAATATCCGCACCGCTATCTATTCTTCTGCTGTTTAGCTATGTCGTTTGGTTGACAGACTGGAAAAAGATGGGTAGTAGCGTGGTTCTCGCTGTATCCGTCAACTTTTTCATATATTTTGTCGCACGCGTTATACTGATCGTACTTTTATTGATGAGCTTACGATCGCTGCCTCCTGGCGTATACGATGTAGTAGCTTGGACCAAGTTTTTTCCACACTTCTAGTTTCCTTTTACTTACATCGCGGTCATGATTATGAAATTTCTGCCTCTTGCTGGAATCACTAATTAATCAGAGATGCGAGCACAGCTCGGATAACAAGGTAAAGCCGTACTGCATGATGACAGGTCAATATCAACTGTAAACCGCGATGATGTATGTAAAAAAATGATGTAGCATGATCACCTACGCGGATGTCAAGCCCCGATTTGATGTCTGCACAATGACGATGTTGAAAAAGGTTGTTTCAATGATGGTATTGAGGTAGTGCAACATCAATAATCGTCGACAAAATAACTTCAACTCTGTCCAATGCAGATGTGCGTTTTCATCAAGATGGTCTCCAATACCTGGCGGGACTCGGTCTGAATAAATTGATACCAGGCGTCAAGATGGAGCTCAGCTGGAGAATGCTCGTGCAGGATTCTTGACAGTAATAAACATTCCCGACAGATTGGCAAATGACTCATCAGATAAGTTGATTAGGACGCATGCAAAACGACGATGTTGGTGAGCATTGGCAGTGGTGTCAGCGCGTCATGATATAAATATGATTGTATGCCACAGTGCTCAAGTTAGAGTCTGGAATCTGGAGACCCATGCCGAATACTTATTAAATTTGACGGTACAATGTTCTGGACGAAATGGCAACGAAGTTCTGGGGTTGTGTGGGTTTACACAAGTTCAATCGTGGAACTGCGATGACATTGATATGCAATGCAGTCAGGGTGCAATGTTTAAACTGCCACTGAGGGTAGTGGAGACAATGAATATCAAAACCAAAGACCTTTATGATCAGTGCTGAAAGCTAGGAAATTAATTGACAGTTGATGTAAATCAGTGCTGCTGTGCGACACTGAATCGCTCATTGACAAACAATGAATTTAATGTTGGGGTGATAATCATTGTCTGATCCAAATTCATTGTCATATTCAAGTTTTTATTTTGTCAAAAAAAGAAAAAAAGAAATCCACTAATCTTTGCCACTTGCCTGGTTTGAACTCCCGACTCCCGACCACGCAAGCTCAGCTGAAATCCCATAATCAATTCTCACGCATTTGAGCATTACTTACCACTAGACTACATAACCTTGTATATATCTATGCAGCAATTGATATATATACCATACCCATGGGACTTAGAATAAAATATGATAATCTACTCATACGATCAATATGGTACACCGTGGGAATTATTCCGATAAAAATTAAAGTTGCAGTCCTTGTTAAGGGTAGTCTATTGATCGTCTCATGACATTTTTTGGTTAAGATCCTAGTATGTTATACGCGAAATACTAGAAAGGTGGAGTGTTCAAGAAAGTTCAGGCACACAACTAATATTGCTTATTGCAGCCGTCCCTAGGAATAAATATAAATTCTCCTTAGCTGCCTCGGTCAGTGAATTTGTTTGCTAAGTAAATTATGGAAAAAGATGGAAAAAATGGGACTACGTGATTTGCTAATGTCATTTTCAGTGTCCTTAAAATTTTGACAATGAATTTTATACCCTTACATTCTCGCGGGTAAAATTCAATGTCCCCAGTTGTCAATGAATGCAAGTAACCAGAGATTAAGTGACACTGGGAGTGAATTTAACACATTCATTGCCACTGTCACTTAATTTAATGGTTTTTACTTCCCACAGTGTGCTGTGAGTGCGCACATGACAACTAGATGTGAACAATAGACTCCTAAGAGATAAAAGCGTGGGGGGTGGCAATGCTATGGAAAAACCCTGATCAGTGATACTGCAGATAGAAATGTCGACCTTGCGGCTCACCAACCAAGATCGAAATCCAACTTTCCTGTACCTGAACCATAATACCCTCATTGTACTTCGTCACCACCTGGTTTCTCTGACACAACATCGATCATCCGCGCAGCAGCAATGTCAAAGTTTGGGCTCGCGTCTGCACAACGGGACGATCAAAAATCCTGACATTCATTTGCGACTTGCTTGTACCAGTGACATTGGCTCGTTTCTTGTCGGCAGATAGGTGCAGCCACCGCAGCGTGCGCCTTTAAGTTTGTTGATCAGCTGAGCTGCATGTTCGTAAAACTTCGTAATGGTTCATTGCAGCCAACGTGGAAGTTATCATCAGAACGAAACTCATAATGTACGTAATCTTTGCCTGACTCTAGTACGCTATTGAAGATATTACCAAGATGTTACAGCAACTCAAGCAGTAAGCACTCGTCAGCTCATTGAGTAGATGGGATAGTGACACCTGTACCTGTAGGATTGATGTATCACTACCTACAACCATAAGACATTCGTGATACATGTATTACTGAGAGCTACAAGTGGTGTGATACATCGCTGTACAGTAGACTATAGGTTCCCGATGGCCCTAGTGCAATCCATTGGCCATGTCCGAGTATAGTACTGTGTTCTACTCAAGTTGTGCTCATGTTGTGCCCTGAGATTTGATCGAGCAATCTACGATCGAGCCGTCTAAGATTGAGCCTTGCTTCTCTTGCTGAGATCGAGCATCTGTGATCAATCTGCGATCAAGCCTGGATGCAAAAATATGTGTATTGTGGTGCCTGAGAGTGCCGCTACACTACAAACACTATGTATTGTTCAAATCAAAACTCCATGACCGCAGGAGGTGCGTCAATTGAAGGACCGCTGTCATCCTCAGAAGCCGACGTAGAACTCGTAGAACTGAGATGAGAAACAAAGCTCCAACGAGCTTGGAATGAGGTCCGCATCGCAGAACGGAGTGCGGCTTGACGGTAGGCATATGCCTGCAAGCCCTCTTGCTCGGTAGTCTTCTCCGATGAGCGCAGCGTTGTGCGCTGATGCCACCAGGAGCCTTGCCATTCCAGAAAGGCAAGTACTCGTCTCATTTCTTCGGCCAGCAACTCTACTTCCTCGGACCATCGAGCTGCGCGTGCGCGTGCCTTGCACCATTCGATACGAACACCTACATAAAGCAATCTGAGTCAGCTGTCGATAGCATCAACCAGAAACACTCACAATCTTGAACACTTTCATTCTCGGATGGACTGGTGTCGACATCTGTCGTCAGCCAGATCCACGAGATTGTCCCGGTGCCTTGAGTGCGATCACCTGTGAAATCGCCCATAGGCCGAATGTCCTCGTGTCTGAGGGGTCGAAGTGTTGCCTCCCAGCCCATCTCATCCAACCGACAGCTTAGTGATTCTATCGCTTGACGAGCGCACCTGTATCTCGCTACCGCCGCATCTTTCTTTGCTTCGACGCGTGCAATCAGATTTTGTGCACGGGTAGAAGCTGCTTGGCCCCGTAAGTTCTTGTCTTTGAATTTGTAAATGTGCGAACATAAACGAAGGTGGGAGCGGAGCTCGTTGAGGGCATCGTGAGCTTGTGCCTGCCGAAGTTTCCATTCGTGCTTCATTAAACGGTGATTGCAGTCGAGATGATTGAGAGCTGATGGTAGATAGAGTGGAAAATCCTGCGGCTTAAGTGTTTGGGGGGCACCTGGACTTGGATTCGTTGATGAGCGCAGCGTGGAGACAATAGGCATATAGAGTTGTTGATAGCGGGTCCAGGAATCGATGCGTCTCTGTAGTGCATTAGTTCTATGAATGATGGCCTCTCTTTGATTGTCTGTGGGATGAAGCGAGAGGTCTGAAATGTCGCGTTTGAGCCGTTGTCTGTCATAAGATTTGAACAACGACCACATGTTGAAAGAGAGACGTCACATACTGCAAGTCTTCTAATTCAATCCCACCACTAATGAGGACGCTAGGTGAGACATTGTCGTCGAGAGAGTGGTTGATCCCTTCCCGCAGCTCTTGTGCTTCCAATTCTGCGAGCTGTGACCTTACCGCGGCCTGCGTAATAGCTACACATACAGCAGATGATCAGCGCGAATTCATAGAATGTGTGGGCAGTGACGTACGAGCAAGCTTGCTTTCGAACGGATTTGGGCGAGTGTTGTCCTCCTCCCACATCTCGACTTCTGTTCCCCACTCGTCCAGCAGCACAGGCTGAATTGTTCCTTCCAAATCGTACAAGGCGACACGATGTTCCCGTTCCCACTTTATGGCGTTTTCCATCTTGCGCTTCAACGTACGGCCTTGAGAGTCTGAAGTATCAGTGAGGGGAACATAATACTCGACAATGAAAACCCACCAAGTGTTGTCGTCTTTTTCCAATTCCAATCACCGAAGTGATCGTCTAAGGTGTCACGTCGAGTTCCTGGCCCCATTTCCTTTGTGCTAGATGCGACACGGTTGGCATTTGCCCAACCTCGTTCTGGTGCTTCACCATCAGTCCTACCTACCCACTTGGTAAAGTTCCAGGAGAATGTGAGCTGACAGGCTGCGATATGGGCCGCGATATGAAACTTCGGTACGAAATATCGAACCAGCACATCGTCACGAGGTATATGGAGCCGAGCCGGCATGTGTTCCATTCTGTTCCATAGGTTTTTTGACCATTGACAAGCTATATCGTAGGAGATATTTAGCACGGTCACTGTGAATCCGACAAGGGCCGAAAAAACGATATAATCCATATTTAAATACCTTGTAACACCGTCAGCTGGCTCAATGTGAAAAAGTAGCAGAAAACATACCTTTCGCCTTTCTGTAGATCGCCTACCCCGTTTGGCAATTTGAATTCGTGTCGAGCGCAGTCGATGGTACCTATACCAGTAGCTGCCAAGCCTCGCGAAGATTTCGTGTCAGCCATATTAACTGCGTTATGACTAACACAGGTACTGCGCTAGTAAGGAAACATTGAGTATGTCGGCCCTCAACAGTCCAGACTACATACGCACCTCTTGTCGTTCATTGGCTCGCTCAGATAGGTAGCTCTTGTATGCACGCTCCTCCACAAAATAGGCCCATCCTGTATTTAAACCAGGATCCACTCGGTCAGAGGAGACAGCCTTCCGCTTGAGACGGAAATTTGCATCTATAGCGACGAAGAGTGCGTACAACCATCTGTCAACCTGAGTGAGCAAGACATTCTCATCAAACAATCAACTTTAAACTTACCTCGTTGCTGGAGGTGAATTCTCCCAACCTTGTGGTAAATTCTTGCCTGCATGGGGGCATGCTGGACAAACTACCGCAAGTTCGCCAGCTTTTGTTTCTGCGACGCCACCAGGGTCGTGACCTCGGCCACTACGCCTGAGTTGTCGAAGGTGACGCCATTCATGTACTATCCTCATGAACGCTGAATAACGGTCCTGCAAGTCGAGAAGGATCAATATCATACATTAAATTGAAATTTTATGACTTACCTTGATGGGCGACAATCCAGTATTGTCGGAGCGCCTGGCTAGGCTGTGATAAAATTCGTAGGCCGAAATCTTCGACTCGAATGACAGCAGCTGATAGTGCTCAAGTACGTTGAATGTTGCAGCTGTTTGCGGATCCGTCGTTGTTGCCGGATACCATCGAACTCGTAATAGTTGCTTGTAGCGCAGTTGGGCGGTGTGACAGCCACAAAAATCTAGCGCGACATCATGGATCCCATTGATGTCAACAACGGTGAAGTCATTGCCTGTTGAGGGACGTGGATTGTAGCAGTGGTCACTGGGAGGATGTCCCAGTTGCACACGTAAACCAAGGGACTTGAGGTGTGCGCGCTGGAAAAAAGTGCCGTTCCACTCCTGTGTTTGTATGTTAGTACTGTAGACCATGTATCTAGTAGGAAACACGTACTTCAATAACATGCAGTGGACTGGATTGATGGTGCTCAACAGTGCAATGTCGACAGTACATTTCCATGCCGAAACAGTCCCTGCATCGGTACTTGGGTTCTTCAATTTCACTGCCACAGCGGCAGACTATGCGCTGGCCTTCGTGACCACGACCCTCCAGAAATATGGTCTCGTCAAGGAAAAATTGGCGGTCGAATAGCCAAACAAGAAGCGGATTGTCCTAAAATAATCATGAGCGTAGTAAATGACATTGATGTTTTCACTTACTGCAGCATATTCTTTGCGCTTATCCTGCAGAGCGTCGCCCGTGATGATCGGAGGATCACAAAACGGAGAGACTTCGTCCCAATCATTGTAGTCCGGCCAATCCTGGATGACGTGAGGTTCGTATAGTGAATCATCTGGTTCACTATCAAGTGTGGCCCCGCCAAGTGAAACATGCCCTGTTTGTAGAGTAGTGCGTCCATTAGTAAGTGCGTATTCCCGTATCAACTTAACTGCTGGCATGGGTGTGGAGCTTGGCTGAATGAAACGCTCAACTTGCAGCTTCGGTTTCTTTGCAGCCCGCGTCATGGCAGGATACCAGTGGCAGGATACCAGAATGGTGGCCAAGCGTGCAAATCGTCGACATGGCGAATCATTCTGAAAATTTACATGTAAGGCTTCCGTGACTTCACATATATCTACACTTACCTTGTGCTACATTAATGCCAGGACCACGTTGAAGGGCTTCGGTGACCAGTAGATTGATTTGACAGCGGGTTATGTTCTGGCCTGAAATTTTTTGACGGTATGGTGTAAGTTTCAGTATATTCACATGAGGCATACACGATGCTACCACAGACGCGTACAACACGTGACCACAATGACCTCACATGACTTTGTTTATCAACACACGGTGCCTCGTGTTCTGGACCTTAGTCATCACCGTCAATGGTCCAGTCAATGGCAACTATAATATATGATATATCACTCACTGGAACTTGATACTCACGCCAACCGCAGGCCAACGCCATCGAACTGCTCCTTTCTCGCCAAGTGCGGCAGTGTTTGCGTGTTGTTTGGTCCCTCGTACGTCTCTTCCTCCTCAAAATTCTATCTGCCAGACAACTAATGTTCTCGTGATTGCCCAGATCTGACAACGAGCTTTCACTGGACAACAAAAGTAAGTCTGTTTCTTGTCACATTCTTATCCATCTACTGACCGACCAGCACTTCCGGTGAGGCTGACAACTGAGCTGGTTGACTCTGTATCAGAGCATCATCTGCGGCACCAGCACAGCCGCATGTTTTCTGACACTCGTGGTGCAGAACAACAACAACATCAGAGCAACGGACGGCCACACCCGCTGCAAAATCAAGTCTACTCAGATGATCAGAATCACGATGATGCCGCAGCTGCCTATATATCGCATTACTTCCAAGTTCCTCGTCCAAGCCGCACCTATACCGCCCACACCTCACAGCCAAACTGCTGCTCCGTCACCATTGATATCTGGCATGCAAAGCATGCAAGCCAGCCCAACACCTCCAGTAGGCTCGCCCTATCCCTACTCATTCTCGCACGTTCGGCACAACAACACCTACTCTGGCTATCCCATCCACACCGCGCCTTCATCCAACTACAACCCCAACCATCCCTCAGTGATCGAAGAGCAACTCGCTCTCCAGATGCAGATGTACGCCCTGAACAATCACGTAGCATTATCCGACTTCACATTCTCACCATCGTCGACGCCTTTCCCCAGCCATGGATAAGGGACACGCGTAAATGTGTACCAATGGTAATATCGACCTCCTCATTCAGGGCGTGATCTCCACGATTGTTACTGTACTTCTGTTTGCACTCTAACAACTTTGTACCTAGTTGCCAAATAATTGATGTTTTGTTGATATTCAACGAGAACACAATGATCAACCTCGCCTCACGTCGTCATTAGTGTTCCTATGTCTGAGTTGAGCAATTTTGGTGATGGTATATAAGACACAGCGCAAGAAAAACTCGTATGGACTACACGCTACGTGCGCAAAATCTACGTTACATGAGTACATGGAAGAAATCAAATTCTGAGGCCTTTCTGATACATCATCTCCCCCATCGAGTGAGCAAGTGTGAGCTCGCAAACTCCTCCAAGAAAAATCAGACCCTCGATGTCCTCTAGATATGCGAGCACAGTCCTTAAGAAACGGGTGACTGAGTCAGCAGCATGCCACTCAGAGCCAGGTGAGACTCCGCAAAAATTCAAGATTTGATCTTGTGCAGGAATGGCCCGGTTGAGTATCTTTTGGACCTTCGCGATGGAGGATTCAATGATGGAAATATCACCGGGGGAAGAGTCTTCGGGGAAACTCTTCACGTAGTCGCAAAAGACTCCCTCAACAAATTTGCAGGGGTCATCGCCGATCATCGCCAGCATTTCGTCCTTGATGTCCTTGACAACGCGTAAGCATTCTGGAAGATCATCACTGTTGAAATTGAGTTTAATGTTTCATTTCATTTCTATTTATAAAATTGAACATATGCACATACAGCTTGATATTTTCGTCATCTTCTGATTCCGAGTCATCATCTGAATCGGACTCAGACTCCGACTCAGACTCATTGTCATCCCTACGACGCAAGGCTTTTGTGACAGCCTTCAAGAGCTCTTTGTGGAATTTCTTCGCTTCTTTCGATTCCTTGGTCTTCGAGCTACGAAGGACTCTCCGCCTCTTCAAAATTTCATCTCTATGTCTTTAATGTAATTTGTCAGGAACGGATGTAAATAATTAATGACTGTATGACATACTTTGCATAATGACGGCGGTGCCTTTCACGCGAAGCTTGTAGCTTTGCCTCGGCCGTTTTATGAACAACTGGACGGGCCATTTTGACTAGCTGTAGTAGAGAGTGGTGGTAGTCTTCAAGAAAAAGAACCAAGGATCCTCCATTGCGACACTGAGTCTTGGTAGGACGAAAACTCATTTGCTCAATATCATATTTCAATGGGCCAAACTTATTCACAATGCTAAGCTAGGCCAGTTGCAAGCCTTGAATCAAGGCCCGTCTCATGTCAGCGTGTGTTATAGCATTGTAAATGTAACTTGAAATCATCAACAGAGATAAAGTCCGACTGCCATTGCACTGAATTGGTCCCTAATTACATCGAGTCTAGGTAGGATTACACTAAGTCTTGGTAGGACGAAAACTCATTCAACCAATATCATATTTCAAATGCAGGCGGGATCATTGCGCTAGTGCCGCGAGGCCAGTCAAGCATGAATTATGTCAGAACTTCCTTATTTGTATTTCAACGGTTTGCAACCGATTTCAACTTTCAAATGCAGCGAGTATCTTTAAATAGGTTGCTATGATAGAGTCGTGATTTCAGGGTGATTGCAACCAAATTGCAACGGAATTGTGATGGAATTGGAATGTAATTGTGATGGAATTGGAATGGAATCGTAGTTTTTATTTAAATTTTCAAACCTCCAATTTTGTCCCATTTAAATGACTGTTGCAAGCATCATTGTCAAGCTCATTGTCAGGCATTGCGACACATAACGATCATGCGGAAATTTTTCTATTGGATTGCAAGCCTATGGTACAAATTTTTATCTATAATTATTAGGTCTTGTAAATACGGCCAAGGCAATAATAGTGATACAATATGTTCCTGGCTATACCGACAATCAGAATCAGGATATCGATAAGCAAAAAATTGACTTAATATTACCACCAGGGAGACCAGGAAACGGCTATCCGGCATTGGGGTTTGGAGGTCATGGGGGACAGCATCAGCTGCATTATTAGAAGGGCGGTCTGAATGTTGTAGTCGGATAGGGTAATATGGCCGTATTTGAGCTGCTTGCCGGTGAAGATGAGACGCCGTTGGCAAGGGGGGATACGCCTTCACGAATCGATGGTGAAAGAAGACTGCCTCTGAGTGTGCGTGAACCGAGGGAGGCAAGAGTTGCGGGGAAAGGCGGGAGATGAGTTAAGAGAGTAGGAGTTGGTGAGGTTATGGTGGGCGAGTGATCTCCATGACCCCGGGCATGACTAGCGGATGCGAATATTGGGAAACAGGGCTAGTAGAGCCAGTCTTTATGCGGACGAGAGAGAAGAGGAGGGAGGTACGGGGTTTTCTTGGAGATGTGGGCTTTGGAGTGGATTTGACTAGTAGACCCAGTGAAATTGGGAAGCAAGGAGTCGTCTAAAGAACGTAGTAAGCTCGAGTCGCGCGTCAGGAGAAATAGGACGCACCGTAAGGAAATTCGACATAATCTACGTACTCCTTCCCCTTTCCCTTCGGTTTTTGAAGGTGGAGTCGTCGAGAGCGCGTGCAAGAACAACGTCTTTGAGGAACTGTAGACGGTAGGTGTGGTGGATTTTCTTCTGAATCATGAGGTCTTGTATGGGAATAGGTTGGTGAAATTTGGAGGTTACATGGAGAAACTCTCGGTAGTTCGCTTTGTGATTTAAGAACTCGGGATCATCTTTGAAGAAGTTGGATTGAGTTTTATGCAAATGACGCAGGAATAACAGGCAACATACATTCAAGCATGCCTACGGCACCAACGAACACGCTATCATCGAGGATATGTTCGTATAGCCCATGATCGTGAATCATTACTACTACAAAACAATGTCAACAAAGATGAATCACGAACGGCAGACGAACGCACATATAGTTTGTATGAGACCGCACAGTGCATGAAGATTCTCAGCGTTCTCCAAGTCTTCTGCCTTCTGGAAGACTTCGATCATCTTCAAGATGTATTCCTGCTCAAAGCTTAGCGGTCCATCGTGAAGAGTACGATGATTTGACGACGGACCTTTCGCTGAATGTACTCGCATATTCTCTCCCTAATCGCCTGTCCGCGCACTAGTGTTTTTATGGCACGTTCAATATCAGGAATATTCCCGAGTTCTGGCTGAGGCAAGTGGCCAGAGCGGATAACCTCTGCTGTCGTCGAGTGGTCACTTCGTGGAGATGAGCCAGCACTACTTTCTCCTGAAGGCGTGAAAGTTAGATAGTGCAACAGAAGGAGACCAGAACAGAAGCAGTGCGGCATAGGGAATGTACATACCAACGACATTCATGTGACGCTGGACCTCAATGATGAAATTCCACACCTCTGCGCACCCATCGACGTCCTGGAAGCTCAATGCGTAATCTGCACCGTCCGGTTCCAGACAATCAATGTATCTGGTGGTCGCGTGAGTAGGTATCAGCAGATCCTTGTAAATATAATACAAACGGACCTTGTTGGCGTTGATAGACGTCAGTGTGGTGCGGATGCGAGTAGTCAGGATGAGCTTGTCGAAATGGACTTCTGAGCGAGCGATAAGGAAAGCTTGGTTGGTTTTGCTTTGCAGAAATATGAGAGGCGCGGAGGAGGAAGGTAAGGGCGTCCCGTTCGAAAATACGCCGCATGTAGCTGGCTGTCTATCCAGTGACTCAGTTAATTAACTGGCTAGGGTTAAGGTTAGAAATACACACCTTCAAGGTGCTGGGACCTCAGTAAACCAGCAGGCGCACAACGCGTGGTGCCTCCAAATCACCCCAACGGCTAGGGGATAAACCTAGACCTCCCGCAGATCTTGGCAATGAAGCGCACCCGGGTCTCACGTAGATCCACTGTAACCAACGAAGGACCAAAACCAGGCCCCGGGGCATCGATATCAACATCCGTCATGACGACAACCGCTATGCGTATTGGTATGAGTACTTGCAAACTCACGAGGGGGCGATGTAAGGTTCATCGGTGCAGGAGCGGAGACCTCCAGCCGCATCGAACACCTCACCCGACATCTAAAGAGTAAAATTGAACAACGACGTGAGTAACACCAACTTCTACCAAACAACTACAAATAGTTATGTAATATTCAACATACACTCTACCATCAGTCGAAGAGCGCAGCTGATGATGCATGTCACTGTAATCTGAATCCGATAACTCTGTCAATTCCACAGAGTTGCATAATCTAATGTTACAGTATGATTCAGAGTCCAAGTAAGCGCAGCAAAGTAAACTGATGGGCTAATACAACGAGTAGGTGCAGGATCCATTCATAAGACTATTTGTGAGTCTGCCTAGTAGTACGATCAGAAGCCATCGCCGGCGTGGCCGCCTTCCTCCCTCTGTTTTTCGACTTCTTCGACCTCCCTCTAGTACTGCTTGGATCATTTGCCGCGTCCTGGAGTACCTCGCCCGATGAACTGATGACTGCAGCTCCCACAACATCAGGTGCTGCAGCATCTGAATCCTCCAAATCTGCAGCAGTGCCGATGTTGGTGGCTACATTGTCGACAATGGGGCCAGGCAGAGCTTCAGTGGTGTGCTGCCGCTGTGTGGAGAGGCTAGGCTGTGAGATTGATTCAGATGCCAGAGCATTGACATGTCTCTCCAAGGCAGCAGCGGCTGTGGGAGTTCCTGCTACCTCTGCCGCAGTGTCTGATCCATCGTCTGAACTTTCCATGTCAAGCGCTGCGAGTGCGCGATCAATCACATCTGTGAAATCTTCGTGTACAGCAGAATCCAAGGCCGAAGGTCGTGCAGCTTTGAAGATGAAGTGGTTGATATTAGTTACAATCTGTACAATGCGCTTCGTCTTCCACTTGGCCACAAGAACTTTCTTGTAGGTGAAAAATAAATCCTTGTAGCTAATTGTTGACCTCTTGCCAACACCCGTGCTCGAAAATTCAGTGTCAGGAGACAGTAAGAATATTGCCTGCAGTAGTGCGTGAGCGTGACTGCCAATAATCTTGGATGATATGGCTAGCTTACGAGAACTGCAGCCCAAGCGATGGAACCGGGCGTGACTTGCCGAACGCTCCATTTCATGGAATTGGTATGTGCGCCGCCACCGCTGGAAGCTTGATGGAGGGATGTGATACCACGCAATGAAGCTTTCAGAATCTGAGGATGTTCCTGGTGAGACAGACGGCCAAATCAGAGAGCACCACTAGACTTACTCGTGCCAACAGTTGCCAATTTCCGAAGACAGTCTTGAGTGATCTGTCCTCTTTCAACTCTGGGAATAGCACTGGAGGGAATGTCTTGTATGCCAGGTTTGTCGAAGACGTGACCCCAAGGAGTTGTTGGATCTCAGGGACATTAGCTCTATCGTAGCTAGTGTTGGTGAAGTATTTTGAAGGGAGGTCGAAAATGTCGCCAGCAACACCCCGAAGCTTCTTGATCTCATTAGCACGAGCATCTGGGATGGATTTCATCACCTACAATAATCATGTTATGTCGTGCAGAAGTCCAGGAATGAGAGTTCACTTACGAGATCGCTAAAGTATGAACTTTCCATCACTTTGTGTAATGACTCGGGGAAGTGACGATAGAGCTCGTCCAGAAATGCTGACTCTTGAGTAGATGCAGTCGCATATCGTTCAATGCTGTCAAATGGAGTTGGCGAGTCTGGAAGGCGCTTATTAAGGAGGTCGCTACTAGGAAACATCTCAACCATCATGCCATACTTGCGAGCATAGATAGAGATGGTCTCCTCGTGAACGCTGAGCTCATCATGAGCATCCGTGCGCCGTTTTCGCTTGGGTTTCTCTGCGTGCAGAGTTTTATTTTCCTCTTTGATCGTCCTATTCTCTTCTTGAAGCTTTTGCATTTGAACTTGCAACATTTTGAGCGTCTGAGTGGATAAAATTCGAGTCAGGAAATGCTCGGAATTGCGCATACATCTCACCTCTAGTAGTTCTCCTTTAGATGCACCAGGACCTGGGATAGCGATATTATGATCAGCACCAGCAGCGTTATGGCCATCCCATTCACTATCAGATTCAGAAGAATCTGCTGTACTGGACCGTGAAACATGTGACATGATGGTTTGACGGAGCTGTTTTGGGGATACCAGTTCAGATTTTGTTCGAAGGGCAGGAGACGACAAAAATTACTCACCTAGTACCACACATTATAAAGTGCCTGCACTGCCCAGTACCTTAGCGGTGTCAGACGTAAAACTGCTACATGCAGTTTTACACATCAGTGCAAGATTTAGAGATTAGTCAATTGCACACCAATGGGAATTAATATTTGGTGTGAAACTCGTAAAAGACGCTTAGACTTGAGTAATAGAACATGTATAGCTGCTGCGCATGATCAGATTCAAGTTCAAGTTGAGTTTAATAGAGTGACTCACAGTTCGGAACAAGCTGTGAGCTGTACAAATGATAAGTGGTTGAAAAAGTCAAGTTACAATGAATGAACTTCCCGTTAGAGATAAAGTGGATGAGTGACAAGAGCAACATACCTGTTCTTCGGGAAGAATCGGACATGGTGTCTGAATCTTAGACTGGAGTCAGCATGGATGAGTCTAAGTGACGAGAGCAACATACCTGTTCTTCGGGAAGAATCGGACATGGTGTCTGAATCTGGAGTCAGCGTGGATGAGTCTAAGTGACGAGAGCAACATACCTGTTCTTCGGGAAGAATCGGACATGGTGTCTGAATCTGGAGTCAGCGTGGATGAGTCTAAGTGACGAGAGCGACATACCTGTTCTTCGGGAAGAATCGGACATGGTGTCTGAATCTGGAGTCAGCGTGGATGTGTCTAAGTGATGAGAGCAACATACCTGTTCTTCGGGAAGAATCGGACATGGTGTCTGAATCTGGAGTCAGCGTGGATGAATCTAAGTGACAAGAGCAACATACCTGTCAATGGGTGTCTGACTACGTCACCGAACTGGACTGTAGCTATGTTGCTGTGATCTTGGAGACAAGGACCTTGAGTGCAAATGACCTCGCGAAGACATATGAGAGTAGTAAGAATCAAGAGAGCGCGAGTGTTGCCACCACGATGGTGAACATCAGACGGACGGGAGTGAAAACCCAGTGAGTCAGTGAATGAAAGAGGTTCCCAACTCATGGCAAGGGAATTTTGGGATGCGAAAGGGACGTAGGAGTCTGTTTGTTGATGAGAATGCAGACAAGAGCGAGAATAAGCTTCAGACTGGGTGTCTTCAGCCCGTGAGACATGCAGAGGTGGTCCATCGTCCTCGACGTCATTGATTTGCCACATCAGCACCTCAATCTGGTGTGAGAAGTGTGCATGGTTAGTTTTCAAATGTCGGTGTTGAAGCGCTTGAGAGGTGGGTGAGACAGGTGGTAGAAGCAAAGATGTGACGTGTTGCAAATGAACACTCAAATCAGCAGAGGTTCGCGTCCCCGCAGGTGACGGTGTAGTATACTGTTGTTAGTCAAGAAAACAAATACCTGAGGGCAGGGAAGTAATGTCAGCATGTCAATGGTATATTACTACTACATATAAACAGAGTTTTATGATACTGAGGAATGTATTAGCAGAGTGCCACCTCGATGGTCAAAAAGACAAAAGACTTACCTGAAAGCGAAATTGGTCAGATGCGCACTGGATGACCCGCCTGCTGATGCATCTCCCTTACACGAAGAAACATATCTGTGTCGATGGTGTCGACAACGAAGTAATCAAGGGGGTTGCCACCTGAATCCTGCACCAGAAGTGCCCCACGTATGATGGATCGTACTGAGAAGAACTCGGCCTTTGTGCGTGGTTGTGCGCGTACTCTGAAAAGGTTAAGCTGCTTATCCTGTCGAGGTCGTGGCCCTGTCGGAGCATCAAAGGGGTGGATGAGAGCGAGGGGAAATAAGTCATTCCCAATGGCACATTGAAAAAGGAAGACTAGACGTCCAAGGATGACACCATTCTGTGTCCGGATGAAGACCCAGTCAAAACGCGGTGCGCCAAAGAACTGAGGATTACACCGGAGATAGTCGGTATACTGTTTCCAGTCTACCAGGGATTCATAGTTGACGCGTAAGAATCGATACTCAGTAACCTGTTTCAAATCAGTATAGTAACAGAAGGCTGGATTGAACGAACATACAGTATCATCTGATTGTAAGTGGATTCTTCTTCCATTTGGCAGCGGAATGTTGCAGGCGGGTAGAAAAATGTTCAAGAAAGCATTCAGCTTGATGCGGAAGTTGGTGAATTCAACATGGGTCTTGTGCGCATTCTCGATGGAACAGAAGGTCTGTGCAGCTTGTCTTGATCCCATTCTCACGTGTTGTGACGGATCTAAAGTACTATCCACGCCAATGCCAGTGTTTTCATCGTCATCTAACGAATCATCATCCACGCCGTCTGATTTCCGCTGCGAATATTCATCAAAGTCCGAAATACGACGATCAATGTCATCAGCTACGAGTAACCAGTGGTCAATGCGAAGAATCTGATTATTATGTAGATAATATAGCACAATTAGTAGGGAATCACGAATGCCATTGATGCTTACCTGCTCCGCAACATTTTTGAAGTTTGTCCGGTTCAAGTACCAGTCCTTCAAGGGCCCATGCATTTGCTCATTCGGTTTGGTGTTGTAGTTGCGTGTGGCACCTTTAGCCTCGATGTCATCGAATATATGTGTTGTCATGTGCAGTTTCGGAAAGTTCCAATTCTTCACGTTGTCATCAGCGGTTTGTGTCATGTATTGCTGCTGATGTGTCAAGGTAGGGTTATCAATTAACTACAATGCACATACCTTCATGAGTGCTGTGAACGCTTGGACGGTATGTCTCCCCTCCTCGATTGTATTGGTTGTGTGAACCTCCAGAGCAGCATAAATGTCCATTTCGAGGTAAAGTCGTACACACCGTAAGAGAAAATAACCAAGCGGACAATCATTCTCGGTCAAGACATTGTGCGTGGCGTAAATTATCATCTGAAAGATACCAAGTTAGTAGCCAGGGCAACTGCATGAGTTTACGAACCTTAGAAATATCTTCGTGGACGGAGCTGTCTGTAAATGTAACACCAATAACCTGGTTTGGGTGCTTGAGATTGCGCCAGCGTGGAAAATTTTCGAATCTAATACATATTGATATTGAGCATCAGATAAAGGACGACTCGAAAAGAACGAACCAATTGTCAACTTGCGATACTTTTCCCCTTCCGAGAGTTACAACATATTTCTGCAGTTCAACCCAGAGATGGCGTGACCAGAGTCCACCATGATTGAAGTGACAACGATCATGTGACAACGCTCGATGCACGCAGGTGAATGCTACTGCCCAAAATGCATTCTAATAAGACAATCAATCTTTGATATTGACATGCAGAAATATTTGCTCACATCAACTAAACGAAGTGCTTGTTCTTTCAGGAGTTCCTCTCGTTCTTCAAAGGTTTCTTTCGCACGCGCAGCATTTATAACGGCTTGCGACTCTTTCGATGTTCGCCGACGATAAGATTTTGAAGTATCCCACAGGTCATCACGAGGAACTAGACAAACGGGGCAAGGCCAAAGACTCATGATTCCTCGAGTAAGCGACATAACAGATCTTGTAATGATAAGCAATTAGAAAAATGACCAAATAAATACTCACTGTTCTTCGAAATCAGCTGATAGAATGAGGATACAGAGAAAGAACCAGCGCTTGACACTGTCTAGGCATTCGAACCACTGTCCCGTTTGCGATTTTGAGGCTAACGAAGAGATAATCCTGGCAAATGACTTGTGCCAGACAGTATTTTTGAAGTCTACCCAGCTGGGCTTTCCGGAGTGTAATTTTTCGTCCTTAACCTATTTAAACTGCATCAGCAGCACTAACAGCAAATCACTTAAGGAAATCGCACAATTGCCAGCCATCCCACCACATACCCACCGCCTGCACCTCGCCCGTTTCGAATTGCAGTCGGTAGGTTTGCTAAACGAGCGTAGACTGGATAACCTTTTGCGGTACCGAAGGAGGAGAGTTTCGTCTTATCCGCATACAGTATATATGCCAGTGGCTTTGCACCTGGTGGGAGTTGCGACTACAAAACAATACAATGAAATAAGGGCACAATGAGAAACTACGAAGTATCATCACATACTTGTACATCCCAAATCTCTCGCGCAGTGAAAGGCTCATCAACAAAAGAAACAAATGTGTTACCATCAAACTTCGAGAGGCGGTGTGCATCAAACGTGAAGAATGGAAAGAGGTGGGGATTGCGAAGCATATGGGCAGCCAGCTCCCAAAGGTCTCGGTAATGTACGTCATATTCCCGTAGTTCCTCATCTCCAGTGAACGGGATCGAGATCACTTCCTTCGTAAACTATACTTCATACTATGTCAGACTAATTTGAAATAGAAATTAAATATATCACCTTCGTAATGCGGTGCGAGGCTGCCTCCCACATGTTGTGGATATCCTTGTGGTTTTTGAACGTAAATTTCTCCTTGCCCACAGAACAGCGGTGACATAGCTTGATAAACCGATCAGATTGCTCATTGTTAAACCCGACCTCCAGCATGATCTCAGCAATTTCGAATTCGAGCCAAGATTTGAACGGACGCCAAGGTTGACCATCAGGTGGGGGGACCAGGAATTCTGCGGCACGACGCTCAAAGCTATCAAATCCATGTACCTTGGCCTCGATGCCACTACTCGGATGATACTCAATTTTGATGTCGTCTTGGTTGAAGGTGGGGACTGCAGCCACGACTTCCGGTTCATTAAGTGCAGAAGGGCCTGTATTGAATAGGGTACACGGTCTAAGTGTTAGTGAGATCAACGAAAACAATTATGTGTCGACTCACCTGGACCAATCACTGGATCATCGTGACCGAAGTCCACATTGAAGAATTCTGCGTGATTTTGCGTTTCAACTGTGAGTTTGTGAGCGCCGTAGATAGAATAACGAAAAACAAAATACTACTACATACCTGGTACAGGGATACGAATGGCTGATTGAGGCTTGTCGAGTCTCGATGACAAATCCGACGCTGTATTTTGATACAATTAAACATCAGCTTCGACAATACATCAAGACAAAAATATAACAGACGTACCTTTCTCCTTGCGAATCGCATCTACAACCACCTGATCCCGTTGTCGTTTGGCTGCCTTCGTCTCGCAAGCTTTTCGGTGGGTGGTCCACCCTCGTGGCTTGATGTCCTGGTCGCATAAGTTACAATGTTTTGAGCGCTCTGGGCCCATGTAGTTAACAGTATTGTACAGCTGTATACAAACAAAGTTGAGGTGGGGAAATAGAGCAAGGAATGCGCTAGAACGCGAAGAGTGTACTGCAGGCGTTGATAACTAGTGATGATCGATGATCTATGTATGTTCAAAGGACTTGCAATATATTGAAACTCAGCCATCAGATTACCTTATCATTTCAGGAGGCATTTCAATTGATTTCAATGGCATGCAAATAGCGTGTCAACATCACGTCATTGCAACCACTTTCGTAAATTTCTGACATAAGGCCCGTCTCATAATCTTCAACATAAATAAAAGCCCTACATACTGCCATTGCACTGAACCGGTCCCTCTCTAGCAGTTGGACGAAAACACACGTGGTTCACATTCATACGCTCGAAGTGAATTTTTAATCTCATTGCCACACTAACTAATAGCTATTACCTGCAACATACATCTAATCTCACCAATGGCGCCGCCCACCAAATATTCTGCTGAGCAGATCGAGTTTATGGCGACATTCCACAATCAATTCCTTGAATGTAAGGCCAACAGGAATTACGAACCTTTGTGGAATCCCTTTTTTGAGGCATGGGCAGAAAAATTTCCAGAGCGCGCTGTTGTCTTTAAAGACATTCCACTCGATGTCGACTTAACCGAGGAACAGTCTACTGTGCTGGCAGAAGCCTGGGCATTGCGTCAACAGGTACGTATATGCTGTCCGAATATTAATTTCAATAACGTGTGCCTCACAATATTAACAGCGCCTCATGGAGAAATTTCGTAATGATTTGGGTGCGTCAAAAGCGGGTCGGCGGGCGAATGGACAGCACACTGCCACAGTCCAGAAGATGATGAAGAATATCATGAAGGGCTCGACGGACAAACCCACTCGTGTCTTGCAACCATGGGAAATGTACTCAAAAACGCATTATACGAAAGTCAAAGATGCGGTGAAGACTGAGCAGGAAGAGTTAAAAAAAGCGCCGTTCGCTGAGCCGGCTAAGAAGACTACCCTGGGTATCGTTAAGCGGCATCTCAAAGCCGCTTTCAAAAATGAGTCCGAGGAAGTAAAGGCAGAGGTCCTTGCTGCTATCGAGGCAATGAAGGAGGCGAAATGTGCGGAAATCGAGGAAGCAAAGAAGCAGGATCACGACAAGGACGCGTAAGTTACATTCTTTGCTTTCTATGAACAATGTTTTCTTACAGCATGTGCAGCTACATATCCAAAATCGCTGCGATTCTGACCCAGTTCTTCGAGGAGTTGCACGAAATGACAGATTGGGTATTCACGGTACTCATGGGCGGGCCACATCCTGCTGCAGGTGGGACACTTGATGTCAGTAGTTTTCATGTTGGTACAACAAAACTGGGCAACCGGTTCAGTCAAGCCTATCCCCAATTCTCTCAGAACATTATGGTGCCTTACACGCAGTTTGTAGAACGTGTTTTTCGTCAGTCATCCTTACTCAGTACAAGATATCAGACTAATACCTCTTTCAACAGCCGACGCAGCCGCTCTGTCGAGGGCACAAAGCTTGACATCATCCACTCCGGTCATCGCTTCTGGATCTTCGTCTACTGTCCAATCACCCTCTGATATATCACCACCTACCACTTTAAATACCACAACTGCCATGTCTGATGCGTTGTTTGACTCACAGCTTGCTTATCTCATGGATGACGTCGACATTCCATTCTTCTCCGAGCCTTACGCATCTCTGCCACAAATGGACATGGACGACACATTGCAGCCATCACTTCCCATTCTTCCGATGCCTCTGCAACCTCCGCAAGACTCGGAGATGATGGACGGTTTCAATCTGTTTCTGCAGGACCCATCCATCCTCAGACAAGATTTTCCTATTCTCGAACAAGACCTTGCCCTGCAACACTCGCTGCCGACTATCCCGTCACCACCACGAATTCATCAAACACAAAACGCATTGATTCTTACAGATGAACCTGCTACTACCCCAAATGAAGCTGGAGCGCAGCCGCAGCCTTATCACACTACAAATCCCACCTTCACCTTCACCTTCCCTATCTCCACTCCACCACCCTCCCAGGCGCCTTCATTGACAACCCACATTCTATCAGGTACAATGCCACCTGCTGGTGCACTCCCCACCCAAACTCTGACACCTCTGTCTGATGCCGCCCCAAGAGGACCCCCTTCTGACAACACAGGCAAGAAGCGCGCATGTGAATCTGAAGGAGAGCGGTTGAATGTCGGTGTGAATCATAAAGGTAATGCTCGCAGGGCTGGTTCCAGCGCCTCCACCCTGGTTGATGAGAGAGTGACGGAATCAACGGATCAGCAGGATGGCCGAGGCAAACGTCAACGGTTCCAATCCAGGCGTGCTGCGGAAGCCAACAATATTGGTGGCTCATCCGCCACTCGGAAGACTGGACGCAAATGAGTGTGTATGCGTGTCTCCGGACAATTGTGTCATTTACTATACATTGTTGCATATATGTAGTTGCTTGCGTGTGTCATATGTTTGTTAATGCAATAATTTTGGCTTTCAAACAATTTCAAACATGTTTCTTAGAAGGCAGCTACGCGTTTGTGGGACTTAGAGGAATTTCGGTTTGAATTGTGCCGAATTCGGCGAATGCAGAGTAGTGATACATCAATGTATTATGGTTGTAGGTAGTGATACATCAATGTCTTATAGTTGAGTGGTAGGTAGTGATACATCAGTCCTACAGGTACCAATGCCATGTCCTCATATACTTGGTGCGGAAAATCTATCCACCAATTCTGTTGCGTCACAAAAAATCAGAAGACGAAATATATTAGCATTTGATCACTCACCAGCTGAGGAGTAGGACAAGGACACACCACGCTGTCCAAGCGGCATTGGCAATACGAACGCCACGGCCGCAATCCGTTAATATATGGTCGCTCTACATCATTATTTAGTGTCAAATACAATTTTACTGAGAAATGGCACTCACTAACACGCCATCAGCACCAGAAGGAGTAGGAAACCTGGTGATCCTGGAGGGTCACAACGCACACAGAACGTGGCATAGCCTTTCGACCACATGACGCCTGGGGTGAGGAAGGCTCGAACACCCCAACAAAGGATGTCGGTGCAGCCTCCTTGAGAGCCAGGAGAAATAACCTTTTGGATGAGTAGAAGAAGAGGGGCGTTCTGAGATGTAGCCTCTGCTTGATGGGGAAACCCAGGCGCAGATGCGCTTAGAGAAGATTAGTTAAAATAAAGTAAAAACATGAAAAGGATGAAGTGATAAGTGTTTAGGGCCAGAGCGCATTCAAGTGGGAATCTCCAGCGGGGGGGGGACTTGTCACTTGGTGCTATTTTTGATAATCAACCTACCGATCAGACTCGTCCATCAGATGCGCATCTCATGATCCAGGCCCAGTCATCAGGCGGAAGTAATGTTACCTATAGATAGACTGAAGAAGCACGATGCCATCAAACGAAGGCCAGGAACCAGGTCCAGAGAACCGTGGATTGAGCACCGGACCAGGATCCTCCACTGATATATTAGCCCTATAGATTATAGACAACTGCGGACCTTAGGAATACATGTATCAGTATTGCCCTCTAATTGTAAGTACTTGATGTATTATTCTTACAGTATGGCCTGGTCAAAGTCAGCGGGTTTCGCGACCTTGAAAGGTCCACTCGAGGATGGGTTACTCATATTGAGTGGTTAGGGGTTGTAAACGTTTTGGCTTAAAAGCCGAAAAAGATTGATTCGAGTTTTGAATAAAGTTGGACGAGGATGTTCGCGAGTGTTACGGATGTCCGCGAGGAAGATGAATCCAAAGGTAGGACTAGTCGCGGGCCGATGTCTAACGTCGTGCTTTTGTCAGACGTCTCAGGATCGAGGCGCGACTCAAACACAAACAACAAAGACCTGGATGCTGAAAGAATAGACCTTTGAGTAAGTAATAAGTACAATCTGTGCTAACGGTACCTGAAAGAATAGACCAGCACGACGTTAGGAGGAAAACTAAGACTCGACTCAACCTTGACTAAGTAGACACGAGCAAGCGTACACAAATAATGGTCTCGTGACCAAACACGTTCATGACAACTGGTTGAGCGTCTACTTAACTTGCCAATTTGAAGTTGCCGCAATATTCCCAATCGCTTCTTGATGATCTTGCTGCACGCAACAATCGCGCACTTCTCAAGCGCAAGTAATACCTCGTTGGTCGTGATACATGTGCCGTTGGGCTACGGGCCACTGATAGCAACCGTATTTTCAATGGAGTCTCACAGAATTTCGAATCCCAGTTCAATCATTTCCATATGTCGGTCCGAAAGTTTAAGCCTCGGGCTTCAGTGGGAGCACCTCGGTAGCATTCGGCCACGTCTCTACCTTTATTACACGCAGTTGTGATATGAACCCACTGTCTTTGTCACCATCCTCTATTGACGCTGTCAGTCTGTTCTTCGAATTTAATCGCTGTCCTCGAGTAAACGATACTCTCGCACAATGGCAGCGGAGCCGTCATCTCCACCAGTCAATGAGGCCAAAGAAAGGCCAGGCGCATCATGGAAAAAGAAGGAAGAGCATGTCGTACCCAAAAACCGACTGAGCATTGTCTTCTTTGGCTTGATGTGCACGGTATTCTTGGCAGCTTTAGATCAAGTACGCAATTGTGTTATTGCATTCGCGAATATCTGACTCGCATACCACAAGGCTATCGTAGCCACCGCCTTGCCCACAATCGTAGCTGAACTTGGAGGGGGCAAGAACTACAGTTGGGTGGGAAGGTACGTATATGATACATCTATAGGGGGTTATTACGTGGTAATATTTTCCACACAGCGCATACATGTTGGCGTGCGCCTCTTTGGGCCCGCTATACGGCAAACTATCCGACATTTTAGGCAAGTGCCCTCGAGTGCCATGGACCGTTGCTTGGGAATTAATGGCCGGGATCCGCAGGCCGCAAACCCGTGCTATATGGATGTATCCTCGTATTTTTAGTACGTTATTGCTAGTATGTGTGTCCGATGTGGCTTTGACCTCATAGACTAGGTTGGCTCAGCACTCTGTGGCGCAGCTCAGAATATGACATGGTTGGTTATCTCTCGTGCTGTCCAAGGAATTGGCGGTGGGGGTATCATGCAACTCGTACAGATCACTATATCCGACATTGTTTCATTGCAAGAGTGAATATTTCTTACCAACGCCGGTTCATTGCTGATCATATTGATTTTCCAGGCGAGGCAAGTATGGTGGCCTCGTTGGCGCCACTTGGGGAATATCAAGGTAAGACTAAATGAATCACCCCCCGTTTAAGCTCGAAAACCTTATTTATTTCAGTGTTATCGGACCGTTGATCGGCGGTGTAAGGTCTCCCCATCTTCTGAAGGGATATGAGAATTGATGCTTTGCGTTCTAGGTTTTCACCGACCATGTATCTTGGAGGTGGTGAGTTTGCGTATTCTGTTTGTTGACCAAAGGTTCACAACCGACGCGTACCAGGTGCTTCTGGATTAATTTGTGCGCTTCACATGTTTCCAATGTTTGCGCCGAGATTTAGAAGCTCACCACTATGGACAGACCGACTGGCGGATTGGCTGGGGCACTTCTGTTCTTCTTCTTGAATTTAAATCCCCATCAAGGAAGGCCATTGCGCGAGCATATTCGGGAATTTGATTTCGTTGGCCTTTTCGCGATCATCATAGGTGTCATTTGTCTGCTTATAGGTCTCAACTCGAGCGAAACGACGTGTAATGGCATCCTGCTGATATAAAGAATCAATGCTCACTGTTATTTTTAGGGCAGAGCGCCAAAACCATTGCACTCCTTGCTGTGGGAGGCACGTTGCTCATCATCGGTGGCATTAATGAGATCTTCACGAAGCGGTCTCCCATTATTCCCCCTCGGCTTTTCAAGGCGAGTCACTGAGAAAGGTGCTCATGTTGTCTCTCATGGTTTGCTAGACACGTACAACGGGCTTGACATTAGTTTCTGTCTTCTTGCACGCTCTGGTAGTCTTTGCAGGTACGTGATGTACGCATATCTGACCCGAGTGTAGCAATTATCTATGACTACTCCAGGTGCTTAGTGAGTGCTTTGGAGACAGAGTCTATACTTGACATCTTCATGGTTTTCTAGCTACCTCCCGATGTATTACCAAGGTAGACCTGCCTTATAGCCTTTTTGAGTCTGCAGTCTGCTGAGCTCAACACCAGTTCTTGGAGCATCAGCAACGAGTTCTGGCGTCAAGTGAGTAGTGAATTAATACGTCGCCGTTTCCGTGTCGCTGATGTGCGCAGTATGATTCCTTTTTCGTTAAGCAGTTCGGTCATGGCAATTGCCTCTGGAATCGTTGTGAGTCGCACAGGGTCCTACCGGCCTATCATGTGGTTCGGATGGACTGTCATGACACTTGGTTGTGGCCTCATGATCATGCTGGATAATACGGCCACCCCGTATGTGGATCAATCAGTGTCGAAGTCAAGTGTTCCTCATAACTCTTCATTTAGTGCAGAGAATGAGATCTACCCCGTTATCACTGCCCTTGGTATTGGCTGCTTGTTCCAAGTGAGTTTACCACATTGTAATGATGCACGCTCATCATTGCCTCTGCGATAGACCCCGCTTATCGCCATACAGGCAGCCATGCCTATCAAGGATATGGCCACCAGTACAGGCGCTTTGATATTCCTCCGGTAGGTGTGACTTTACGACTTGTATTTCATAGGTGCTTATCGGTCTTCAGTACCATTGGGAGTGCTGTAGGCATCACGATCGGGGAAGCTGTCATTTCCAATGTTCTCCAGCAGAAACTACGGGGCATCCAAGGCCTCACAATCGATACCTCTGCTGCGGCTTTGAATGATAGCATCAGGCAGATTTCTTCCATATCTGTAAGAACAATTCCATGGTCTCGGTTCTGGCTTACTTATCAGTCCCTACCAGAACCCAACAGTGCGTAATGAGGTTATGCATGCTTACTCGCGGTCTATCAGCACAATTTGGTTGGTCATCACGCCGCTATCCGCGTTTGGTCTCTTGCTAGTTCTCTTTATTCGCAACTACACGCTCGAGCGCACGATCATCCGCAGCGGAGAGAAGAAGCTAGGAGATGCTGAGAAGGGTGCTGAGATAGCGAAAGTTGCAGAAAACCCACAAGTCATGGAGTTGAAGACTTTGGAGTACCAAACCTCGCTTGATGACGCCGCTGAATCAACAGACTCGGTGCATGATATTAGCAAGCAGAAGACGGAAGCATAGAATGAGGAAAGGATTATCCTACCAAGCCTGGGCTACGTTATCAATTTCATAGTTGAGTCTCTTAGTCTGAGTTATGTCTCTACTACACCGGCTGTAGTTATCTTGGTGGACTAGCTATGTACTACTAGTAATTATGCTTCATTCAGATGTTGCGATCGTAACTACGCTCTCAGTCGTGAATTTCATGTTACAACGGGGACCAACGGCAAAAACGCGCGTCAGCATAGCATGACGGGGTGGACGCAATAGCCACCGAACTGCCGGTTATGCCTTATATATTGTAGATATACTACCTCTTTTATTGCGGACACATCAAGTACAAATATACATTTACTTCAATCTACTTGATACATTTGCTTGTACTATAGCACTAGTATACACAGAATCAACGCGTCTCCACCACCACAAATACACCTACACTTCCTTCGCTCGTCCGGGAACTGGAAGGACAAAATATGTGTGAAGTAACGACCACGAGCGATAACGAAATCGTTGATATCCTATAAGATACCAAGTATTGAATTGACGAGGTACGTTTGAGCTAGATTTCAGTTGTATTCCTGAATGCGTAGGTCAGGGTTCCGATTCGTCAAATCGTCGATGAACAACCAAATACACGAACCCCTGCAAGTTTCTCTCCTTCATATAAAATAGCGAGGCAGGCCCGCAGACCCTTTGAACACCAGTGCATTTCGAGCCAACACAGGAGATTGTGATTCCAGAAGAAATCAAAAACATGATAGAGCCTGGCGTCCCATGGACGTGGAACTCGCGCGAGATGGATGGCCCAATTGTGGCATGCATACTTGAGAGCATGAGAAGCTGATTGACTTCGTTCTCGTACGTCGTTGGCACAATTTACGAAGGTCTTCATAGCACGGATGATCTCCATGTCCGGAAGATGATCTTGGGATGAAACCAACGTGGAATTATTGGGGTGCCTTAGCGCGAGGAACACTGGAAACGTCAAGAAATCCGGCAAACTCTTTAAATGCTGGATCACCTGGAGGGCTGGGAGGCAAGGAAAATCTGGGACAATTGGGTACTGGCTGACTGCTTCCAGTGTACTCCAGAATTCGACAATTGTCACCCAGACACCCATGAATGGCCATGCTTCAGCATGTGGTGTCTGCAGCCAGTCTTTTCCGCTCTCTGTCTGCAACCAGTCTTCGCCACCCCGGGTCTGCAGCCAGTCTCGTGCAGCCTGGGTCTGCAGCCAATCTCTTCCACTTTGTGTCTGCAGCCAGTCTCTTACGTTCTCTGTCTGCAACCAGTCTTCGCCATCCAGGGTCCGCAGCCAGGCTCGTGCAGCATGGGTCTGCAGCCAATCTCTTCCGCTTTGTGTCTGCAGCCAATCTATTCCGTCCCCTGTCCGCAACCACCTTTTGCCACCCCAGGTCCGCAGCCATTCTCGTGCGGCCTGGGTCTGCAGCCAGTCTTTTCCGCTCTCTGTCTGCAGCCAGCCTCGTGCGGCCTGGGTCTGCAGCCATTCTCGTGCGGCCTGGGTCCGCAGCCATTCTCGTGCGGCCTGGGTCTGCAGCCAGTCTTTTCCGCTCTCTGTCTGCAACCAGTCTTCGCCACCCTGGGTCTGCAGCCAGTCTTTTCCGTTCTCTGTCTGCAACCAGTCTTCGCCACCCTGGGTCTGCAGCCATTCTCGTGCGGCCAGGGTCTGCAGCCATTCTCGTGCGTCCTGGGTCTGCAGCCATTCTCGTGCGTCCTGGGTCTGCAACCATTCTCGTGCGGCCTGGGTCTGCAGCCATTCTCGTGCGGCCAGGGTCTGCAGCCATTCTAGTGCGTCCTGGGTCTGCAGCCATTCTAGTACGTCCTGGGTCTGCAGCCAGTCTCGTGTTTCCGGAGTCTGCAGCCATTCTCGTGCGCCCTGAGTCTGCAGCCAGTCTAGCATCAAGCCATGCGTCTGCAGCCAGTCTCGTGCGTCCTGAGTCTGCAGCCAGTCTAGCATCCAGCCATGCGTCTGCACCACCCAGTCTTCCCTGCCCTCTGTCTGCCCCCACTCTTTCCCTCCCCTCCCCTGTAGCCAGTCATGCCCGCCCTCGGTCTCAAGCCAGTCATTCACACCCTCGATCTTCAGCCATTCTTTCCCGCCTCTCCTTTGCAGCCAGTGTTTCCCGCTCTCGGTCTCCAGCCAATGTTTCCCGCTCTCAATCTCCAGCCAGTGTTCCCCGCCCTCGGTCTCAAGCCAGTCAATCCCACCCTCGGTCTCCAGCCAGACATTCCCGACCCTGCTCTCCAGCCATTCTGATCCATCCTCAGTCTCCAGCCAGCCTTTCCCGCCCTCTGGCAGCAGCCAGGCTAATCCGGACTGTGCCCGCAGCCAGCATTGCCCGCGACTTGTTTGCAGCCAGTCTTGGATGCTCTGGGTCTGCAGCCAAGCTCGTCCGCCCGGAGTCTTGAGCCACATTCCTTCCTCCGAGTCCCAAACACCACGGATTGGCATCCAATCGCCTTTGCTATGCCTGATTAGCATCCAGTCTCCCCCGCACTGTGTCTGCAGCCAGTCTTCACCGCACTGTGTCTGCAGCCAGTCTCCTCCCTCGCGCGTGCCAAGCAGCCAGCGTCTCTTTGCGTCCACAGTCTGCAGCCAATTTTTCCCGGCCAGGATCTGCAGCCAGTCTCGCCCTGCCTGTGTCGCTAGCCACCCGCCATTGGGCAGCCAGTATAACTTGTCTGTAGTCTGCAGCCAGCTTTGCCCGGCCTGGGTCTGCAACCACTTTCTCCCGGCCTCGGTATCCACCCAAGGTAATTCGTTTTCATCGTCAATTTCGTCAATTGCGTTCTCAATGCACTCTTTCGCATCCTCGGTCTGCAGCCAGCTTTGCCCAGCCTGGGTCTGCAACCAGTTTGTCCCGCCATAGGAACACAGCCAAAAGGTCTGACGTCGATGAAGCCAAATTCTCCCATTCTCGGTCTCCAGCCAACCATGCCCACCGTTTGGCCACAACCAGTTTTCCCCATTCCCGTCCAGGTCATGATCTGCCTCCACCTCTGTCTGCAGCCAGTCAAATCCGTCCTCTGTCTGCAGCCAGGCACGCCCGTCCCGGGTCTCTAGCCAACACCGTAACACAGGAGCGTGATCTCCCCGAACCCATAGCAGATCTGAAAGAACTTGCAGCGGCTCCAGCGGCTGAACGATGAACTTCAATGACTCCCTTAAATTCTGGGGGTCCTCAGATGGTATAACTTCACTATGTCTCTTCAATTCTACGAGCCCATCCAAGAGGGCCGTGCTTGCTGGTATCTCCTCTATCATCAAGCGTAACGAGGAATAAGCGAGGATGGAGTGGGGCGCGATGGGTTGTAGGTTAGGAAGGCTGCAATTCGAGGGGTTGGAAACATAATCACGAACGGACGAGTGATAGATATTCACGGGGAGACTGCTGTCAGTAGGAATATCCATGATGGACCGTAGCTGCACAAGCGTTGTCTCGACATCGTTTCCCTCACCAGGGCCAAGAAGTTTCGATATTTGTGACGCAGGAAGAGGGTCTGCAAGGGTGGCCACAACGGACAAGTGCATGTATGCCCGATTAGGGTCAGCGCATGTTGAGAGGATGCGGTCGTACAATCTGTATACCTCTGTGCCGGGTAGCAGCTGGCTTGTCAGGTCAAGCATGATCTGAAGCCGACCTCGGGGATCATTGTGTCCATCGTCGATAAACTTCATCATCGTAGACGCCACGATGAAACGTCTGCCTGCTCGTGTCGCTAATTTCACTAGTTGATCCCGCGTTGGCTGTGGGAAATCGCGATGGTGATCTCGCAGGCTTGCGAAGGAATGGTTGAAGAAAACATAGATATCATTATCCACGTCTGCGCCGTCTAAGGAGATGATGTCAGGGACACCGTCCCCAGAGGTTTTCACTGGTATCTCGCACACCAGCTGGTGCACCTCTTCATCCTCCATGGCTCTACGGACATGCGCTTCCAAGCGACTAGTGAGCAGAATGTGAAGCTTTGGCAGATCAGGTTCACGAAGAGCTTGGCCAAGCAATGTGATCAGTTCAACGAGCTCCGCTTTGGAGGTGCATTCATCAAGGGCATCAATGACGAATGACAACGGCGGACAACCCTGCTGTCTTTGGCAAAGCTTCCGGAGAGGTCGGAGAAACAAAACCTCCATCTGCTCGCGAACAGAACTGTTGGATTCTAGAACGGCAGGTTTTTCAATGATGGCTTTGGATACGTCACTCCGGACGCAGGAGAAATTGCTGGCAAGCTGATAGGCGAGGGTCGCGAATAAATATCCAGTCGTGCAGCGGTTCGTGTTCGTACGCGAGAAGAAGAATGTTCCTGCCAGCCGTTTTTCAACCTTCGTCACCTCTGATGCTTTCAGACCTCTCATCCTTTCAGCTACGGTGAATGCGACAGCAGACTTTCCTACGCCCGCCGTGCCATGCAGCCAAACGAGTTGGCTTTTCTCTGGGTTGTCTAAAAACCCGTAGATGTGCTTGAGAAGAGTCGTTCGGGTGTCTTTCAGACATTTCGGATGGGGCAGACGTTCACGGGAGTCGTATACAGCACCATGCACAGCGGCCTGCGACAGCTTCTCCCAAGCTTTTTCGGCTGATGATGCATGAGATGAGCACGAGAACCAGGATAAGACTTGATGAAGATACTGACGTAGATCTGAGTAACTCATTTGTCAAGGTTTATCGATATTCATCAAACGTGAACAAGTCTAATCTGCAGATTGGATCCTTTGCCGATGGTCGACAGAAGGCTTTGGGATGAGTCGAATGGATGGATGTTTCAATCAAGTTTTAATCGCGGTTTTAGGGTTATGGTAAGCTCGTTGGATGGTGTGGAAAGCAGATAAGGCAAGGGGTTGCAGAACACGAGGCTGCATAAGGCTGAGCGCTGAGCGCTAGTTTGTAGTCTCACGCCAACCAAGTACACAGGATTGGCTCATTCGGTTTGAAGTCTGGACAAGCGGTACTCACATCTAGATGCCTTCGTCAGGTTTATGTCTCGCTCGCTTCCCAGAACCTCATGCATTCAAGCCTCCTGGATTCATCGTTCAAATTCTGTCTTCCGGTTCTTGCCATGAGTTCGGCCACGTTCATAGTACCAGCTGATTGTGACGATACATGGCTAGAGGTGTTAGGCCCAGCGTTACGATTAACAGTTATATGCCTATGTAACTGACATTTTCTGAGTGCATAAGTGGTACCTCGGCTCCGAGTTGGCTTATGCAATCCTTTCCCGAATCCTGCCCAATTGAAATTCGGAAGCAGTTCTTTGAACAACCGTGACGCTGCCTCGATCGAATTCACTCCTGACCTTACAATCAGCATCGCAGAATTCCTCATACTCGAACTGGCCTTTTAACTGGCGCCATCTAATCTCACTTGGGAGCTTGAGCAAGGTTGAGAAAGATATGCAACGATAGAAGCACTTCCGAACTGAATGTACTACTATGGCCCAGGCGCCAACTGGATAACTGAATCCTGATGCGAAGAGAATGATGGTGTTCAAAGTTCAGCGCACGTCCACTACCGACCTTCACTGACGAAGAGTCCCTCCCTCATCTGCATGCCTTCATCTCTGAGGCTTTGAGATGGAGACCGCTGGTTCCCAGTGGTGGGTACCGTCCTTGCCAGTTTCAAGTTTCAAGTTCACAACATTTACATTGCAGGATTGGCTCACCGAACGACTAAGGAGGTGGTTTGGGCAAGTACTTTTTGACTTGCTGATTGTGAGAAGAATCATCCGGCCCATCAGAGGAACTATTGTATTCCAGCTGGGACTACAGTAGTCGGCCATCATTGGTTAGTTCTTCATGATAAAAAGTGACAAGGGCCTGACATGACAGGTCTATCTCTCGAGACCCAGACGTCTTTCCGGAACCTCATGCGTTCAAGCCCCAGCGCTGGATTGATGACCAAGGTCGCCTTAGGGACGATCTTAACTTTTCTGTCTTCGGGTTTGGTCGTTGGTAAACAACCATTCTTTTGGACACCCGATTTTCACTGGCCGTTGTTCAAGCATATGCCCCGGTCAACACGTCGCGACCAGGTAAAGGTTTCCCTCTATGCATACGACTTTCCAAGTTCAATTTAACTGCTACAGATCCGCGTGTTCATAACCTCACTCCTTATCTGTCGTGATAGCTTAAATTTACTGTTCGAGTCTTCAATTTTAATTACCACAACATTTGTACACATTTGTTCAAATGTAAGGATTACCAATCCTCTCGATTCACCTCAACCGTCACCTCAGTTCGCTGCCAACGTCGACCAGCATGATCCCCATAACCATTTCAAATTAGAGTCCATATTGTGAATCAATTTCACAAATTCGTCGTGTCCGCCTTCGATAAGCTCCTTTACAAGATATCCCACACATGACGACCCTGCCTTGGCAGGAGCTTTAGCGCCCGCCACGCTGAGAGTAAGATAAGCCAAGCCGGCGTCGACGAAGCGCACACGAGGGATTTAAATGGGGACCTGTAGCCTATAGATAATCCGAAGTACAAGAGAAATCAAACCATGCTTAATGGGCCCATCTACAGAACTGGTGTTACTTTCCACGATCATGACGAGTCGGTATGCCCTCTCTTCTTGATTTCGCTGTCACCGGCATAGCGCGATTTAAAGTCATCTGACGATAGCTCATCGGTCGTGATACATGTGTCGTTCAAACCGAGCTACGGTCGTTCCAAGGGTCCCAATAGCAACCGTAATATCAATGAAGCCTAAACGATATTCCGAATCCCAGCGCTCAATTCATTTGTCTGCGAGGTTCGAAGGTTAACACTGAAGCCTCGTGCCTCGGGCTCGGGAGCCTCGGAGGATCTTGGCAGAATTCACTCTTAACAAGTTGTGAAATGAACCCACTTAGTTTGTGCCCATTCTCTCCTGAGTCCTGACGTCTTCCATTCTTCAAATTCACTCGCTGTCCTTGAGTGGACGAGACTCTCACAAAATGACAACGATAGCGGAACTATCACCTTCGACAACAAAGGAAGCTAAAGAAAGGCCAAGCCCATCATGGAAAAGGAACGAAGAACATGTCGTACCCAAAAACCGAATGAGCATTGTGTTCTTTGGCTTGATGTGCACGGTATTCTTGGCAGCTTTAGATCAAGTACGCAATCGTGTTATTGCCTTCACGAATATCTGACTCACACACAACAAGACTATCATAGCCACCGCCTTGCCCACAATCGTAGCTGAATTTGGAGGGGGTAAGAACTACAGCTGGGTGGGAAGGTATGTATGTGTTACATCTACAGGGTGTTATTACGTGGTAATATTTTCCATACAGCGCATACATGTTGGCGTGCGCCTCTTTGGGCCCGCTATACGGCAAACTATCCGACATTTTAGGCAAGTGCCATTCAAATGCCATGAACCGTTCCTTGGGAATTAATGACTAGGATCCGCAGGCCGCAAACCCATGCTATATGGATGTATCCTGATCTTTTTAGTACGTTTATAATAGAATGCGCTTCCGATGCGAATTTGACCTCATGGCCTAGATCGGTTCAGCGCTGTGTGGCGCAGCTCAGAATATGACATGGTTGATTATCTCTCGTGCTGTCCAAGGAATTGGCGGTGGGGGCATCTTACAACTCGTACAGATCACTATATCGGACATTGTTTCATTGCAAGAGTGAATATTTCTCACCAACGCCGGTTCATTACTGATCATATTGATTTTCCAGGCAAGGCAAGTATGGCGGCTTCCTTGGTGCCACTTGGGGAATAGCAAGGTAAGACTAAATGAAACTCCCACGTTCAGCCCAAAAAATCTACTTATTTGTCAGTGTCGTCGGACCGTTACTCGGTGGCGTAAGATCTCCCATCTTCCGAAAGGATCTAGAATTGATGTTTTGCGTTCTAGGTTTTCACCGACCATGTATCTTGGAGGTGGTGAGTTTCTGTATCTATTCGTTGACCGAAAGTTCACAATCGACGCGTAAGGTGCTTCTGGATTAATTTGTGCGCTTCACATATTTCCATTGTTTGCGCCAAGATTTAGAAGCTCACCACTATGGACAGACCGACTGGCGGATTGGCTGGGGCACTTCTGTTCTGTTTCTTGAATTTGAATCCCCACCAAGGAAGGCCGTGGCGCGAGCATATTCGGGAATTTGATTTCGTTGGCCTTTTTGTGATCATCATAGGTGTCGTTTGTCTACTCATGGGTCTCAACTCGAGCGAAACGACGTGTAATGTCATCCTGTTGCTATAAAGAACCGAAACTTACTGTTATTTTTAGGGCAGAGCGCCGAAACCATTGCACTCCTTGCTGTGGGAGGCACGCTGCTCATCATCGGTGGCGTTAATGAGATCTTCACGAAGCGGTCCCCCATTATTCCTCCTCGTCTTTTCAAGGTGAGTTATTGAGAAAGGCGCTCATATTGTCTCTCACGGTTTGACAGACACGTACAACGGGCTTGACATTAGTTTCTGTCTTTTTGCATGCTATAGTGTTCTTCGCAGGTGCGTGATATACGCAAATCTGTCTCAGGAATAGAGGCTATTTATATGAATACCCCAGGTTCTTAGTGAGTACTTTGTAGTCGGTGTTTATACTTGACAACCTCACGTGTTTTCTAGCTACCTTCCAATGTACTACCAAGGTAGAGTTGTCTTATAGCCCTCGAATCTGTAGTTTGCTGAGCTCGACACTAGTTCTTGGCGCATCAGCAACGGGTTCTGGCGTCAGGTGAGTAGGAAATCCACGTGTTGTTGTTTCCGTGTCGCTGATGTGCACAGAATGCTTCCTTATTCGTTAAGCAGTTCGGTCACGGCAATGGTTTCTGGAATCATTGTAAGTCGCACTGGGTCCTACCGGCCTAACATGTGGTTCGGATGGGCTGTCATGACGCTTGGTTATGGCCTCATGATCATGCTGGATAACACAACCACTAAGTATGTGTATTGTCGGTGTCGAAGTCAAGTCATCGTTATAGCTGTTTTATTCAGCGCAGCGAAGGAAATTTACCCCCTTATTACTTCCATTGGTATCGGTTGCTTGTTCCAGGTAACTTTACCATATCATAACAATGCACGCTCATCATTGCCTCTACGATAGTCCCCGCTTATCGCCATACAAGCAGCCATGCCTATCAAAGATATGGCCACCAGTACAAGCGCTTTTATGTTCCTCCGGTGAGTGTGATTTTATGATTTGCATTTCATGCGTACTTATTGGTTTCCAGAACTCTTGGAAGTACGGTGGGTATCACGATCGGGGAAGCTATCATTTCCAGTATTCTCCCGCAGAAACTGCGGGGCATCCAAGGCCTCACAATCGACACCTCTGCTGCGGCTTTGACCGATAGCATCAGGCAGATTTCTTCCATATCTGTAAGAACAACTCCATGGTCTCGGTTCTGGCTTACTTATCAGTCCCTACCAGAACCCAACAGTGCGTAACGAGGTCATGCATGCTTACTCGCGGTCTATCAGCACAATTTGGTTGGTCGGCACGCCGCTATCCGCGTTTGGTCTCTTTCTAGTTCTCTTTATTCGTGACTACACGCTCGAGCGCACCATCGTACGCGGTGGCGAGAAGAAGCTAGGAGATGTCGAGAAGGGTGTTGAGCAAGCGAAAGTTGCAGAAGAATCTTCGGAGCACGAAAAGAGGCCAACTTCCTTCGATGACGCCACTGATCAAACAGACTCGGCAGATAAAACTAGCAAGCAGAAGACGGAAGCATAGGATGGGGAAAGGATTATTCCCATGTCATGTATCTTGGGCGTAGGGTTGGTCGATACCCGATTAACGGTGATTTATATTTAACTCGCATTTTAACGATTTGAAAATAAATTTTATAGCTTGTAAACGCATTAGAGCATCGAATGAATTTCTCTCACTTGCGCATATCTATAATGAATGACCTCGACGGACTGTTCTGCAGAGTTCGCAATTGGTTACCCCACTGTAATACCCCACCTCCCCTCACTTCGTGTGAAACACTGACGGTCCTTTGGGTGTGATACATTGATGATGCATCAGTGAGGTTTGCAGTCCTTTTGAATCCCGATCAGCAGCGCTCCGCGTAGTGGCGAAACATCGTCCATGTTCTCTGCGGCACATTCGTACAGCTCAACGACGTTACATTCTCGACCGCTCTACCTACGCTGCCTGACCCCAGAATTCCCCGTCCATGTCCCGCCCCAGACTCGACTCCTTGAGTAGCCCGATCATACCTAGGATTGTCGTTTGCCATGCTTCCTTGATCAGCCGAGTGAGTGACGAATGGCAAAGAATATGTGTCGGATTCAGTTGATGGTCGTAACCAAGGTCCAAAGTACTTTGCGGACACACAGGATGGGCGTTGAACCGGCCAGACTTGCAGTCTTATGGCCAGCGTATACACCACTGTTGTTGTCTGTCTATCTACGTGTCTACATGTTGCTCTTCTCTACCTGGACCCCGAACCCTGGCCTGACTCCTGGCACTCAGTCCCGTGACTCTGCTCTATGCCTTACGCGTCTAACTCGTGTTCTTCGCTCCTTTTGTTCTCGGTATTCCATTTCGCTTCCCGAGTCCCGACCAAGTAGAGGGAAGAGCCGGTTCAACTTCGTACGCACTCATGAAGCCAGGAACAGGCTTGTTTAGCCTGTGGCCGTTTCTCTGACTCTGTAATTTTGCCGCACTTGGTCACTGCGGGCCCGGCACGGTGCGCTCGGAACCCAGCATCACTAGCGCGGGCTGCCATGTCTGACAATCTGCATACGATATTATTAGCTTGACATTGTCAGCTATGGATATCCAAGAACTACTAGCATTCCTGGTTGGTCACAGTACCATAAGTCTATTTCTGATGCCTTATCTCAACGTGGATCAATTCTGTCCTGTATTTGAGAAGTGGTAATGGGGTACTCTTCTTCTACCAGGTCCCAGGTCCTACTTTCTCCCATAACCGTCTAGCGAGTTGAAATGCCCAGCTTAACCTTGCCCGAGTGTGAGCGCTATATCCAGCCCCCAGCAACAAAGGAAGACTGTGAGCAAGTATCTGATTTACATAGTATGCCTGGCTAACGATTCAGTGTGTAGTAGAGTTTGCGGACCTGGCTATCATTGACCTTTCCAAGGCTCACACACCGGAAGGACGAGCAGAACTCTATCCACAACTTCGGGATGCACTGCGCACCTACGGCTTTGTTTATGCTATCAATCATGGTTATAGCCAGGCTCAGGTAGGCTTGTGCTGGTGACTCTTAGTACTAAGGTTTCTGAAGTATTGTTCCAGCGTGATAGGATCTTTGACATAGCTGACGTCCCTTTCAATGTTGTCCCTCCGGAAGAAATGAAGACATATACCGCGAATATTGAGAAAGTCGGGTATTATGCAGGTTTTAAAGGTCGTCAATTTTGGGTGGGTCATATTCCAGCAAGGAACTATATATGTAAAACTTGCCCTTATCGCTGACGGTCAGAAAGTCGACACGGAGAACAACATTCTCGATCAGATCGAGCACTATGGAAGTACGTGCTACAACCATCTGTGTGATAGGTGTCCCCTACAACGTCAACAGTTAACAAGGACGTCACAAGGCGTCCGCACCCTCAGGCCTTGCGACCGTTCATCCCAGAAATCGATGCCTTCGTCCGACACAATCACTTTAACATTGTCCACCCAATTCTTCGGTTAGCTTCTTCGCGAGGTCCCTTGTTGATGCTTCATCTCACAAGCGATCTTATACAGCTTGATCGCTTTAAGCCTTGAGTTGCCTGAGGAGACTCTAGTGGAAAAACACAACTTTGATGGCACGGGAGAATCATGTGGTTGGTCTTATTCTCCTGTATCGAGTCCTATATTAATGAGCAAATGCGCAGCCAGATTGATGAAATAGCAAGTGGCTCTTAGTCGCAGATACTTATTGACCTGATCAATAGTTCTAAAGTTATAGGCGCTCGGAGGAGGAAGAGGAGAAATCCAAGAATGTCTGGTTGAAGGGCCACACAGGTATACTTTATTTTACTACTTGCCCTTATCTGCCTCAACCATGCAGACGTTGGCAGTGTCACCGTTTTGTGGAGCCAACCTGTCGGAGGCTTGCAAATTCAAGCTCCTGGCGGTAGATGGAAATGGGTCCGACACATCGAGAACGCTTTGGTACGCAAATGCACTAGTGAACTGCTGTGATAGTCGCAAACCTAACGTTCTGTCCTCAGGTCATCAATACAGGCGACATGATGGGTTTCTTCACTGGTGGATACTATAAGCCCACGATCCACCGCGTCGTCCAGCCTCCTGAGGATCAGCGCAACTACGACCGTCTCGGCGTATTCTACTTTTCGATGCCAGATGACAACGTTCGCTTACTGCCGTATGTTGAGAGCCCGGTGCTTCACCGCGTCGGCATCCAGCGCCGGTGCCCTGACGAGGATGCCCCGCTGTGCATGACATGGAGGAAGGGAAGGACAACGACGTATGGTAGGTCTGATCTCAAGAAGGGAACAGAGCATAATGTCGAAGAAGAGGTTATTGAGGGTATTGTGGTGAAACATTACAACTAAGGAGTCGCGGACTGCATCTCTCTCGAAATCAGTACGATATCTCGGTCGACGTATCCTGTATGATTTAGCGCCATCTGAGACTATGCTGCACAAGCGCTAGTTCTCAGATTGTATTAAGTATTATGTGAGACAAAGCAATGTCACAAGTTGCGACTCGCAATTTCGAGATATAGATACAAACATATTTACCAGAAAATAAGTACATGCATGTCGTCTAGAAGCGCTACAAACATTACACCCCACGAGCCTCCAGACGATCACGGAAGAGTTTCTGGAACTGCGAGGCGTGATCAATGTCCATGAGTGTGTTGTGTTCCCCAGGAACGTCTGTAAATGTTGGGTCACTGCGGCTGAAGCCAGTCCATGGCTTGAGCTCATTGAGCCAGTTAACTTTGTCATCCGGACCGCGAGGGGGGACGGCATAGAAAACATCGATGGCAGCTGAAGAGAAACATGACATGTGAACAAGCAATGCTGAAGTCGGAAAATTAATGACATACGAGCTGTGCCCTCCGGGCTGTATCCCTTTCCACAGCGCATGAGAGACGCAGAGACTTCTACCCAATGTGCAAGAGTTTCAGGTGTCAGCTGGAGTTCGGCGAGACGTTCAGGAGGCGACATCTTCCACACGATCTCAAGCCTCTCCTTCTGTGTGAGCGGTCTAAAAGTGGGCGCCATATTTTCAGAATCTTGCTTCGACAGAAGACCCAGGAAGAACGCCACGTTAAGCGTACATATCAGGTCGATATTGTGCATGTGTTGCGCGATGTAGGGAGGAATGTTGACGAGGCCGAGGAACCTGACTTCTTCGCCCATGGCCTCTAGGCGCTTAACCACCTCAAAGGCCATCAATCCACCGTAGCAGTAGCCGGCGAGGGCGTATGGTCCCTTTGGCTGTATTCTCCTGATACCTGCGGTATAAGAGGAAACCATTTCGTCCATGGACGTGAAGAAGGGCTGTCCAGGCTCAAAGCCACGAGCACGGAGTCCATAGAAGGGACGGTCATTCTGGAAGTACTTGGCGAGATTTAGGAAAACAAGAACCTCTCCGACACCAGGGTGCACGAAGAAGATGGGCGTCTTGTCTCCAGTCACTTGGAGGGGAACGGCGGGGTCGTATTCCTCAGCCTGACTATCCTTGGAGAGCAAGGAGTCGACGTAGCTGGCCAGGCTCGAGACATCGGGGTGCTTCAGAATTTGAATGGCAGGAATTTCAGGCAGGCCAAAGTATGCCTCCCCCTCACGCTTGAGCCTGCAGATTGTTGTGTTAGTGAAGGACATGTTAAGCGGGTAAGTGATGGATTTACCTGAGAACACCAATAGATGTACCGCCGAATTCAAAGAAGTTGTCACTCGCAGACACTTCGTTTTCTGCAAGGTTCAGAATACCTGCAAATATATTGGCAAGAGCCTTTTCCGTTTTGGTGGAGGGGGCCACGAAGGAGGCGCCGCGTGCCTCACTAAGAAGCTCATCAGAGCGGGCGATATGCTTCGCCAGCCCACCTTTTTGAAGGAGGATGAGGAGGCGCGCCCGGGAGAGTTTCCCTAGAGTTGACTTCTCCATCTCCTTCACGGGGATGGGAATGATCAATTGGGGTGGCTGGGTGATCATCTTGACAGAGATATCACGTAAGGCGCGGTTCGTAGCAAAGAGCTTCATGGGCGCGTCTGCTTCATTGAGGTCGAAAGATGGCGAGTAGAAAATGACGAACCCTTCGGTCTCCTGGCCGGGAACACGGTAAGGAGCAGCAGCGAGGAAAGAGTGCGTGACGCCTTCCAAAGTCTGGAGATGAGTTTCAAGCTCGGGGATACCATACGTGACACCATGAATGATGACGGTGTCCTTGATACGACCAATAAGGCGCATGACGCCACCTTCGATGATGCCTACATCGCCAGTGCGGTACCAGCCACCCTCGACAAAGCTGGAAGACGTAGCCTCGGGGTTTTTGTAGTAGCCTACAAAGACCATCGGTCCGCGGACCTGAAGCTCACCGCTCTCACCATCTGGGCGCGGAGTGGTGCCGTCGACAGGGTCAACGATGCGCATCTCGCAACCTTTAATGGGACGTCCGAGATCAAGGAACTCGCGGGCAGGTTCAGTTGCAAGAATATCGACTGGGTCATATATGCATCCACCGCTGCAAAAGATTAGTCACTTCAGATCTATCGTCGATATCGTCAGAATATTCCTACCAAGTTTCTGTCATTCCAAATCCAGCAGAGATGATGAAGGACACTGCGGAGGGGTTCTTGCTAAGCTTTTTTAAGATAGCAGCGAGGTTTTTTGCGGTCTTCGAAACCACTGCTTCACCTCCGCTGATGATGCGCTTGACAGAGGACAGGTCGAAAGATCCATGAAGGTCGGTACGCTTTTCGAGATCACGAGCAAGCTTGGCCAGCAGAAAGTTTGGTGCGAAAGCTAGACCAATGGACTGAGAATAGTATGAGGAATGGATAAGTATACGCCACGGCTGGATTTGGACATACATTTTCGTCGATCAGACGAAGCATGCGAACAGAATCGGACAGAATAACAGATGCATGGACGTGGACTTGCGAAGCACCATATAGGAGAGGTGTGACGTGCATTTCTATAGTCCCCGCGACGTGATCAAATCCGACCCCTGACGGCCATAAGTTAATTCTTGAACGAAGCTCCGACGATGAATGCCTTACAGTTCAAGACTCGAGACTCAGAAGGGGGACCGAAGCGTTGTTCCTTGGCACGGCAAGCAGCAAGAATGGTACGGTGCGTGTGCACTACCGCCTTTGAGAACCCAGTCGAGCCTGAAGTCAGGAAGAGCATGGCGGTATCATCGGGCTTGGGCTCGTATGCAAGCCAGTCAGCTGGGACAGTGAAACTCTCTGCAGAGAATTTCAAGTCAGAGAACAAGTGGACTTCCAGATCATCAATGGTGCTGATCTGCTCAGCACCAAGCTCGCTGGTGAGCCAAATTGCAGACCCAAACAGGTTCTTGATATGGGCAACGTGTGCCTCCTTATGTGCTTGTTGTGCACTAAGTGCTGGCTGCAAGCAGGGAACATAGCCAGCCATTAGACAAGCCCAGATTGTAGCCATATTCTCTTCGTGTTCGGTCAGGTACACAACGATAATTGAACCAGTGGGCTTGCCCCACTCGAGCATGGCGCGTGCGAGGTTGCGAACATATTGGTTGAATGCGCTGAAAGTCTTTTTTTGAATGGAAGAGTCATGTGCGGAGGAGGTGATGAAAGCAAGCTCGTGTGATGGATAGCGGTTGACAGCTTGAGTAATGATGTCATGAACCGTGTGGAAATCGGGTTGCGCCATTGTGAGGTATCCGAATGATTAATGACCAGCTGAAAAAGTTGTGTAGGGATGTTGAGGGCGGACGTCCGACTTTTATACAGTTCTTCATTGGGTATCATATCGAGTCTTGCCATGTTTCCTCGTCCTGGCATGATTTTAGTACCACAACACTTGGAATAGTAAATGTTACACTGTCACTTAGCCGTCACCAACTTCAAATTATGCAGTGGCCAAGATGTATTGGCTCTTACCCTGTGCTATGCGGATGGATCTACCGGTTCATCCCATGAGTTTAGGATGGTGCAGGATCACAGTGAATGGTATTACAGAGACACTCAGTATGTCAACTGGCTCCAGATCCACACCCGCGCTCCAATATCGGAATTCGAAAATTGCAGTCACTGGCAGCAGTTCAATTCTGGTTCATTGCCACCACCCTCACGAGGAGGATGATATCATTCTCGCAAAATTCGAAACTCTGAAGCATCGAGTCGTGTCTTCCAGTCGCCTGCTTTCAGTGCGGGCCGCTCCTCATCATGATAATGAGACGCTGACGAACAAGTGCGCTTCTTTTTGATGAACCGAAGCTGCCGAACATGCCAAAAAAAAAAGAAGAATCAGAACCAGGCCTTGGAATCGTTGGGCACAAGCCACGCACATGGCCACGTCTGCAAGGCGGAAATGGAATGATGATGACGGTACTTGGAGAAGGTGTTACGAGTATGCCAACACATCCATTGCCAATGGTGTTGCTGGTGCACTGGTGAGCTGAACTCACTCCACTACACTTCAATAAATGAGGTGCAGCCAAGCAAAGCTTGAGCGACCTTCATTTATCTATGCTTTCGTGGCTTAGTGGCTAGAGGGCCCGGGATACGTGACACCACATAAGCAAGTTGAGGAACTGGAAGTGTCTAGAGATAACAGGTATCTGGGAGGGCTTTTCGGGCCTACAAGTAGTGTTTCAAATCGAAGGTGATCTGTGATGGACGGGTGGGCACCAATTAAGGTCACTGCGTGATGCTTGAATCTAGGAAGCGAACCCAAGCGGCGTCGGGCAAACGGATCGACTCGGACAAAGCGAAGGGTTTGCACATTTGAAAAAGGGGTTGGAACGAAATGCCGCAGAAGGCATGGCAGCTGGCAGATACGAACGAATGGCGAAAGAAGAGAGGAAGCAGACGGATCTACGGTGCCGTATCAGACAACTGAAGGGGGCCCGACCTGCTAGACAGGCTAGGAGGGTGCCAAGGTCACTGACGCGGCACAACCAACTGACGCCTATACTGCCTCAACTCTAGCGCACATGTGGAGCGAATGTATATAACCTTGTGCCGCAATCTGGAGAAACATACCGTTTACCACAACTTCGGACAATCACGGGCTCAGACGGCGTCTACAAGATATTTAAACTCCGACTCGCCGAGTGACAAAGCCGATCTGTCGCACTTCAGCGCTTCAGCAACTATCTCGGCCGCATCTCGGTCATTTCTGCACTGATTGAACTACTATAGATCTAGAATAAGCATATAAGCATTCAATTGTATTCAATGGGGTAAAATATTGAGGTAGAATTATATGTGTTGTGTCCAAACCAGTGATCCGAATTGTGGCAACGGTAAGTATAGACCGGTCCGCGGACCATCAGTCCCCACAAAGTCCGAGATGTATGAGTACTCGAGTCCTGCTTAACTTAATCATGACCAGATGCTATAGATCATAAATCTACAAAACTTCGCTCACAACAACAACTCCATCAGAGAAATTCAGAGAAAACACATATCACATTGCTAAACCTATAGGAAGCGACCCAGACCAATCAGAGTACACCAGCAAAGCTTGACAGCAATGCGTAAACACGAAACAAAGGTAGTGTGCGCTGCGGCCGCTGCCCCTTTCCTCATGGGCCCTATATCGCTGATTAGAATCGTTTGTAGAGATACGTGGCCTTTTGTCAAAATTGTGCACATCTTGCCCAATGACAATACACCACAAGTGTATCTAGTATATGAACGTGTAATGAAAAGGCGGAGTACCGTCGTCAATTCTCGCTGGTGGTCCTCTTTCCAGAAACAAATTCAGACCTCCCATGGTGACGTCTGTCTCGCTGTTTGTGAGTCAAGTTGATGATCGACGTTAAATGACCGCCACGCACACAGTGTCGGATCTATCATGAAACAAATAAGAGAGCTGACACGCTGAAGATTTTCTAAACAGACCATTCACCGTCAACTCCCTTTCTGCGTCCAGAAGACATATCGTACTGACTATGGGAGCAGTGCTACCGCTATGGCTCAAGTTTCTGGATGAAGTATATAATTGTTCTCGCAACTGAGAACAAGCGCTGAGGCTATTCTTCAGACGTCCAAAGTCGTGACTGTGCTGACTGCGGCGGCACTTCTCTATACCCGCTCTGCAGGAGTCGCATATTTTGTGACTGGCGCATTATTATGTTCAAAACTTGCTAAGGTCATCAAGAAGGCAATACGACAGGAGCGCCCATCACAGTTCTCCGGGCGTAAAGTGTCCTATGGGTGCGAAAACTCGATCCACTTCCAGTGGCGCATACAGAGTTCTGATTAGCATCGTCAACACAGGATGCCAAGCTCACATGCATCCACGTGCACCTTCTTCGCTGTATATATTACCCTTGCTTGCCTTGAGCTACCTATCCACCCTACCTTCCCTCGTTTCGCTATGTTCGCTCCAGTGGTTGTCTTACCATGGACATACATGATAGCTGTGTCAAGGGTCCGGCTGGGACATCACACATGGCCCCAGATTGCGGCAGGAACTTTACTTGGAGTCTGCTGTGCTAGCTTTTGGTTCAAACTATGGGTGGAGGATGTGGCTGGCGTCATGACAATTGCATCATCAGTAAATGTCAAGTTCACTATTGTCTCACTTATCTCACTTTTTTGGGTAAATTAAGTGAAATATCATAGCCCTCGATCGAAAAAAGTTTGCTGCTTTACTTGGCTGAGCAGATCCCTCTACTCGTTTCCGTTTCTCACATTTTATTATCGCGAGTATGTACTGATTTTAAAAAGGTAACCCAACCCTTCTACACCTTTCAGCTCTAAATTAATTCGCACCAGAAATAGTCCTCAAACAGCATCCGGCTTCTGGCTTCTGGGCCACCAGCCAATAGCGAAAGTACGAGGAGTACGAGGAGTAGCAGGAAGTAGCATATTGGTAGCGTCCAGCCGAGGGGGGAGGCAAATTTGGCTGACTGCGCACCATCTCGTAAGTTAGGGCGTTCCGAACTCGGAGGGGGACAGGGGGACCTCACTGTCCGACTGATCATCCCATTCCGAGCGGCTGAGATGAAGTTGGACAACGCTACCGATTATCGTGGTCTTCAGGGCCTGGGCACACGTTGAAGTGGACAGCATTGAGGTCTGGGTCCCCAGGACTCGTGTCCCTTTACATGTGATCCTAGGTATAATTTTAGGTACAACATCCAGGAATACCTAGTCCGCTCAAATATTCTGTGAACGCCGACAAGAACAATGCCAGTGGCCGCATCAATGATGAACCATTGTCAATTGAGTTAGGACGCACTGGTCAACGACCTTTTGCAGAACAAAGGACAATGCGTGTTTGAACTTTGTGGGTCCCCCCTAATCCTATGTAGACAGATCACAGGGGAGATGTCGAGAAGTTATAATAAACGCACGAGAACGTCGCCAAAACGGCTTAAAGCAGCTAAAAAAAGCGGGGAGCACTTTTATTAGACTGCCACCTAAAAGGGGGCCAAGGGGGATCTCGGGCGTCTAGGGCGATGTGAAGAAAATTCTGAATCTGCTTGGAGTTGTTACTGAACATTGGAATTGATGCCCCTTCATATAAAACTTTGCTAGGAACTGCAATGTAAAACCTTGTAAAACTTGCGGTTTTGACGTTGTTGCCATATGGCGGTGTCGGCTATTCGGCTACTAAACAAAGACTGTAACAGATTCCTTGGAAGTCGCAGGAAGTCACCGACCTTCGAGCAGTCGTAGCGCCTACTACAGACACGATTCGGTACCGCGCCGTTCCTTCAAAGATTCCACGGAGAACGTTGAACGACCCAAAGGATAACGCATTTCGTACGTATTTTCTATTTACATGTTACGGAAGCGCGAGGATAACACGGCTTATATAATCTCATTTATAGCATTCAAACTCATTTTCAGCATCACCGTTGTGCACAGCAGCGAGGAGAGCTCTGGCGACGTTGAGAACAGTTGGGTTCACAGGTGAGTACTGCGACCACGAGTCCTGCCACGTGTACTCCCGCGTTCGTTGCGGGGGAAGATGTCTATGATCATGTTCCACAGATCTGTGCCTGCCCTGTCTTCTTCTGATCTTGATTCCTGACAGCCCGAACCGTGACAGAAACACCTACTTACTCCTTTCTTTTCGTTTTCACAGTTTACGACCACCTACGACTGCAATTTTGTCTTACCGACATCCGTGGTATCCCTATATAACCCACTAAATTCAATCGACATACCCGAGAACGTGACACTGGCTCCCCACATCAACCAATACGTCCGTTTCGCTCCACCTGAAAAGTTCTCTCATATTCAACCCATCACCAGAAGCACAAATTCTAGCCGGTAGCCCATGGCTGCCCAGGAACTTGCCCGCTGGACACGCTTTGCCGCCAAAGGAGGTGTTGGCCGTTGTACAGCGACCGTGGATTGCGTCGCAAGGGACATTGGCGATCTCATGTTTCTCAAGGTGTGTATTCGTTATGATTTTGAGTGCAGCGGTTCGTTTTCTTGCAGTGTTTTGGCTGTTTTGTTTGAGGATGCAGTTGGGTCCAGTTTCAGCCAAGAGCCAAGATAATGTTTGACCGAGACATACAACCTCGTATTGCTCGAGGTAGCGAGGGTGCATCCTTCTGAGTCTTAGCACTGCTTTCTCCGTGGAATGCTTTCTTTCAAAATGCTAACATACACCACCCCTAGGACGACGAAATTACAGTGCTGATGCAGCTTCCCGAAGCTGGGTATTACTTGGTGCGTGTTCTTCTCTCCGTTGTTCCAGTTTATGGTTCTCTTGGTATTCTGGTCTTTACTTGTCATCTCCACACTTTTGCCATGCTTTGACACTTATTTGCGCGGCTTCGCCTTGGCTTTTCGTTTTATTCGGTCCTCTGGGTTGACACTTTCCTAACATCTATTCACACCTAGGGCTTCTGCGAAGGTGTCGTGGGGCGCTTCTCTGGCACAGACGTGAATTTTCACGGGAAACTCAAACGCCCTATCATGGCAAAACGAGGATCCCTTGGCGTTGCTGATACGCGCCCTATGTCACTCGAGCGGGCATCACCGTCGTGGCCTGAGAGCTCGAGCGGCGCAAGGGCAGGCAGTTCAAATTCGAATCGTCCTGGAAGCTCAGTTGCAAGAGCCGAGAGTGCTTCTGACTCACGTCCCGGGACCTCGCCGGTCAGACGGAAGCCACTTTCTCCTGATATGTACTTATATTCGTCCTCCCCTGAGCGCTTGAGGGAATACGAGCGAACGGGCCGTGCACAGGAGTTGACAGCGTCTGTATCTGGGTCATCTGCATACTCAGCTGTATCGATGTCGAGTGCTGCTTCGACTACGTTCTCCGATGGCGAAGAATGGCGTAGTAGCGAGGATTCGTTTTTGTCGAGCAGAGTGGTGCCGTCGTCTTCGTCTGGTTCGGTGCAAGCTTCGTCGAGCACGAAATCAGTGTCCACTTCGTCTTCGTCAATGGATTCGATGCCAACATCTTCATCAAACTTCACCCCGGCTACATCGAGTGTGCAATCCATTCCTTCCTTAAGCTCGACACACTCTTCCTCCGCAGGATCTGTAGAGAAGCTCCTTCGATCTCTGTCAAATCATTCACCTTCGATATCTCAGTCCACCTCAGGCTCCATATCCGCATCCGCTTCTGAGTCCATGTCAGGCACCTTTCTAAATTCAAGCTCGACGTACGGGTCCTTGACCTCAGCACCTACTTCAAATTCGTCGTCGTCTTCCACCAATTTCGTGACTAATCCGACGAAAGGGCTGACCGTGGCTCCGCTGCGCCTCAACAAGTCGCCGCGACTTACAGCGAGCCCGATGCTCCCACCGCTGTCGCCTTTGCCTGGATCAGGATCAACCTCACGCACTTACTCACCCCTCCCACCACGCTCTCCTCGCTCTCCATCTTTCACGCTTCCAGCAGCGTGCAGTCCACCACGCTCGCCTCTCCCGCCACCGCCACCAGAAATACCACAATCTCCGCCATCCCCACCATCCACTGCGTCGTCAGCACCGGAGTCGAACTCGGACGCAGATGATTCTTCACTATATCTTAATGATGACCCTGACCATGAACACGACGAGAGCACACAATTCTCTTCGCTGAATCGTCATCTGGAGGGCGCGGAGGAAGAGGAAGACGGGGAGACGGGTATCGGGCTGAGCTTGCTTGGAGCACTTGCCATGGATGATGACGATGAGGAGGACGGAAGTGAGAAAGGGTATGGTGATCGACCATGGCTGGAGGCGGGAGCAGGGGGCAGGAATGGCCATGATTTGGGTGATAGAGCGGGGGAGAGTACTGCGACGGATGAGGGTACACCGATTCCGTGGACCAAGTATACGCCTTCCATTTCAAGGTCTCCAACAGCCGAGCATGAAAGCAGTAATGCGCCGCACGCATCGTCTGCAAATGAGACTGCGCAAGACCACGCCATCACGCAGGACGACGAATCAGAACAGCACCTAGACAGGACAGGTGAGATTGGTGAAGAAGAAGAGGAGGAGGAGGATGAAGAAGGCTACTGGGCCTGTGCATCCGACATCTACGACGACTACCGCTACTCCCGCCACAGCTTCTCATCCAAGCGCATGTCCACAATGTCCGTGAGGTCGAAAGCGCACATGTCCGTTCTCTCGGGTGCCAAGGTCCCTCCCGTACCGAGCTTCTCGCCAGACCAGTCCAGCTTCGATGCGTTATCACGCCCTAGCGTCTCGAGTGGTCGACCTAGCGTTTCGAGCAGTCGACCTAGCGTTTCAAGCACTTCGAGTGTGAGTCAACCCGACCGGGCCAACATCCCATCTACGTATACCCAAGCGACCGCCTCCGTCTACTCGCGGCCCTCCTTCGAGTCAACATCTTCTACAGATCCCGGTTCCCTTGTGTCCTTTGAACACACACCTCACGGCCCCGTCGACGGCCCAGAGGTGCGTCTGCGCCCTCCCATTGCACGCCAGTTCTCTACAGACTACGAATCCACGCGGACCCTCTCGACCTATTCAGTGCAGACGTTGTCGCCGCTCAGTGCGCAGTTCCCGCAAGTCCCTACTGGGGTGCCCAGCAGGTTACGAGTGACGAACACGGATATAGACGATGAGAGTGATGGTGAAGGTGTGAGTTTGAGAAAGGAGAAGGCTCCCCCGCATGCGTTGAATCCGGTGTCCCCCTTGCTTTATGCATCGTTTGGCGCTAACGATCGACATTCGGGGTATACGGAGGAGACAGAGATACACTCATCTGGGTATTCGGAGTCGGATGACGGGCACGCGTCTCGCAAGTCGCGTGGGCTACGGTCAGATGCAGAGAGTCTGCGATCGCCTGTGTCACCTACAGATGGGTCTAGTGTTGCCTCTGTGCTGCGCATGGGTACGGAAAGTGGACGCGAGCAGCGCGTTGGTCTGGGGATGCGTCTTGTGGTGGATGATGATGATGAGGGGGATCGTCCTGGAGTGGAAGAAGATGTGGGTGTTGAAGGCGATACGTCGTTAGTATCGAGCGAGACTGGGACTGCTTCCACAGGGCATACTGTTACTCCAGCGTCGCTCTTGCAGTCGACGATGGGTGCGCCATCTGCGCTCATGCCTCGGGCACCTGCAGCACTTATGCCGGGGTCGCCATCTACACCAATCCCTGGCCCTTCACTTGCCCCCGTCACTCCGTCAGCACTAAGTCCTGGAGCTCCATCAGCACTGAGTCCTGGAACACCATCAGCACTGAGTCCTGGAGCTCCATCAGCAATGAGTCCTGGCGCACCATCGGCACTCACTCCTGGGAGTCCGGCTTCAGGCCAAGACGCAGCACCACCGTCGACTCTGCGCCCCCGTCCATCCAACAAGGCACCTCATCCCTTCTCCCGTACATCGATATTCCTCCCTCATCCAAATGCTCCCAAGATAGCTCCAAGCGGTCAGGGGCTGGGTCCCATGTATGCACGACCCCAGCATCCTACTGCAAGCCCTGGGCCAATACCTCCCGTGCAGCCACCACCCAATGCGACAGCGTTCTCCGCTCAAGTTCTTCGCCATCTGAGGAGTATCTCCCTTGGTCCTGGCGTCGGCCCTGGCGCGCGCAGGCCTCCAGTAACGCTTTATGCCCGCTGCGAGCCTGATTTGAACTCGAGTGCTGGCCCCGTACCGATCATGTTCTCAATGGACCCACTTCCACCATCACAGGCTCGCATGGCTCATCCAGGCGCAACAGCTCCTCCGTATGCGACACCTGCCTCGCCCATTCGTGCTGCAAGTATCCCTGCTCCAGTACGAAGGAGTTCAGCTGTGCCTACAGCTCTTGTACCTCTTCGTGGGGCACCACTGCCTAGCAGTGCGAAAGATACCAGTCCAAATCCAGGCACTGATACAAATAGCACTTCACCACTCAGACTACCTCGGCGGTCAGCGACGATGCTTGCAGGTATACAGGAGCCAGCTATGAGTAGCAGTGCGCCCGTAGCTCCGATTTCGCGCCCGAATTTTGTCCCGCAGGTGGGCGCTGCCCGACCGAGATCGAGGTCATTTTCGGGCTTTGGGGAAGCTGTGAATGTTGGTGCTTTGCCTGAGCGAAGGTGAGTTTATGTTGGACAGTAATGAAGAGTTGAAGCTGATGAGCAATGTAGCCGTGAAGAACCAGTGTCCAAGGCGCAAAGTATATCTGCGACTGCCACCCCGGTTTCCACCCCTTCCCCTTCTTTGCAGCCTGCGTCCACGTCGGCACCTAAGACAAATGGTCTTCCATCTTCCTTGAGGGCACGTCACATTCCCTCACCTCTTTCCCTGCCGAATGGCAACTTGAGTCGTGATCGAAGTCCCAATACCATTGTCTCTTCCACCGATACTCCATCGCCCAATGTAGGCCAACTCAAGTCACCAGTGATCCCTGGTTTCCAACAGCCATCTCCTATTCCAAGTATCACGAAGTTCGGGCTGCAACCTCCGTCTGCAGGAAGCTCTTCGGCCAGCCCTGTGCCCAGCTTTAGCCCGAGTAATCTCACCGATCGTGATAAGGACGCATCGCCGGCATCTGCAATGACAGGACGCACGTCAGTGTCAACTAACAACGTCCCTTCGCCACATCCCTGGGTAACTAATGTTCGCCACGGGTCATTGGACATACCGAGGAAGACCTCCATCGATAGTGCGCCCCTTCGACAGAGTTCTGATTCCACCGATTCGCGTTCTCAAATGCCATCTCCACCTCCCATTGCGGAATGGCACACACAGTCAGCACGATCATCGCCCCTTGCACACGAAGTCCAACTTCGGGGAAAGCTCAGTCTCCCCGCACTTCGTGGTAAAACGAGCATCAAATTGAAGCTTGACGATGCTGTGAGCGTGACGTCCTCGTCGGGCAACCAGGAGAGCGAAACTGTGCAAGTACAAGACATGGACTTTGAACTTGTGAAACCAACCTTACCGCAAGTACCATTGGGTCGCTCTAGTCAAGAATCCTCGTATGCTGGACGTGATGCTGATGCGGTGTACCTCGATTCCCCTGGTGTCATGCAAGGTGATGCTGCGTCAATGCATTCGAGCGCCCCACGGTCTCCCATGTTCCCCGATGCGATCTCGTCAGGTACTCCACCAGTGGAGTCGCCTACGTCAATAGATGCTCACCGCCAGCGCGAGGTCAAGTGGATGGCCCTCCTGCCTATCGTCCCGCCCTCTCAAGCGCGCAAGAACAAGAAGGTCAAGCGCCTCTTGTTGGACGGAGTGCCTTCGTCGGTACGATACTTGGTGTGGTGTCATCTCAGTGACAGTAAAGCTCGCGCGATTCCTGGGGTATATGCGCAGCTGGGCAAGAGGCAGAGAGTCCCTGCCTTTTCAGATATCGAGAAGGACGCAAAAACATATTTCCCTGATCAGACACAACTGCACCCCTTCGATGGCCCTTTAGTATCGCTCCTGCAGGCCTATCTCAATATGGTGCCAGATATCCAATATAGTTCAGGTACATCTTTTGTTGTACCCGAGCGTCGTATCGTTGCTGATGTATGATGTGTGGTTGTCAGGACTGACTTCCATCGCTGGTCATCTGTTGTTGCTATCTCCCGAAGAGGATGCCTTTTGGATATTCGCTTCGATGATGGACGCCCATCTTCGTCCGTACTTCTCGGCCAATACCATTCAGTTGGAAGTCGATGCTGCATTGCTCAGCAAAGCCATCGAAGCTAATGATCCTGCTGTGTGCAAAAAGCTCTATGTCACGTTTAGCATCCCCCCTGGCGCGATAGCGAAGTCTTGGTTCGTGTCATTATGCACCTCTGGGGTTCCATGTTTTCTGATCTAGCACAGGTTCTCTACTTTATTTGTCGGAGCATTACCTGTTGATTATCTTCACCGCATTTGGGACGTCTTTTTATATGAAGGTACGTGGCATACTTGGCCATATTTCGTCATATTTATACTCTATCAGGCATCACCCTTTTGTTTCGTGTTGGGCTTGCGCTTGTTCAATGCGTGCGGCATCTGCTCTTGCGAGCGACATCGGAAGAAGCTGCTATGGAATACCTTGTTCATCCTCCTCTCGCATGCCTACCCTCGACAGCAGACGCATTCCTTAATCAAGCCCTAATGATGAAACTGAAGGATGACGATGTTCGAAAGCAACGTGTTAAAATGGAAGCACAAGTCAAGCGCCAAACTCAGTCCCGTACGCTATCGACGAATGGTTCTTCAGGCATGCAGACTGCATCCATATCTCTCCCGAAAACTTCTTAGGCGTGTCGTTGTCCCGAACTGTATTGACTAGCTCCCTTCCATTATATGATAACCCTTCTCTTGTTATTTTCGTCGCAAATTCAATTCGCTTTCGACAGTGTTTGTTTGCATAGGTCATTCATTTATTGATTCCCCACATTTACCTATGATACCGTAGTGAATTGTATATATTCCTGGCACTCTGCAGAGTATCCATAATGTTGTATTGCTTGTAGTCTCAGTCCCGGCCGCTTAGTGGTGCACCGGTTATTCGCTTGTCATTATCGAAATATACAGTCATTCATCGCCTACTGATGCCATGCAGTGTACGACCACTGGTTGACACGCCATCATTCCTCCAAGTGGCACACTCGGCCATAACTCATGTTTGATACACCTTCTGGGAAAGATATTATTGTACTCATGTTCTAGTGAACCACTGCATTGATTGATGCAAGTTGGTGTCGCAGAGTTGCATTTGAATTTCGGACTGTGGTGTGATCATCATAATATGTGCACTGCCGCGAGCTAGTACTTCCGAATGCTTGAACCTCGCTTAGGAAAGGTTAATTTCTAGCTGGAAGCTATGGAAGGCCTCGGTGATTCGTAGTATATTGTGACGGTCCATCCGGTAAGCATTGCAGATTGGTTTATATTGCAGTCCAGAGTATTCAGTTCTCCGCAGGGTTTCGTTCAAGGCTGATGGTTGGGTGGATCATGAGTGTTGTTATTGGAAGAATCGGACGAGCGAAGAGATTTTTAACACAACAAACTGATGGTATTCGTCCAGGCAATGGATGCACTATATTAGTAGTGAGTGTCCTCCCAAGCCGGCCTTTTTACTAGTGGTGTTACAGTCCCCCATCTCTAGCATGCTTCCAGCCCCTGTTTGTATTTCTACCAGCAGCTCACCATCGTGGAGTCCTTGTCTGTAGTTAATACGGCTGAGCTCGCTATAGCTCAGAAGCCATCCTGGATCAACATGTAGTCTCGCAGCCAGGTTGCGAAGAATCAGCATGGCACGAGATACGGCGACCGACATCACAACCTGAACTAGGCTGCGAAACAATCAGACGTTTTTTGGTGTATCGAAAATAACTCACGCAGAATAAGTGGCAGGAAAAAACGCCTGAGAAATTTTAGCTATCAGCTAGTGAAACAGGGATGCGGCTTACGTTCGCGTTGTCTGGCATAGTTGTTCCAATTAAGCCATATACTAATGCCACTGCATCATCATGATCAGACATAGCCTTTCCGGAAAAGTCAAGAACAAACTTGTAGACAGCAAGTAGAGATGTGCCCCCCCTAGAAATGTTGTCATTTTACATCATAACCGCATAAGAACAATGGCGTACTCATCAATCAGCATACTCGTCAATTCCCTGATTTCTCCACTTATGCTAAGCAATTGGTACAGCGTAAGACCGTAAAGCATGACATGCAGAGCAACGGGAGGCAAAAACATCCTCCACTCAGTTCGGGGGTTGTTTGCGAAATCACACGCAGAAGGAACATCTTGCGGTCGGGTGTCCGGAATGCTTGCCACAAGTGCCACAGTTAAGATCATACATGCAAGAGTAAGCACAACGACCGCATGTTGCAGAAAACGTTTGCGTGTGAAGAGGTACCACACCCGCATGGCCAATGCCGCTGAGAGCATGACAGGCGCATCAGCGTTATTTCAACTGTCCCCGAGTACGAATGCCATACCTTCGTTGATGATGAGAGTGAATATTCCCAAAACCAGGGCAACATATGATAAGACGCCGCAGCTGCGAAATGGTCGAATTACAAAAAGAAGTCACCAGACTTGTTGGAAATGCCTACGTCTGCATACTCATTAAGCAGGATCATGTGGGACAAGATGGATACTCACATGAAACCCGACGTTCCCAAAGTACACTTTAAACAATGTGAACATTGCATCGCAAACCGTGCCAATGAATACGAACTAAACATGAAGACTCTGAGATTCAATGATTCAGTCGAGAATGCGACGCCAGATATGTATCAACCACTTACAAAATTTTGACAGTAGGCAAATAGCGAACCTGAAGCGTTTGCCGCGTCAGATAAACACAAGTAATTGAAATGAATGACTTAACACTAAAAAAGAGTATACGTGACGCATTCCACCTTCCTGTCCAAAAACATGAAATCTATGATGGTTTGAGAACTGCGGTTCAATGTTGATGTAACAAAGGAATATGGTGTACCTCCCGGTCTATTGTAATGATGTGATCATACAACACCAACGTAGACGCTGCAGCAAATATGTGCAGAGTATTGATCCAAGCAGCTGAACCACTATATGACATCGTAGACGGAGCGGTCTATTCTGTAGGTCCTAGAGGTAATCAACCGTGTTGAGAAATTCTGGTCCAGGGCAGTGATCCTGACGCAAGCATAATGGAGTCAGTTTAAGTATTGGTCCTTGCACCGCGCCAGACCGTGACTCCTGGTAACAGTTGTGCGACATCAAGGATAATGCATGAGATATTACGGCACGCGAGACGCTCAGTGAAAGATGGATGGGATGATCAGCCTCGCAACTGTAACCTGATACAGCATCATGCATCGCGAAGGTAAAACACTGGAACCGTCAGCGCAAATTGCATTTTGACTGAGACGGTCACGGTGTAGTGATATATGATAGACTCACAGCCAGATTCAAACCTGTGTCCCAAAACCCTCTTCAAAAACCACATGTTCCGGGACCACCATCATTTGGATGTCATCATAGGGTTCCGAAACGCCAGACTGAACTCAGTGCACTGCGAAGATTTGAAATACGAACCATTGACCATCACTAGTGCTACTTGATATAGCGTTCGCATTAGTCTCGCGAGCCTGCATAATCAACTTGCCCATTAAAACTTGAATCAAGATTCAATACCTCCACAGTTCGATTGGGATCCTATATGAAATATCATCACATCCATCAAAAAATGATGTATCATAAAAACGGTTCATGCCAAAGCTCGATCAACTCACGGTAATCAGCTGAAGTCGACGAACAATGATTCTTCCTGAGGCTGAGTGCGCAGCCTGCGGCCGCATCAGTGACATCACACAGCATTTGTGAACTCTCAGATAAGTCTCGAACCGACGTTTGGGGGAAAATTCGCACTGTCACAAGCGAGTACCGTGTTCAATGATGAGTTTAAAAAACAAAAGGTCCAAAACATTTTGGCTGGTTCAACATGACTCCCACGGCGAGAGCATATCCGAGAATTCAAGCCAAGCCAATCAAATGTCAGCTGTCAGGCGACCTAGATGCTGTCCACCATCCTACCAAGAAAACTCATCATGATATCAATCCGACAGCAACATCGCATTTACGATAGGGTTTCGGGAGAATAATAATAATGGGAAAGATGTCAAGCATGTCAAGTTTGAGCCAAGTTCCAAACAATACTAGTAACTAGTCTACGCTGCCAGAAACGAAGTAGTTTTAGTACATATGCCCCTATATGCCCATCAGAGATAAAATTCAGAACATCTAATAAGATATGCATGCTCAAACATTTGCATTGTTATTTTGAGCTGTAGGTGCACTCTTATCAATTGATGTCCTAGGCTTGTTGGCTTCAAGCTCAACGCTCTCCGCCAAGTTGACTGATTTGAAATTGAGGATATCCTCAGCGTTGCGTATCCTCCCAGCCGCGATGGCACTTCCCTCATTGAACAGCGATCTAGTAGGAGGAAGGGATGCCTCCAATCTACGTGAGCCAATGGACCATACTGTGGCAAACACGACGCCGATGATATTGACGTAATTGTTGACCACGAATACAATAGATGCTTGGATGGATGACGTGGTAGAGCTGAAAATAAGGCCAAGTTGGATGATATTGAGGATGACGGGAAAAACAAAATTGGACAGTGCGATGAGGAAGAGCCCCCGAAGGCGACTAACCATTGCATCTAGCAAGGGGATGAGCATGGTGCAGAGGATGATGCGACCAAGCGTCTTACTTGACTGGACAACTCCATTACAAGCACCAGTGCGAGGCAGACGACGTAGGAACATGAACGATACGAATCTGGAACCGATGACGTGAATATTAATGCACGCGTAGACAAACATACACCGACTGACGCATTGTTAACAGCCTGCAGAATCCATTCTAACTTTATTTGCCAATTTTCCAGTGATATTGCGTTTGCAGCAAAGGAGTGCTTTGAACCATAGATTGCAGTAACTAGATGTCCGAGAAAGACAGCGATATTGATGGTGCGAATCACGTTGAGGGTTATCGGAACAGACAAGATCGACCAGAATTTGGCCTTGGAAGTTGTGCTCCGAGGATACGCTACAGTGAGACGTATCACCAGCGTACTCTCGACCACAAGTGAGCCGTAGAAAGCGAGAGCACCATATGCTACGATGGCGGCTGCTGACTCTGTCACTGTTGGGTACAGTATGGTATGCATCTTGCTCGGTTGTCAGCGCAAAGTTCTAAGCAAAAAAATCGACTGCCTAACCGCGTTGTATACGTTGACCACCCCCTCCGTTAAGCCCAGAAGGACACCGAGCACATTGAGCACAAAGACCGGGTGGCGGCGAATCTGAGGAGTCGAGAACACGAGCAGGGAGATGAGGATTGGTATAAGGAGCGATGCTAACACGGTGCTAGTCAGTATGAATGCCAAAGATGGCCTAATAACTGCAAGATAGTTTGTTCCGGGGGGAGGAGGGGGTATTGTAACGTTGGACCGGGATAACAACATCGTACAAGCACGCAGAGATCCATTTGCACGCAGTAAAAGACTATATATGCACGTAATCTCCTTCGAATTCGCATAGCATCCCAGGGAACGAACGAACCATTGAAAAGCGCACTCCCTTTCCGACCTCTTTGTATCATGAATCATGATTCATGATGATCAATAGGCAGGTACCCAATGGCGAACCGCGTCCTATCAGAACGAGGAATTGAATAGAATGCCGAGATCATAACAGCATGACGCATGTGATGGATCCATCATGATCACGCCATGATCTGTGATGTTGTCGTCGGCCACGTGCAGAACTTCTGTAGTCGGACAATTGTATTAGCCGTCTGATGACTGAGTACTGAGTACTGAGTGGCCGCCATGATGATTGATCGCAGCCTGCAATAATGAGGCGCAGGAGCCAGACGCCCATGGCGAGAGGGTGCGGTTTATCACTAGAGGCCATGAAGAGTGTATGCAGGCATTGACCAGGAGAGGAGCTGAGGTCTGTCGACCAGTACTCTGCCTAGTAGTATATAGTGAGACTACTAGTAGAAGGTATACATATGGGGCTTGCCAGTGATGGAAGTTGTCGGTAATAAATGTTACTCCCACGACTGCGATCTGATTCATCCGAAGCCATCTGGGGAGCGCATATATAGCTGCAGCCTGCTCACGAACGAAGTATCCAACGCAAGTTTTGGAGCTCAGAAAAGACACGCTTACGATGAGCTACTTTTCTAGCGAAAGTCACTGACACTGTCATTTATGTGAGTCGGTCGGTTTTCAGGTAAGTACGTGCGTGTATGCGAAGAGGAGAGAACATGCATCTATAGTACATATGTGTACAGTGAAAAAAGCATATAACTCGTGACGCAATGCTATAACTAGACCGAAAAATAGATATTATATGGAGGGGATCATTGAAGGTGGCAAGCATATGATCAGCGACAGCTCACCGCCACCATGGAGGAGGACCAGATGTCCCAGGTCCTCCCGGCCTCACATAGCTACTGCTAGTCGAACTGCTTCTCGAGTTCAGTCCGCTATCCGCGTTGAAAGATCCATAGTGCTGCGCAGTTGAACCTGCATTGTTGGGATGCGCGGATCCATAAGGTCGGCTCCCCAATGAGCCCACGTTCGTCCGTGATGTGCCGTGGGAAGATTGTAATTCACTTGTCGCCAGGGAGTATGTGTCTAGCATGTTAGATGTGGTAGATATAGATGATGATGACGATGATGACGATGATGACGACGAGTCTGCGGTTTGAGGGAAAACTGCGCTAGACATGGAACTAGACGACGAAGGCGCTCCGAAGGTGCTCCGTGGAGCTGGTGCAGGGTCAGAAGTTGCACCTATGAAACTTGTTCTTCCGAAGCTGCTTTCAAAATCTACGTCCATTGGAGAAGATGGGAAACGTGGGCCGCTATCCTGTGTTGATTCAGGCACCCGCCGAGCACTGGCTCGATTTGTCATTGACCCAAACCAGGAAGTCGGGCGTGAAAGTGCTGGGCGACTTGACACATTAGGGCGAGGTCCGCTGACGTTCTGGGCAGACGGGAACGTGCGGGGTCCCGTACCACTCTGGACTACACTTGCAGTTGAGTTGGGAGGTTGATGATAAGAATTTGGGAACTGTGAACCGTGGGATTGCTCAGGACGTGGTGGGTGGATGTGGAGATAGTGGTGATGATGGTGATGGAAATGAGTTCCACCGCCATTAAACCTTGTCGCCGCCACCGGCTCGGTAGTAGGACCAACGTTCGTTTGGACACGGGACAATGACTGCTGCTGGGTACCACTCCCTGATTGGGCATTGGACCCTCGGCGAGCGCGATTAATTAGTTCGCCCAAACGCATAGCAACAACCCCAGAGGTAGAGTCTGAGCTCGATGCACGACCGTGAGTACCACTTGCTCCCGCTTCAGGTTCTCTTGGCCCTAGCCCACCAGCCCCCGCACTTGTCATCATGCTTGCCTTATACGGGCATTTCGGAGAATTCTTGACCTTTTTGCGACATACAGGGCAAGTGTTTGCTGTCTTGAGCCATTGCTGGAAGGATAGCCCGTCAGCAAGCAAAATAAGACAGAAGAAGACGAAGTGTACCTCCAAACAAGCCTTGTGCAACCAATGGGTACATTCAACGAGCCTCATAACGGGATCATCGCGCCCATACTGCAGAAGAAGGGTGAGTATGATACGTCACTGAATGAATTTGACAGATACGTGCATCATCCAAACAGATCGGACACCGTGTCTCACTGTCTTCCTTTGCCCACGCTTGATAGGTCCCTGTTGGAAGCGAGGCGATGACGTCGGAAGGCGTGGCCTTCGACCTAACTTCCCCAAGCGTTTCTCCTAGTGACAATAATCCCTCATACGACGAGTCAAATAACTCATCCGGCTATACCCGAAAAAGAGGAACATGAAGGACGTCCCAATAAGCACAGCACAGCACACGTACCATATAATCGCCCATATTTCTCCTTGCCATCGTCCGGAACATTGATCGAATACGAGTACCTTCCGCTCGGGATGTTCCGCGGGTGAGGCCAGCCCGCTGCCTCAAGGTGCGAATGGGCGTCCGTTCTTCTGGTGGCGCCACTTCTTGCCGTTCACGAGGTCGGTCTGGGATGTTTCGGTAAGGATTGATTGTAGCGGAACTACTGGAGTTGAAAGACGATCCTGAGCTTGTCGGAGTGGATGGACCTTGAAGCAGTGGAGACCGCCATGGCAGCAATGTGAGGCGATTAGCACCCCCAGGTCTCCCGGAAGGTCCTTGGTGAGGCTGAGGAACGTTACGCCTGGAGGCCAAGTCAGAGCGTTCGCTATTGGTACCATACCGGTCCATCATGTCACGCATTGCTCTCATTCTGTCATAGTCACGATCCTGGGCTTCTGTCAGGAACTCCCAAGAAGAATGGGGGGCAGGGTTGTGTGTGGGGGCATCGCGCCTACTGCTAGAAAAGTATGGATCTAGAGGCGAACTTTGAAGACCTCTCTCTGGTTCATTCAACCGATGCCTCGCAAGATGTTCGTCGCTCGACTGTCCTCTCAACGGAGGGATACGGCCCCGCACACCAATGAACGCGCTATTACCCTGGGTGGACGTGTTGTGAGAGTCGACGCCAAAAGCCAAGGATGTTGCTGGTACAGCAGGCTCCGGCATCATATGCCTCGATGTAAATCGTGCGCTATAGTATTGGAGAACGTTCAACAAATGGTTCGATGAGAGCCATATACAACACTGACCTCGTGGCTGCTGTGCGTTCCCTTCCACGCCTTGGCTGCACAAATATGTAAGTGCTAAATACGTCATGTGATTTTTTGAAAGGGACATACCAAGATACCAAAGTAAGAATCCATGTCATCGCTATCGTTATCCTCATCCGAGTTCCCGAATGAAAACATAGTTGAAGGTTCGTGAGAGGCAGGTGTAGGCTCTGGCACAGGCACACGGGAGTTGTTGCGTCCTTGATTCGCCTGTATCGACCGCCGCAACGAATCGCGATATATCCCAGGTGGGAACATATCTAAGTTAACGCTACTAAAGGGATGGGACCTCGCAGATGTATCACTGATAGACACATGCGGTCGTTCCGAGGATATGCGCGGTGGAGAGCGCGAGCGAGCAGCACGCAAGGTGTGAAGCGGTGGTGTAGGCGGACGATAAACATATGGTGGTTGCGCGTCTTCCTCCGCTGAGTTTGTTAAATCCGGAATAATGTCGATCGGAGTGAACACGGGGTCAAACATGCTGCCAGGCGGGTCTTCAGAAGAAAGATGGTTGCGATCTCTTGACCGGGATCTGTTATTGCCGCTCCTCATCCGGGGATGTCTGTGTTCGGACAAAATTTCTGAAAAGCGAACTCTCTCCCATTCGTTCAAGCCTCCTCGTGGCTGTGGAGGCGGCCCAGAACCGCTTAATCCGAACGGCCTTGATGAGAGATCGGCTGTTCGAACAGACGATGAAGGATGGGAAGAGGTGTTCGATGAGGAGTCCGCTTGACTGGCCATAAGACGCCTCAAGCGAGCAGCAGCAGCCAAACCTGAAAACTCTGCACTGTCTCGAGGAGGCTCATCAGAGTTGGGACGTGAATCAAACAATTGGGAGCGAAGTTGTGCCCTGGCGTTGGTACGGCGATGCTCCGCAGCACTCTCTGACACCAACGAGTTGCTAGACATCGTCGTAGCGGAAGCGTACAAGCGGGAATGAAAGCGATAACGAGACGGAGGAGGATTAGGTTCAGGTCGTGAGGGCGTCCCGGACAATGAACGGGCTGATTGAGAAAGATTAGTGGATAGAATGTGGATGAATCCGCTGCACCTTACCAGTTTCTACACCACGCTCGAGCAGACCCCGGGCATTATGAAGACCTTGGATGATCTCGTGCACACTGTCAGGATGAGATGTGTCGTCGTCGTCTTCATCGTCTTCGCCGGCAAGATCGTGACGGTTACGAGCTATCACCCTGTGCCGTCTCTCGTGATCGATGGTATCCTCTCCGTCGACACCCGCTAAGTAACGGTCAAACGACAACTCTGCTTCGTCGGAATCTTCAACTGCCTGTTCTCTCGAAAACGAAACGAAAGCCTCCGAGAGAGGCCGGACTGGCATTGTTTGTGAACAACAGGAAAGAAGAAACATAAAAGTCATACCTAAGTTACGTGAGCGTTCGATACCTGTTCTAGCACGCGCAGCGACCTCTTGATATCTTTCAGTAGAGCGGGAAGGTGGTGGGTTATTGTCCTGTAATGTAATCGAGGAACCCCGGTGTCGTTCCTCGTCGGCAGCGTAGAAGTGAGAAATGGAGTCTCCAAGCACTGGAAAAATTATAGCTTTTAGTTAACATCGTCATCGCTTGTGGAGTACACAACACCAACCAGAGGATGACGTAGAAGTGCTTGCTGATGCACGCGCGGAACTCGTGGATCTCCAGCCGGCATCTGAATGAGTAATACGTCTTGCGGCCTGCGGCCGACTGGTAGCCAAATCCGAAGTTGGTGGCTCGAAGACGCTATCAAATAATCCTGGACGCGTGCCAACATCCGGCGATGGCACGACAGGGGGTGAAGGACGAGGGGATGCAAGAGCAGCCCATGACAGATTTAATGAGCCAGAACTTGACCCACGATGAACACCTTGCCTGCCGACCACATCTGGCGACGGCCCAACGGGCGGTGAAGGACGAGAGGCGAGAGCAGCCCATGACATATTTGGTGAGCCGGAACTTGACCCACGAGGAACACCTTGCCTGCCGTCGGGTCCATTCAAGGCATCGGTTTGATTTCTTTCAGTCTGCAGGACTGACGGAACGGAGGCGAGTGATCCAGTTAAGCTGGGAAACTCGTCGGATTCTCGGATAGATGCATTCGCCCTCGCTGAAGATATTGATGGGGATGGGCGGTATGAAGAATGAGGAGTGTTCGACAAACGTGTAGAATTGGTATTACTTGATGAGGCAGTATAGCCGAGGCGTGATAAGCCTGTCAGCGGGTAGTATGTAATCAGTGCTAATACGTATGTAACAGATCAAAAAGACGCCTACCATCCGATGCCTGGAAAGATAACGAGTCAACTTGCCTGGGAACCACAGTGTGTGTACTTCCAGACCCAATGGAAGTCGTTGCATCAGTGGAATATTGATCTCGGCGATCCTCCCCAGATGTATGTGACGAGCCCGGTGAAGCTCCAAAATGAGTCCAATCCCAGTGGTCAAATGCCTCGGGAGTATCATTTAAGGATTCGCGTGGGGACAGAACGGGAGATGCGGCAGGGTGCCAAGATGGGGTACGTGAGTGTGAACGCCGGAGGGCTGCAATGTGACTATCAAATTCGTTGAAACGTTCTATGGAACTCCGAAGAGCGTCATGTGTAGTAGAAGATACTTCTGGCGGAGGTGCGGGACGTGGGATGTCCAAGGAAAAACTAGAGCTATCCAACATGTCCTCATCCTGAGGTTCGGTCACGGTGCTTGGTAGTGCAGGCGCTGGTGAGGCCAAGGTACTCGTAGGAGAAGCAATGGTAGGAGATGGATAAGCTGGAGATATCCTGTTCTGGTCCAGAGGGAGGTTATGGTCATTTGTAGTAGAGCCCTCGCTCAGCGAGGCGCTCGATCGCGCGGAATTGTACTCGGAGGACCTGGAAGAGTCCGCAGAACGATTGCTGATAGAGGAGCTGCTCGTGCTCCTTGCCCTCTTGTTTCTTTCATTGCCACTACTGTTGCTACTGGAGCCCGTCGGAACATTATGGGTTGCTGTAGCGCTCCCGCTGGCTTGGAGAGCGCTAGTCATTGGAGAGCCCGAATCGTAGCCAAACTGTTCAAACGTCCGCTTGAACGACGTTGCATTTGGTGCGAAAGAGACATGAAGGTGGGAGGGATACTCTGAAGACATGAATGGAGACCAGAAGGTCCACAGAGAAGAACAAAGGAAAGGGGGTCCTAGTCACGTAGTGATGGTAAATTACAAGTCCCACCCTTAACCGGCATGCCGCTGAGTCAAGCCCTTTGTTTCAACTCTCCGATCATCGTCTCTCCCATCAGAATCGCTCTTCGTCAAGCGATGGTCTGAGCTCATCGCAGGATGCGGCGCACAATACATGTTTTTGTCAATGGGTAACAACTCAATTCGCATGACTGCAACGAGGAGCCATTTCCTAGAATAGCCCTGGTCGGAGTCGCCCGACGGGGACTTAACTTGCGCTGCAAGGTACGATGCTCCTTTGCTAGGCGCAGTGTTACTACGTCCTGCTGTAACACCATGCCATCTACGATAATTGATTTCGGGCACAAATCGGATGGTGAGACTCGTCCGGCATTGCAGGTAGCCGTCGGCAGTTTTGGGCAGCAGTGCAGGCATCTCATGGTCATATATGGGATTCCTTACATGCTGGTGGTATTGCTGCACAGGATTTGAAGTATTCGAAAGAGATTACGGTGCGGTGTCAACATGTCGCAGGCCACTGCAACACTTCGCGTGCTGATTCATTTGCATTCCCAGTCAATGCGCCGTCCTCGGCCTCGGCAACAAGAGAAACTAGTGACTAAGTACCAAGTACACAGTCACCCGCTATAGCCCGCTATGCGTGTTACTAGGTGTTACTCTTATCGTAAGCCCAACGTATCATTATGTTCGATCACGGCTAATTTCACGCAGCTCCAGATATGAGGTAACAGGCAAAATGTAATCAACTCATTGCATATTATGATACAGCTTCGTCATCATGGGGTGCGTATGACACAGTCATAGTAATCTTGAAATATAAAAATAATTTATCAACTTGAATGTATAGTGCTATGTACACTGTTCATTTTATTTAGGATTTCATACTCATCACGCACGCAGATAGGGACAGCTCTGCTACGCCTTACATTATTGGACTTTTGAACGAGCCAGTATGCAGCGTTGGGCTGTAATAGGACTGCGGTTTCCCGGCCCACTGTAAAGGATTTTGAATTTCTGATATTCGCTATCCGTCCCCACGTCAGTACAACATTTCATGCCCAATTTTGGCAACTCACTCTTAAACATCTGGCCATAGAACAGCCAAGCACGCCGATAATCATGAGTTCCATTACCGCAAGAGAAACCAATATGATTAGCCCGACCATATATAAGTTCACAGAGGTGTCGCCGATACTGGGCGTGGGGGTATTGGGTAACTCATTGCTTGCTATAGGTGCCGTCACCAATGTCTCCGTCGGCGCAGTTACTGCTGGACACCGAACATGAGGTTTGCACAACGATTTAAGCAGGGCAGACTTACTGCTGGTCATCGATCCCGTGGCGGCCGCAGGTACAGAAGTTGTGCATCCAGACTCTGGCGTACCCGATGAAAGATCCATAAAATTACGACTGCTTCCCTTAGAGGAAGAATCCGGGTAAGTCCCCTGCGTCCTGGAAAGAAAATCCCTGTTCATTTACGAATACACGATGGAGGCGGGATGACATACATCATGACAGAGGACCCGGCAATAGATGCCCGTTGTGCCATATTAAATCCAGCAGGTGCAGCCAGGGTAATGATAGCGGTATTTAGTAAGAGCAACACCATTAGATTCATGCAGGGCAGACCAAGTGATCTGGGGATTGATCTTAGGCGCATTCAATACTTGACGTTTGTCTGGCTTTTGAACAGTGACCATGCGACGACAATCCATGGTTATGGATGGCGCGTACGGGGCGGGAGTTGATTAGCATTCCACGGTGTCGGTGGCATGGCATGTCGGTCAGCTATCGTAGTAGCTATCGAGCTCCGAAGCACTCATACAACGTGTACTTGGTCTTATTAGTGCAGTGGTTGGTGGATGTGTGAGATCAATTGAGGTAATTCTGACGTCCAATGCTGTCCCCTACGTATATCTGATATCATTTCTTCCGTGAGCTTGCTGTACGCCTAGACTCTCCGGAACTCAAGAGCCAAAACGCAGATCCACTGGATGGAGTATTTCCTTGACATCTAGAACGTTCTATCATAAGACGCCACTAAGTATCAGCATTCCAAAGTCGACGAGCCGTGGACATCGGCGCCATGCACTGAACCGCGGACTCCTCACAAGCAAGGTTCCGAATATTTACGCAGTACCGCAGCTGACCGGTGACCGCCTTATTCGAGAAGGTCACGCCACAATTCGCTTGTGTTTGATGCCTTCCCAATCTAATCACATGGGTTTCCCTATGATCAAATGTTTTCCAAGACACTTATGACTTCGTCAACATAAGGACGGTACCAGGATTTACCCTGTGACAGTATGCTTGACCTGATTAAGAGGCACCATTTGGTGGTTCCTTATTGTCTAGGCGACACTACATCAATAAGTACTCAGGACTGCAATACTCCGTCGCGGGAGAGACCACGTCTGAGAGCATGTCAAAGCAATTGACATATGTCCGTGGGGCGCCCGCCGGAGGAGCTAGGCTTTCGGTTTATCATTTACATTGCCGCCATTCCACCTGGTTGACAATTACTATAACCTGACCCATGGCTGATTTTGCCACTCAATTTAAATCTCCCCGCCATCCTACCGTTCTCAGTTTCCGTATCGCGCGGAGTATTTTTGACTTGTTCTAGATCCATTCCCACCGTACAGTAACAAGATACCAAAGCTATATATCTCAGCAGCAAGTCTAGAGACGTGTATACAAATATATCTATGTACACTATGTGTGTGGATACCAATGCCATGTGAGAAACCATATATGCCAACAGACAACAGACAACCAAGCCACTACGAGCTCAGGCCCATCAAGAAATTCCGTGTAAGATTACAATGCCCATGAGAAAGAAAAGACACGCATACTTGCAAGAAGGCAGTACCCTTCATTGCGCTAACAAACACACCCCAATCAGAACGGCAAACGTGACGACTCCCACACCTCAGGGAACGAGTACCACATAGCTGGCAGCTGGTGCAGCTCGACAGCCCCTCCTTTCCTCCGACTGATCTCGAAGTCCAGCCACGCATCCTGATAACGGTGGGTTCCTGCGCGTTTTCTATACTCGAACCCGACTTTGCAGAGCAGCTTGAGGCCCATCGCAAGGGTTGTGGCACAGTCTTTGCGTACTGTGCGCCATGACTCCAATTCGTCGACATCATCGTACTCTGGAAATTGCATGCAGATGCGCAGGTCACGAAGGGCAGATAGAGGGGACAGCGCTTCGAGGAACTCTTGCTGAGGCGATCACGCATGCCAAGATCAGCCCGTGTTTAGTATAGATCTTTACTCCAGTCTGAGGGGAGGCACGTACCCAACCTGATACCGATTTACCATCGTGGTACCCACACCGTTCGATCTCTAGCGTCTGAAGGTGAGGACAGTTGGAGGTGATGGACAAACACACGTTGGGCGTGAGCTTGTCCTCGACGATAATCCGCAAATGCTTGAGCTCACAGCCGCTCGCGGCAACATCTGCGAGCACGCGGTCAACCTCTGCTTGGCCAAGCGCAATGGGCCAGCGCGGAACATCTACAATAGCAAGAATGGCGAGCCGCTCCAGAGATGCCATGTGCTTGATAATTCCGTCAAGCTTGCAAGCGTTTGATATGGCGAAATCAGTAAGAGTGGCGAGCTTTGCGGTGTGCGCAGGATCAGGAGGATCATCACGCCCAAGGACGTGGAACTCCTGCGCTTTGCTTTGCGCAAAGAGTAGACGCAGATCCCGCAACGCATCCATACGTGCAAGCACGTTGAAAAGCTGTACGTAAGCTGGGGGCTCATATGGCTGCGTCACTGGAGCAATACCAGTGAGCGCAAAAGTTTTCAGAAACGGCCAATCTATTCTGGATAGAGCACCAAAAGAGCATAAACTACCGGACAGCTCGAGATGTGTGATGTGTGCTGCGTGCGTCTTGACAAATGCGACGGACGCCTGTGTTTCTTGGACTTGCCTCCAGTTGGTATGCAAGCGATACTTCCTCCTCCACTCGCGTATGAAGTACGTGATTTCCGAAAATTTTGGATCCGTCGGTCCATCACCGATGCGAAGCGTCTGTCCAACAGCTGTAAGGGAAAGCTGCTTGAGCGAGACGGGGGAGATGGACGTTATGCCTATATGAAGCGGCGTGTCGATGAAGGTGATGGCGCTGAGGGATCGCGAGAGACCCAATGATTGAAAGAGGAACCGAGGTATGACGAAGGGGCAAGTTAGTGTCACCTTCGACAGCTTGGGCATTTTTGCGATCGCCGAACTGAATTTGACCAGGTCGTTAGGGACATAATTACCGTCTTTGTCCATCGTTCCCCACTTGAGGCGAGTGGGTTCTGTCCATTCGTCAAACCATTCCAGCCGAAAATGCCTTCCCACCAAAAATCACGGTGAATCCTGATGTTATGGGAGGGTAGAGGCGACGACGACGGACTTACCTGATATATGGCCAGAGGGCCTCAGGGAAGAAATGCAGGCCAGATTCCTTGTCAACCTTGGATTTATGAGGCCACCGCACCTCAGAGAAGAGGTAGGGGAGGCACGACTCGCGGAAAGATCGAGATGTGCTAGCAAGGTTCAACAGTGCAGATGGTGCGCCTCCGTTACTAGCCGACAGATCGTTGATAAGGATGTGTGTTATGTCCGCGTTCAGGATCGACATGACGGGACGAGAAGAATGTATCGTATACACGGTGTAAAAACTGAGGAAGGAATTTGAACTGATCGTGTTGGGTGCGCAAGGCGATTAGAAGCCTTGTGACCTGAAGCAAAAATTTCTGGGTGCAGTGAGGCAAGAAGACAGGTGGTCAGCACCGTACATTCTGAATCCTTGTATGGTGCTGTAACGTACAGACGAGTTATCAAGGAAACCGGGAACTTGAAGCGCACGTTTGGCTGGTGTTCCACCTTTGAGGATAGCCCTTGCTATGTTGGTGGTTGATCTTCAAGCCCTACTTGTGCCATCTTGCCTGTAAATATGGCGAAGTTAGTCTGAGAAACGCCCAAAGGACTGTCAGATCAATCGTGCCGAATTCACAGGCTCTAGACTTAGCCGAGACTTCGCGGTCTAGATCAATACCCAAGCCCAATTTCGGCCCAACTATTCGTCGAACAAATACAAATTGTGCTGCCCTTACGAGCGACTTACGAAAGTATTAATCAACGCATGACCACATCAAGTCCCCTTTCCTGGAGGCCACGTCTAATTTGATCTAGTAAACGAACCCCGCATCCACGCCGAATCAGACTTAGAAGCCTAAGGATGAAGTCCTCACTTCATGTACAAATTAATTGCCAGGGTTTATGCTTTGCTATACTCAGCTTACAACTCTCGTGTATCCAGACCGTTGTGATATTCCAGTATTATCAGTTGAACGCATACTTCTCCGTCCATTCCCTGCTGACCCTTTGTGCGTCCTTCTCATCTTCCTTGTAGTGCTTGGCGACATCGGTAGCCAATGGGTCGTCTGGATTGGGCGCACTTAGCAAAGCTTGTATCGACAACAAGACTGTCCGAATTTGCAATGCGGGGGACCATTTGTCTGTAAGGCAGTGGCGTTCAAATCGGCAGGGACCAGCACGAGGTACCCGGACGCACCTTTCAAAATATCTAAACAGATTCTACCCAGTTTGTCTGCGGGAGCGAAACATATTTAGATCGCGCAGGCACTATGGCAACCTAAAAGCTCACCGATGTTTGGGTGGTATATCTTTGTGAGAAATCGTACCTTTGGGGGACTCATGGGGTATTCCTCCGGCAGGAATAGTTCCAGGTGAAACACACCCTCTTACCGGATGCTTTCAGCATTCCGACAACATATCATTCATAATCTCGACGGCTCACGTTGGAAGGGACTGCCATCAGGCCCTTGGATCGTTACATCAAAGTAACGCAGGTTGTCCTCATGCGGTGCGGCAGTAATTCCAGGCGCGGGGTCTGCGACGAGGCGCTCAGTTTCCTATGCGAAGGAATGGAGAATAGATGAAAGAGACATGGTTAGGGATGGCTGACTACTGGGAAGATGCTGTAAAAATGATCGAACACACCTTGATGATCCGCTAGATAAGTACCAGATCTTATTCAAAACATGTTACTTCGGAGAATGATATTGAACACCTGCCTTGGGAAGAGCCATATCTAAGGCTCAAGGTCAAGTCGTGCACGGTGGTAGACACTGAGAATGAGATTGAAACGAGATTGCCCACAGCAATGCCACTGCATAAGCCATGTACGGTATTTTATTCTCACGCCCCTTCCAGCCCCGCCACTGATTCAAGTGGCTTTGACCACAACGGTGAGCTCATAATGTCCAACGATGTTCAGATGAATGTACAACGTTATGTCGACTACCACGAATTTGCACTGATGGCGCTCTAGGATGCAGGCGCTGACAAGCAGGATGACTGGGTAAAGATCACCAGTTCAGACGGCTACTCCTTTCTCGTGAAGCGAAATGTCGCTGTGATCAGTGGCACCCTCAAAAACATGCTTAGTGAGGACAGTGAGCTCCTATTCCTGTTGGAAGAATTTCCCTGGTATCTGAACCATTGCGCATTGCAGGTAGTTTCAGGGAGGCAATCGCCAACACATGTCCGATCAGTGAACGGTGGGTAGCGACCCGTTCAGGAACCCCGCTTTGTCTTCTAATCGCCAAAATAGCGCTGCTGTGGTCGAGAAGGTCTGTGAGTACATGTCCTTTAAGGCCTACTACGAAGGGCCTGGATCCAAGGAGGGTGTTGATGTGAATGAGTTCACCGAACGCATACCACCTGAGGTGGCCCTGGAACTGTGTGTCACATCGTTATCTGTTCCGTTATGATCTGAATAAACGTGCGTCGATTAGGCTCCTTGCGGCTGATTATTTAGAAGGTGTGCTTGATTCCTTTATATGAGTTTTGCTGACAATCGAGCACCATTCAGTATGAACTCTTTCAGACATTCCTCTCAAGTAGTCAAACAACATTCTGTTAGGGTACTGATAATGATTTGTGGTCGAACTGTCTTAGTTGCATTTCAGTCGTTAAGTGATGTACCAGTGTGTGTAACATACAACAATCGAAACAGGTATCAAAGGTATCCTCCTCAGGTACAGCAGTTATATAGTCCTGTCATCCATAGATCGTCACGTAGTCTCAAATCTCTTCAAAGGCATTGGTTTCCCAGTTACTATCCTCCCGATTGCGACACGCTCAGCAATTCGTTCTACCGTTCCGCCCTGATGACCGTCATCATCGGGTTCCTCCAATGCCCGGCGGATCAATTCCTCCATACTCACTCCGTCGATGTCGCCGCTGCCACGGCGCCGCATACTCGGTGCTGGTATCACAGGGAAGTCATTCACCGAATCCGTTGGTTGGAATATCGGCAGACGCTCATTCAGCATATCTGAGCGGCGACTATACGAGTGTAGCAAATGAGAAAACGTCAGCGATGCAAAAATTAACAATCATGCTTACGCGTCGGCGAAGTTGCGAATATAGTGCCTCATTTGTGTGCCTTGCGCTGTGAGCATATCTGACCCGACACGGCCCAGACCATCGATGGTCTCCTCGCCTGTGACCTCAGCCAATTCTGACGCGTTCTCGGCCTCCTCGCTGTAGCCAGCCAGCAAAGTGAATATCCCGCACTAAATCAAATTGCAAAAACCACGGACCGAAGAAGCTGGAAGACCCGTTGCATCTTTCCGACCGCAAGAATCTTGTTCTTAATTGCCTGCCTACGTGCCGCAACTTCTGAAGGCGGTAGGGCAAGGTCCGTAACGTCCCGGCTGGTTTCATCTCCTTCTTCGAAAGAAACTTCGGTGTCTTCTAGCTCTTCAGGGCTGCACGTTGATAAGATCGCGAGTAACATCTCCGTGACTGTAAATTCTACCGTAAAGGAACCCGGATATGTGAATTCGTTCTGGCTTACTCTTAGCACCGACGAAAGGCAGGCTCCACGTAAATCCATCCATGAAATTGGGAAGCCAGTATGGATGAGAACTCGAATTGTATTGGCGGATAGTGATATTCTTGTTCGCGTACTTGATCACTGCTCCACGGTTGTGATATACATCCAGATAGTTCGGCGCGGAAAATACTGTGATGACGGAGGGAAACTTCTTCGTTGGTGTCTTTCTATACATCATGTATCTGAAATTATTGTGTCAGTAGAGAGCGAAATGACACACTGATCAGAAAGCTCACCCTGCATCCTGAGCTTCGTGCCCGCGCACAATCCCCAGCAAGTTATTGCGTTCCAGAAATTTGCACGCCGCCTCATATCTGCAGTTAAGTCAGACTTGGAAATGACCTATCGCATATGACAGCACTTACGTAAAGAAGTATGAACATCCTCGCACCCCGTTATGCTCGAACGTGGTGCCAGGAGGCAGGGGAGGACCCTGCGGTGAATGTTCGTGTTCGTATCCAAAGTTAACCACAGGATCGGACCATAACAGATCACACAATAAGCCACTCGATCCAGGCTCCTGGAACCGATTGAGCTACGTCTTGGGTGAGTCTGGAACGCACTCAATTGAATCACGAAATTAAACAGACCCTGCGCAAATCATCCAACGTCACCAACTCTGGCGAAAGACCTCCGTGGACGCAGAAAAAGCGGTTATCTACGAGCGCTGATACCGGAAGAGCGCAGAATGAAGCTATACAGGCATCATATACTGCTGGTGAATATTTGTGGAGACCTATGATCCCATCGTAAACAGCGTTTGCCACAAGTGACTGCGGCAGGGCTCACATTCTCGTTTGAAAGTGAAGTATTCCGTTAGATGACGGCATTCGTGATTGCCCCGTAGTAGGGTGATGTGCTTTGGGTATTGGAGCTTGAGCGCATATAGATAAAGCAGACACTAGGCCAGGATCAGAACGCAAACCTAAGCAAACGATCTAAACACTTACTTCGATCCCAAAATTTCCGCGATCAACATAATCCCCGAGGAATAGATAGGCATTATCAGAAAAAGTTCCACCGATCTCAAGTAATTTCATCAAATCATACTGCCCTCACCCCAAAACCTTAGCACATGCAAGCAGAATTAGCGTGGATAACGCACGTATTGCCCATGGATATCGCCGCATACTTGAATCGTTCAGCTCACACGCCGCCTTGTGATCCAGGGTAAAGTGACTCACTTGTCACAGGACTCTCTACGTTCACAAGGTTAGGTTCTCGTGACAATAGCGAGGTAGCCTGTTGGAGAATACGCAAAGCCTGGGCCTCAGTCAGACGACCCTCGTGGAAGAAATGCTTCTTCAAAAATTCTGCATTGGGCAGCAGTTCTCCGTATGCATTGCGCTCGAAAAGCTGGTCGTCCGTAGGCTTGTATCCCACAGGTTGTGTTACCTGTGAAAGAATGATACGATCAATTTTTCTACATCCTGTTCGTGGTTCGACTCAGACACTAACACTTGGCACTGCGCGATCTTTGTAACTTACTCCGGGCTCGTTGCTCCACTGAGGAGCTCCCCCAGGAATGACGGGATCTCGCTCAGGGATTTGGTACAAGGGAGACTGGAAATATTCTTGATTGCTGCCGGCCATAAGGTGGGGAGGATCTATACGCCAAAGTGGTGAGAGTTGGAGTCGTGCTTGACACTGCTTGTACCCGGTTGACTAGTACAGCATACAAAAGACAGATCTAATTTTGGAGAGACGCCCAACTGTCAGCTGCGAGCGTCAAACCTAATGTCTAGTGCGCGCGCGCCCATGAGCTGGTCGTCTGGGCAAATGATGCTGATAAGATCATATTAGTACACGGTTAATAAGCTGCACCCCGACAGACATGCCAGAACGTTTGGAGGCAAAAAAATAATTTCGATCATTGATATTACATAGTTTTTACTAGATCATGTAGCGTACTACCAGCCCGAAGAGTGTCGCCGGGACACAAGGTGCAAACCCCACCAACACATTTAATTAATGGGTATCCCGGCATACTCGTCGTAGCCGAGAGCAAGGTTCAAATTCTGCCAAGAAATCAGATGGCTGACACCTCCCGATTAACTAGGCGAAACGTACCTGCAAGCACTGGGTTGCGGCGCCCTTGAGAAGATTGTCCAAGCCACCCTAATCCTAGTTAGCCACATGTCCTAGCATACAGGAAAGATACACATACCACAACAACAGCTCGATCGCCTTCGCTGTGAACTTGGAAACCTCCTACAGTCCAGCCGTGCTTATTCTCGATATCCGACAATCCTGGAACGCTCGCTTTGACGTGTACCAACTTCTCTTCACCATATTTCTCTTCATACAGGGCCTTGACATCCCGTGCAGTAACCTTCTCGCTAAGTGGTACGGACAATGTCGAGATGATACCGCTGAACCAAGGCGCGACTGAGGGTATGAAGGCGACTTTCATGGGGTTGGTGGGATCCGCGAGCAGACTGGTTAGGTGACGGCCTGCTTCGCGCTCATGGATATGGTCTGTGAGCGAGTATGGACGGATACCGCCCGCGAGGCTCTCTGGTGTGACCTTGGGCACCGTTGTCGGTTTGCCGTCTGCGTCGCTGGTGCCAGCGACCGTACCAGCACCGCTGTACCCTGAGATGCCAAACACCGTAGGCGCATACGAGTGCTTTACGTACTTCAGCAATGGCGCGACAAGTAGTTGCGTGGAGGTCGCATAGCATCCAGGGTTGGATATTCTCTTCGACGTTCGGATGTCATCACGCCCGTAGAGCTCTGTCAGAACCGTGGAAAGAAAATGGAAGCAAAAAAATACATGTAAATTTGGCAGTTCAATAGGTATTTACACAGACGCCTCACCAGGCAACCCATACTTCCACCCAGATTCGAAACGGTAGTCCGCGCTCAGGTCGACAATGACGCTTGATTCACCGGAGCTGCGCTCCTTTGCGCCACGATCAATCGCATCGACAAATGGCTTGCAGACGCCGTTGGGGAGAGCCATGACCCACGCATCAACTTCCCCGTCCTTTTCCATTCGCTCAACATCCTCAACGGACAAGTTGGTGTGCGTTACTGCGGACTTTGTGTATCCCTGCAGAGGGTACCCTGCCAGCTGTCGCGACGAGACATGCGTGAGATCGATGTAGGGATGGCCGGAAAGGAGGGTTGTCAAGGCCTGTCCTGTGTACCCGCGCGCTCCGATCAATGCGAGGCGCTTGGGCTCAGTCGATGTGGGCTGCGGAGTAGCGGCAGTGGCATACCCCCGAGAGCCGGAAGGTACTTGTCGACGGGCAAGGGTGGAATAAGACCTAGTGGCGCCAGGACCCGCATGTTGAGGGGGAGCAGACGGTCCTACGGGTAAATATGCCCTTTCAAGCCTGCCTTTGGCCTCGAAATCCTTGACAATCTTCTGTACCTCAGCAACATCCTGCACACCGTACCAGAACAAGCTCTTGCCAGCACGCGTGAAACTTCCATCAGCGCGCTCGAAGTGCCAGGAGCGGTTGTCATCGTCGACCTTAGACGTCCAGAAGAGCTTGCGATGATCTTTTTTGATGGCGTTGAAAACGTTATCAACGACATTGTTAAGAACTCCGCTGCGAGAGGCGAGAAGCTTCGTCATGATTGGCACTTCACCTTCAGGGCGGGTGACAATGGCGACTGCGTCAAGGGGCTCATCGCCGTAAATGGTGTAAGGCGTCTTTTGGAGGTCGCTGAGGACGCTAGTGACGCTTGAGACGCCAGATTGTACCTCGGGATCACGATCGTGAATGACTTGGCGGAAGCGATCAGCGCCGACGCTTTCGATGCTATTGTGTTTGAAGAGCCGGTAACCGCGGCGGATAAGGGTACCAGCGCCGCTGTCAGTGAACAGCTCCCTCTGCAAGTTGTCGGCAGAGATGACAGCGACGGACGAGGAGCGGGGTAGGTGGTCAAGGAGCTCCTTGAATTCACGCAGCTTGAGTTTAGTGCCGTACTTGACCCATGGTTCCTTCATGAGCTGTTCATACTCCTACAAATAGAGCAATTAGTATACTGGCGATACTGTAGTGCCAGATAGGAATGTACCTCATCCAGATTGATGACGTCCAACTTTTCGCCTGTGATGCCGTGGAACATGCCACCCTTCTCATTCAAAAAGACTATCTTCATCGGCTCGAGCTCCTTGGCGAGTTCTCCAGCAGCAATGTCAGCGTTAACATTGAGGATCTGGCCGTCGGGTGTCTCGGCCAAGCTGGTCAGAATGGGCAATGCGCCTGCCCTGATCGATGCCTCAATAGGACGCTTATCAACGCGAGTGATATTTCCGACAAGTTTGTACTTGTCTTTGTCGAGATAGTCGGCAGTGAATACGCCCGATGTGATGGGACGGGCACGAGTGCCTAGCTTCTCGAGTGCACCGACAAGCTTTAGATTTTGTTCAAGGAACACTCGACGGGCGATCTGCAGGGTTTTCGCATCTAAAAAAGAGATTGGCCATCAAAATCTAAGAATAGCGGCTCGAACGTCGTACCAGTGACACGAATTCCATCAATATAATCCGGAATAACGCCTTCGGACTCGATGATACCGTTCAGCTGTGGTCCTGCACCGTGGAGTACTACAGGGTAGAGACCAACACGATACAAGAAGCTCAAGCTGAGGGCCAGTTCATCTATTTGATCCAACACAGCTCCTCCAACCTTGATGACTGCAAATTTGGCGGGTTGCGACGGGTGCGAGGACGAGGAAAATATGCGGAGGTGTCGCTCGACCTCTCGCTTGGTTCCAATGGAGTACAAAAGTCTAGTTATCGTATCCTGTGCATAGAGTACAATCAAGAGATGGTATTGCGCATTCAGATTCTCGACGCACCCTATCAGTCTGGGCTACCGATTGGATAGACCTAACGGATACATTGGCGCGACGTCTTACTGCGGTAAGGGCAGCTTGGCGTTGACCAGCAACTCGAACAGCTTGTCTGCCGACCTGCGAAGTGAGGGCTGAGATACGAGAGGCAGCCAACATATCTTGGTAGTCAATTTGCTGAGCAGAAAAAACAATAAAAGTTGATGTAAGAAAGCAGTTGCAAAGTTTGAAGACGAAATTTGTTGACTACTAGTAGTGACTGGTCACTCCTAGGCCGAGGCTAGGCTTGTTGAAAGTCCGAAGAAGAGAAAAGTTCGCAGTATGGGGTTCAAAAGTGAAAACCCTTGAAAACCTTTTTGAGGTCACTTGACGCCTTATGAGCGCGTGAGCACTGCAGCTATGGCTTGTGGGTGTGTTTTGCTGTTGATTGCTGTGTATAGAACGTTCCCGACTTGCTCCAAGGCTCAAGCTCGCTCCCCGGTCGGATCCTGCCAGTGGGTATGACTTATTCCAACATTGCATCCATCTGTGGGGTCTAAATATATGTACTGACCCCTTAGTGCTGAATTTCTAGCGCTTTCGTACCAATACACTCGGAATGCTGTATATCGACGAACTCTCATAACTGACAAGAAAACCGTGTTGTGGACCGTATCTTCGAGCTCCACAGCATGCAGTAAGGTAAAGCCGGCATGCGTTGAACGTTTTCAACACTTCCCGGTGGTGATTGCGCACGCCGCACATGATCTGACTTGCACTTGTCCGCAGGCGATCCATCACGTTACTCTGGGCAGGTCGAATCTGATATTTGTGGATCCGAAGTTCTGTCCCTTGTATTATGATAGAGGTCTTCATGCTGAAGCAGCTGCAAGTATGCGTATTATGCTCCAATTTTGGTGGTTCCAAAAACGACGGTAAGTGTTTACAATCACGCACTGCGCGATCTATCCAATGGTTAAAAAAACATGGTAGAAAATTACCTCCACGCCAAAGTCAACTGTTCATTAAGGTCGACAGACGCATTCGACACCACCAGCTCTTCAGTGGCCTCCTTATAAGTCCACCCTTCAGCCGGCGATCCCTGGAACTTCACCTGGGTAGGTTTCTGCACCCCCAGCACAGTGATCGTCTCCAACTTCTGCAGAATCGCATATTCACCCTTGCTCTCAATCTTGAGTGTGCCATCAGCAGCCTGGAAAGTGAGACTCCGACTCGGTCCAGGCGGGAAGCTGATTCCATCGTCCACATATGCAGTACCGAAGGCCGTGCCTGCTGCGTTGAGGGACACAAGGAGCGAATAGGGACCTTCGCGAGTCTCGTAGATCGTGTACCCGGGCTCCTGGTGCAACAATAGAGCAGAGTTGTCGCGAATATGGACGTTGATGTGGCTGATGGGAGCGTCTAGCGTCGTGTTTCCTCCAGACGTTGCATTGACGACGGCGTGTGTATACCAGTCGCGCCAAATTACGCTACCGCGACCGGGGAAGATACCTGTGTGGTGGTGGGTCAGTGGCAGTAGTTGATGATGAGATCAGGGATATTACCCTCGACGGTCGTAGCTCCAGGAGTCAAGACTGGAGTCACGAGAATGTCGCTTCCAATGAGCCATTGCCTATCTACTGTGAACAGTTCAGGCTCGTCAGGGAACTCGTAAAACAACGCCTTGACAGGCGGAAGACCAGCCATGGAGGCGTTGGCAAAGAGTGTATACTTTGGTGTGTTCAATGTCAACGACGTGATCACTAGAGAGCGTACACACTTACCCAGTACGGCAGTAGCGCGTATCTAACAGCGATGGCGATGCGGGATGCATTGGCTACACTTGCCCAGCGGTAAGGCTCTTGAGAGAGAGCACCGATGGCGTTGTGGTTCCTATAGAAGGGAACGAATGCCGAGAGTTGCATCCAACGATTGCACAATTCCTCGTCGGCGTTATCGTCTGCGTGGATTGTAAACCAGAGACCGTTCTACACTCCGTAAGATACTTACTGAATCCACAAGTATCAGCGCCAACCATCGGAATTTGGTAGATCTGGAATTGTAGAACGCCCTGAATGCTGAGGTACATGTACTGCCACTTGCTGTAATTGTCGCCAAGCTATTAGAAAAGTCAATATCGTGGCCCAATTCAGCCGAGAGGATTGAAATACCCAATGACCGGTCCATTTTCCAGCAGAGGGGAAGGTTGATCTGCTGATCAGGAATGGACGCTTTCCGGGCAGGATCGATTGAATAGCAAGATTCGTCGCCTTTTCCTCCATCAGCCCGAACATATTATGTACGTCAAGGTCCACATATCCGCCGGAGTGCGTTGCGTTCGTCGCTAGGGAGTGTTGGTTAAGGGATCCGGCCGCTGCGTTCCAGGGAATTCACATCGCAATAGTGGTATATACTAATGGAATCTTACCATTATGGATAGCATATGGAGGGCTGTTGAGATCAATACCTTGCTCAGTACCTGCGCCGACACCCCGCTTGTTTAAGTTGTCTATCGCCGTCGTAGTGGTCGAGTTTGCTGCGCATGAATATGTCGAGGTTCCGTTAATCGTCATGTTCCCGCTAGGTCCCCAGAGTGTATCGTTGTAACTTCAAAAATCGTTAATAACGTTCAGCGCCTCAGAAAAGTCCTAATTCCATACCATTCAGGATATCCAATAGCCACCGAGCTGAAATCGGTCAGGGGACCGACGGAAGAGAAGTTCGCGCCGGTCCCACTTCTTACCAGTCAGCGTCAAAAAGGACGTAGATGAGAGTTTGCCCTACCACGAGTAGCTACAGAATGTGCTTGGTTCATTCATGTCGAGCCAAATACCGGAGAATTCTACACCCATGTCTGTCCAGTTTCTGAGACTGTCGGTCCATACGGAGAGCATGTTTTCGCTGAACCAGTCCGGAAAAACCTAAGAAACAATTGGTCGAAGAGTACCATAAGCCAAGAATCACTGACGGTATACCCAGGCCAGACTTCGGCAACGTATAGAGACCCGTCTGGATTCTTAATCCACACATCCCTGTGGCGCATTCAGGGTTGGGGACCGCTACCAGAACAGCAAGCACTCACTCTTCGACGCCCCGTGTGAATGGATCATACTAAATCAATATATGGTCAGAGAGTATCTGACTACGGCACGTCGAGAGACTTACGACGTCAGTTGAATTCCTTGTGACAGCGATAGCTGCGTCAACAATAGGGATATCTGACGAGTTGTTCAATCAACCCTGACAGCAAAAAATTGCAAGGACATTTACAATGTTGATGATTCGCGGCCTATCACGCAAGTCAAAACGACCCGCACTCTTAACGGGATTCTGAGAAACACTCACCAACTCTTGGATGAACTCACGAACTTCATCCCCAGGGAAACTCACTGGGTCAGTAGTGAAGTCACGGACAGCATGGTACAAGTCAATATCATTCCATTGGACTGCAGCGCCGAGTGAGAATCATAAGCGATGAGTCCCCCCAAGATGTGACAGACCTTCCAGGGGGATACCTGCAGCGCGCATCTGCGCGACGTTTTCTCTGTCATCGCTGACATTGTGGTACCCCCATCTGCATGAAATAAGTGTGTCTCCTTGACGTCGGTATTATAAAGAACATTACCTGCAAAGGTGGAACCCGAAGCCCCACGCCGGCTGCCACATAGGATACCCGATAACTGAACCGTACTGGGCAATGACTTCTGCATCCGAGGGACCAGAAAAGAAGTAAAAGTCCAGGATGCCGCCAATTATACGGTACTCGATTAAAGACACCTTGGAGTTCGTGGGTGTCTGCAGGAAAATATCTGAACCCGCAGCACTAAGGAATGCGATTAACAGACAGAACTGGAAGTCGGTTAGAGTTGAATACCTAAGCAAAAGAACCCCAGAGGCAGACGCCTTTCCGGTTGTCGCATTGTACCTGTGTTCGACATAAATAGGGTGGGAGCCATACCTAACAAGCCATATCGTCACGTGAGAATGATTTCCAGACATGTGACTTACAAGTTTTGATCGATGGGATCCGCAACTCCGAGACTCCATTGCGTTTGAATAGTGCCTACGCCCCCATCTGTCCCAATGTCGCGTCTAAATCCACTACTGGCAATGACTTCACCCAAACCGTAGATGTTGGTGCCATACGGCAGAGCGGAAGCAACCTAGAAATCGTAAGCCAGATTTACATTAGGGGTGATAGATACAGACCTGAAGATATTGATCTTCGAATACAAGAGGAAAGCCATCGAATGCAGTGCTTGGGTCAGATGCATTGAAAGGTGGAATAGGTGTCGATGGCAGCGATGAAGTTCTCGTGTCGAACAATGGCATTGCGTCCGGGTCAGACCGTCTCGTGATCCAAAATGCGAAAGGCATTGCATCGTAGTTGAATATCAGGTCAGAGCTGCCCGTGTAAGATGTCGTTGGCGCGGCAGGTCGTTCGATCACCGACTCGGGGATTGTGAACTGTTGGTTGGCAGTGTCATAAATCTTGACGTGCAAACTAAACCAATCATTAGTGCTGCACCGAAAAGACTCGAGGGGGAGCCACGTACGTGGACTGTGACTGGTAAGTGACTTCGATGGTGAGGTCTGAGATATCTAGTCCAAAAGCATTACATGCTGGTCCAGCGAGTGTGAGTTGCGCAGTGAGACCAATGTCAGACTCTTGAAGCGACCATAGAATGTATCCTGAATCCCAATATTGTCAGTGGCGATTTCACAAAGATTGAACTGAAGTCCTACCTGGACAATCTGTGACATTCATCGAATACGGTATTTCTGTGCCATTGGAAGTGAGCTTGTTTCCTAGCGTGGCACGCTGAGAAACTTTTCCCCAGACTGTAGGCGCTAGGGCGTATAGGACACCCAAGAGCAAGGAGAACATGAGGGGCATCATTGAGAGAAGGAATGCGACGGGTTTGTATTTATATCCCTACACGAGCAATACGCGAGACATTCATTCTTACGTGTAGCCATTGGAATGGGACTTGGACGGCAGAAGTGCTTGATTCTGCCGCATTACGGACGCTTTACGAATGCTTACGACTTGTATGATCAGGCTGACTTCGACAATGTTGTCGATTCCAAATGGGACGTACATATTACAGCTCTCACCAGTAGGGCCACTTTGGCTGGCAGCGATGCCATACTTCATGCAGTACCCATATACAGGTAGCTATAGGTGAATCGTTCCAAGTGTAAGTGCTTGAGCCAGCCATGGTTCACGAAGTCGAGTCTCTGCTAGACGTGCCTGCCATTATGCAACGTCTAAAATCGCGATTAAAATTTCCTTCCGACTCTCTGACGACGACTCCGGACCTCTGGCGGAGAAGTTACTATTGGTCGGTGGGCTTGTTAGCTAATCATGATGAACCAGAGGATTAACCATCGTGGAATTAGGTTTTTGAGCCATGTCCCAAGATCGTCGTAAGATGCCAGCATCCATTTCAGAAGCTGGAACGAAGAGAATCTTATGGCAGCAGATCATGAAGGAAAGCAGCTGGCTTGAAGGTGGTCCATACTAGTACTAGTAGTATATAGTTCAAACCAGGGTTTTCGACCCCCCATCAGATGGTGACGGCAGAAGACGTGTTCCGGATTCCGCATACTTGAAGCCGCGTGTCTCTAGATCTTTCCGACCTCAATGATCTCCACTTCCTCTGTTCAAAGGATCTTGGCCTTGGCACCGCCGGACGTCGCGTCGCGGCGAACGGGCCTTGCGTGCACTGGCAGGAACTTGCACGACGCTCCTTGATATCAGATTTAAATGGATGAAGTTGTTGGATAGGGCACTCTGTTCTCCTTTGCTGTATCATGCTATATAGATTATGGCATTTGTGTACCTGGAGTGATTCACTGTAGGGCCCCGTTTGCTGACATCAGTGTCATGAGTGCGGCCTCGAGCAGAAAGTTCCGGGGTTCCAACTAGTCATTCTGTGTATCAGCTGAAGTTCGCGCCCTTGGAATCGCGCGGTCTCATCAAAGAGAGAACTTACTCGTGTTTTAGAAAATCAGCTCACCAAGTTCTTTTCACGCAAAGTCAAAGAGGAAATTCACATAGCGTATGTCAATCGAGTACTAGTATAGCACTTCATACACGTCCGTTTCGCTGCCTCTATACTTCATCCACCTCACGGGCGTACCACTGAACCCTTACCAGAATACCCCAACACAGTACCTGAAAGACAGCCTCTACGTTACACATCACCAGTTACTCCGGTAAGGGCTCTTGAAAAGTAATTGGAGTCATGGCAATCCCTTCGTCGGAGTCGACCAAAAGCTGGGCATAATATGCCCTCACGCTAAGGACGAGACGTGGTCCAAGCACAAACAACTGCACAGCAGTAATAATCTGAACAGCGCCGCTATGAATCTGAACTCCCACGGCAGAGGGGTTCTATAAGAATGATCGTGATGAGGAGTGGTAAGATCCAAACGTGTCAGTCACAGATTCTGCGTACCATGGATAGAGACTGGTTGCTTAATGTGGAGAAAGAGGCGACAGCAAAGCTAGCACATGTTGAACTTCAGCGGAAATTTAAGGATTATGACAACCAAACTACGAGCTTACGCTGCAAAATAAGGCGCATGTGTTTTTATTAACACGGTGAAACAGTCCCTGACGGTCCATCTTGTCGATCGTCGTTGCAGTTCACGGAGGTGTCTTATGGCAACCCAGACCGTAAGACATAACGCGAGGACCTCCCATACGAGTCCAGCGATGATTACCCATTCACTACCAATTAGAATTGGAGCACGTCCGTCCACGAAGTAGAACCGGCACTGATATGTACCAGAGAGAACGAACTGCTCTGTGATTAGTCCAGTGAGCCTCATACGCTTGAATCTTTCATCCACAAGTAAAACCTACCGCCTCGAGTATAGCTAAGATCTATAAAGAGCAGGACTCCGGCTGCGATCGAGAGGGCTAACAAAGTTACAACAAGGAAGATAAGGATCTTTCTGGATCCCTCATACATGGCATGTAATCGAATGGTTATGACAACTTGCACGATATTTCAGTCAAGTCAGAGTTACTGCAGTTGAACAGCTCACCAGCCAGCATGACCATCACAACGACGGGAATCCAGTTCTGTAGGTACAATATAAAAGTACCTGAAAAAAACTCAGTCGCTGACAAGCTTCGGGGATGCTTCAAACAAACTCACACCTGTGTAGTCATTATACACAATGAACCAACAAGCTGATCCACAGTAATCTTGCTCACCCCTACGTAGAAGTGAAATTAGTTAGTCCGGAATGGTAAGGGTCGACATGAAAGACCCACTGCATCTGTCAGCGAGACTAACAAGAGATTGCCTGCAATCCGCCAGTCAGAAATGACGAACAGTGTATGCGAGGAAAACATTCCCAGCATATTGGTGCTGCTCGTAAGTTGGTTCGTCAGCAGTGACAACTTTATTAGCCCTGAAAACGGTTGCGTACCCGCAGTATATTACTCCAAGGCAGCGCACCTAGAACTAGTCAGTACAGCTTGTCAGCCCCGATCATAACATAATGTGCGCACACTGAGATACATCACTGTGATGGGAGACCAGCGTTGCGACTACCCCCAAGTAATCGATCACATTATCCGTGCTGAAATAGGACTCTGCTCACCCAAACCAGTTCGAACTATAGAACCGTTCTTAGCAAAATGACTGTCCGGTAATTAATGGCATCAACCTACCTCTTGCCCGGATATTAGTGCTGAAGAATATGACAAGAATATCAATAATGCCCTTGTGTAAGTATAATCTCCCTCACCCCAATCGTATACCACCATAGTAGAGGACGCAGCTGCGAAACCAAAATTAAAGGTCATCGAGTCAGCGAGAGCAATCACCAACATTATCCAACTTGCTTTCAACACACCTACGTAATAGCTATAAACGAGCGAGAAATCGATTGTTTGCCACCAAGAAGGATCATTTGTGACATAGGCCATACTGATTCCAAGGAAATCAGTGGACAGCGAACTTGAGGTACCAGAGTCAAAGCTTGCAGACTTGCGCATTTAAGTACATCCAGCACAAAGTAGTGTCGTACGGCATGTTTGAATTGAACGAACCCCACCTCAGGGTTTAATAGGCTGGTTCTCCGAGTCGGCGAACAGCTGGCGAACTCACGATCGTTGCCAGGGACATTCTCAAGAAGCTTCTTGTCATATGTAGTTTGATGGGGCTGTTCAGAGTTCTTTGCGAGTTGTGCATTTTGGTCGCCACAGATATCTGAGTGCGCTGAGATGATGAACTAGGACTGAAAGTTTCGTCTAAGGAACACACAAATCGTCCAGCGCATGCCCGGCGGGCCAGCTAGAAACTCGAACAGCAAGAATAGCTTTTGCGACGTGGTGTGACGTTTTTTTGCGAGTACTCGGATCTAGGGCTCGAACTCCTTCGCGGATCAATGAATACGATTCGTTTTTTTCGTCAGACCTGTTAATGTCAACATCTAATTTTAAATACTCACTCAACGGCAACTCATCAACAATTAATCCTCCAGGCTGCCAGGATCAACCAAGATCAATCCTGACTATGGGAAACTATGAAGATTTTCTGTGAGTTTATCTTCGGCCGTTGTTGGCAGTCATCAAGTTCAACATATTCCAATGTTTGTAGAGCTTGAAGAAGACCAAATAAACACGGCTCCTCCCGTCAGAAAAATCGCACTGACATAAGAGCTTGAGATAAACCCGCGACTGGTCAACCAAATTGACATGCGCACATGCAGTTCTCTCCGAGACGGTTTCGCGCCCCACTTCTCTGTCAAACCGAGCAGCGTCGTCGATGGCATTTTCGGCATGAGCTTGAATAGTAGGACTTTGAGGATCACTCAAGAACCTCTCAAGGGCGCTCGAGAAGACGTCTTTAATCATGATGAACAGTGGACACATCAAACTGCTATGACTTGACCAGTTCAGCCCAGAAGATTGTACTACCTAAAGAACACCTGCTCACATATGGATTCTCCTCGGACACACCCCACTCCGTCTCAGTCCAAAGGATCCCGCCTCATCACCGGTCATCACATCGCAGAGATCATGCCAACCGCGATCATTGCGTGCCGCCCCATGTCGTGGTCTTCCATGGAAAAATGCAAAGTCACTCAAAAACATCTAACACCGCCCTTTGTCGTCGACCATTGTGGTGCTGTTACGTGCGAGGCAACATCTCGATGCGAGTGTAATGACATTCGAAATCTGTTTTCCCCCAGAGGGTGCGTAACTAAAACCTGCCTACCTACAATCACCTTTTTTCTGTTATCATACTTGTACATTCACTCACGGATGGTTTCTTGGAGATCCATCTTATCTATTCCTAATTCTAGGTAAGTGGGCGATAGTGCAAATTCGGAACTTTTTTCGCTATAATCGCACCCTGGACATCGATCCATGGATAGATCCTCGAAGGTCCATCTTAAGGACTCATGACCAAGTGAGTGTTACTAGATTAGAAATCTATTCTCTTAGAGGGTGTAGTTTGAAACCTACCGACCACAGTCTTTTTCCTCTTATCACACCCTAACATTCACTTGTGATAGTTTCCTCGAAGGTCTGTTTCAACAGGTCATAGCGAAGCAGGCACCATAACAAATTCAAAATCCGTTCCTCCTGGAGGTGCCGGTATGAAACCTGTTATCAGTTTTTTTTCGATTCGTAAAATCTGATTCTGTTACGGCGCACTGGTTCGACCGACATCTACCGAGATTTTATTTGTGATAGCCGCCAACTACCGTCCACGACAAACAATCTACCTTCAGACCTGGTGAGGATGTAGTATGTATTAGCTTATATAGGGAGTCGGTGATTATATTCAACATCGCTCGTAAATTCATTTCTAGTAGTCTCCCCTAGACAGACCATAGACGACTTAAAATAGTCGTTCTTTTCTACACGTATCCAGTCTTAATTTGCAACTTACAAGACCTTCACGCCTCCTTTCTCCTCCAAGTGAGACATATCGAGGATGAACCACTTAATGCCGTTGTGCATCTAAATAATAACTACTTCCACGTTAAGGTAAGCTGTCCATTAAGGTCAACAGACGCATTCGACACCACCAGCTCTTCAGTGGCCTCCTTATAAGTCCACCCCCCAGCCGGCGATCCCTGGAACTTCACCTGGGTAGGTTTCTGCACCCCGAGCACAGTGATCGTCTCCAACTTCTGCAAAATCGCATATTCACCCTTGCTCTCAATCTTAAGTGTGCCATCAGCAGCCTGGAAAGTGAGACTCCGACTCGGTCCAGGTGGGAAGCTGATTCCATCGTCTACATACGCAGTGCCGAAGGCCGTGCCTGCTGCATTGAGGGACACGAGCAGCGAATAGGGACCTTCACGAGTCTCGTAGATCGTGTACCCGGGCTCTTGGTGCAACAATAAAGCAGAGTTATCGCGAATATGGACGTTGATGTGACTGATGGGAGCGTCCAGCGTCGTGTTTCCTCCAGACGTTGCATTCACGACGGCGTGTGTGTACCAGTCGCGCCAAACTACACTACCGCGGCCGGGGAAGATACCTGTGGGGTGGTGGGTCAGTGGCGGTGGTTGTTGATGAGATCGGTGTATTACCCTCGACGGTCGTAGCTCCAGGAGTCAGCACTGGAGTCACGAGAATGTCGCTTCCAACGAGCCATTGCCTATCTACGGTGAACAGTTCAGGCTCGTCAGGGAACTCGTAAAACAACGCCTTGACAGGCGGAAGGCCAGCCATGGAGGCATTGGCAAACAGCGTGTACTTTTGTGTGTCTACTGTCAGCGTCATGATCACTAGACAGCGAAATCGCTTACCCAGTACGGCAGCAGCGCATACCTAGCAGCGATAGCGATGCGGGACGCGTTCGCTACGCTTGCCCATCGGTAAGGCTCTTGAGGAAGGGCAGCATATGTGTTGTGGTTCCTGTAGAAGGGAACGAATGCCGAGAGTTGCATCCAACGGTTGCACAACTCCTCATCGGTGTTGCCGTCTAAGTAGATCGTTAACCAGAAACCAATTGACATTCTCCAGAACACTTACTGAATCCACAAGTGTCAGCACCAACCATCGGAATCTGGTAGATCTGGAACTGTAGCACGCCCTGAATGTTGAGGTACAGATACTGCCACTTGCTGAAGTTGTCACCAAGCTATCGGAGACGTCAGCATTCCGTCCTGTTCCGTCAAGTTAGTTCAAAATACCCAATGACCAGTCCACTTTCCAGCAGAAGGGAAGGTCGATCTGCTGATCAAGAACGGACGCTTTCCGGGGATGATAGATTGAATCGCAAGGTGCGTCGTTTTTTCCTCCATAAATCCAAACATGTTGTGCACGTCGAGCTCCGCATATCCGCCGTAGTGCGTCGCGTTCGTGGCCAGGGTGTTGCGGTTAAGGGATCCGATAGCTGCATTCCGAGTTAGATCGAACCCATGGTATATAGGAAACGAGACTTGCCGTTATGGATAGCATATGGCGGGCTGTTGAGATTGACTCCTTGCTCGCCACCAGCTCCGACGCCCCGTCTTCCCACCACGGCTGGAGTGGTCGAGCTTGCTGTGCATGAATTTGTAGAGGTGCCATTGATAGTCATGTTCCCACTAGGTCCCCATATTGTCTCATTGTAGCTTCATCAACATCGTTAGTAACCTTCAGCACTTCAACTCAACAAAGTTGCTTTACCATTCAGGGTACCCGGCGACGACCGTGCCGGCCACGCTCAGGGGAGCAAGGGCAGAGTAGTTCGCACCGGTCCCGCTTCTCTCCAGTCAGCTTCGAATCGAATGCACAAAAGCTCGCCTTACCAGGAGTCACTACAGAACGAACTTGGTTCGTTCATGTCGAGCCAAATGCCGGAGAATTCGACACCCATTTCCGTCCAGTTTTTGAGACCTTCAGTCCATACAGAGAGAATGTTTTCGCTGAACCAGTCTGGGTAGACCTAGAAGAGCACGTTCGTTCAATTGTTAGCTGACTGAAGTGTTCCATAAGTCATTAGTGACTGACGGTGTATCCAGGCCAGACTTGACCAAGGTACAGAGAACCATCTGGATTCTTAATCCACACATCTCTGCAATGCATTCAGCACTCCAATCCGTTACCAGGACGAAAGAACTCACTCTTCAACGCCCCGTGTGAAAGGATCATACTAAATTATGATATGGTCAGGAAGCATCTAACCATAATAACATGTAAAGAGACTCACGACGTCAGTTGAATTCACTGTGACAGCGATGCCGACATCCACGATGGGGATATCTAACCACGGGTTTGATTAAACTTGGCAGGGAAAGAGTACAAGCGCATTTACAATGTTGGTTATTCGCGGCCTTTCACAGAAGTCAGAATTGGCCGGACCCCATGTGGAGAAATACTCACCAACTCCCGGATGAACGTGCGAAGTTCATCCCCAGGGAAACTCACTGGGTCAGTGGTAAAGTCGCGGTAGGCATGGTACAAGTCAATATCGTTCCATTGAACTAGCCACGAGTTAGGTTTTCGAGCAAAGAGTGTCCAGGATGTAACAAACCTTCCAAAGGGATGCCAGCTGCGCGCATCTGCGCGACATTTTCTATGTCATCGCTGATATTGTGGTATCCCCATCTGTATAATTTGAGTGAGCCTATTTCACGCCAATCACACTGCAGAGCATATTACCTGCAAAGATGAAACCCGAAGCCCCACGCCGGCTGCCACATAGGATACCCGATGACTGAACCGTACTGGGAAATGACTTCTGCATCCGAGGGACCAGAGAAGAAGTAGAAGTCCAGGATGCCGCCAATTATACGGTACTCGACTAATGACACCTTGGAGTTCGTGGGTGTCTGCAGGAAGATATCTGAACCCGCAGAACTGGGAAATGCTGTCAACGGACAGAATCAGAGTCAACTGGAGTAAAATACCCGAGTAAAAGTACACCGGATGATGATGCTTTTCCAGTAGTCGCATTATACCTATGTTCGACATAGATTGGATGGGAGCCATACCTAAACACGGTCATGAATCCTCACGTGAGCATTATATCCAATCACGTGACCCACATGTTCTGATCAATGGGATCTGCAACGTCGCGAGCCCAATGCGTCTGAATGGTACCTACGCCCCCATCTGTTCCGATGTCGCGTCTAAATCCACTGCTAGCAATTACCTCACCCAATCCGTAAATGTTGGTGCCATACGGCAGAGCGGAAGCAACCTGGTAATCGTAAGCCATTTTCACAACCTCAGCGGGAATGACGGATGCAGACCTGGAGATATTGATCTTCGAATACAAGAGGGAACCCATCAAATGCCGTACTTGAGTCAGATGCATTGAAAGGTGGAATAGGAGTCGGTGGCAGCGATGAAGTTCTCGTGTCGAACAATGGCATTGCGTCCGGGTCAGACCGTCTCGTGATCCAAAATGCGAAAGGCATTGCATCGTAGTTGAATATCAGGTCAGAACTGCCCGTGTATGATGTCGTTGGCGCGGCAGGTCGTTCGATCACCGACTCGGGGATTGTGAACTGTTGGTTGGCGGTGTCATAAATCTTGACGTGCAAACTAAACCAATCATTAGTGCTGCACCGAAAAGACTCGAGGGGAAGCCACGTACGTGGACTGTGACTGGTAAGTGACCTCAATGGTGAGGTCTGAGATATCTTGTCCAAAAGCATTACATGCTGGTCCAGCGAGCGTGAGCTGAGCAGTGAGACCAATGTCAGACTCTTGAAGCGACCCTAGAGCGTATCCTAAAACCCGCCATTGTCAGTGGCAACTCCACAAAAATTGAACTGGAGTCCCACCTGGACAATCTGTGACATTCATCGAATAAGGTGTTCCTGTGCCATTGGAAGTGAGCTTGTTTCCTAGCGTGGCACGCTGAGAAACCTCTCCCCAGACTGTAGGCGCTAGGGCGTACAGGACACCCAAGAGCAAGGAGAACATGAGACTCTGACGCAGTGAGAGAAGGATACCGTCGCCGATGATGAACTTTTCATCTTCGGATGGGTTTGTATTTATACTTATGAACCGAATATCCTCCCTCTTACGTGGCCATCGCAGCGGGACTTCGGACGGCATATATGATATCACCTGTGAGAGGAAAATGAGACGAAGCAGGTCAGTAACGTACAGACTCGTATGACAACTTGTCCTCGTGCCACAATCATTCGGACAACTCGCAAGACCAGCTGACTACCGTGATGGGAAAAGATCACTGATCAGTTCCAAGGTCTCAGCAGTAAGCCGACCTTTACTATGTTGTCCCATCCAAACGGGAGTCATATCACTTTGTGTAGGCAGCGGTATATGTACTCGCCCGATTTTGAAGCAGAATTGAATACACACCGTGGTCGTCAACCAGTGAGTTGTATCCTCGACAGCGTGGCACAGTCTATTGTGGGATACGGTTCTGAATTATATTTACAGTGTTCAACGGTCGAGTCTGTAGTTTTAGGCAAGTTTTAGGCGCCAGTTTATCCTCTGGGCCGTCGGAACGGCAATTCCCGTAGTCGTGTACTTTTACAGCCTGGGTTTCACTATAGGTTCATGCATTCCTGCCAGGACGTTGTGTTTGATCTCGAGGTCCACCGTGATCATGCACGATATCGGTGAAGGCACGCCCGTTCACGCCCCGATCGGAAAAGGCATGGTAACGTTCTTCAATTTCATTGCCTTTTCATTACCAAAAGATCATCAGTACGTCAAGTTCTTCTTGCGGCGAGAGCATTCTGATGTAACTTATCATTCAATTCGGTACAGTACTGCTACTAGAGTCTACTAGTGCGCTCTAGAGGAGTCCTAGAGGCACCAAGGGCGCCCATTACTATTTGCAACTCGCAGCTTCCAGGTCATTCAACAGATTTGCGGCAAGAACACGTATTAGTCGACCCGTCGGGATCCATTCGTGCTTTACCTGTGCATTCATGTGGCCTTACGGCAATATCAGAGGGGTTCTGTCTCGAATTCTGATTTGACCGAGGTACCACTTTGGACCGTTATCATGGGTGCAAACGATAAAATGAATTAAATAGCTCCGTAGCGTAGTTATCTAGCGCGAGCCTACTGCAAGTATCAGATGCTATATAGATCAGGCTTTCGCGATAGTATCACCTTGACTGGACAAGCACGCCACCCATGTTTGCCTTGACAACTTGCCTAGTGTGCACCAAGGATGTTTGTTTGGCACACGCTTAAGTTGGTAAAGACATCATTCTGCGAATTCAATCGCTTTCTTTTGTTCGTCATTCTGTTTTCGACATGCCTAGGAAGAGTATTGTTACGATTGACCACGAAATTGAGGTCCTGCAAGCTCAAATCTCCATTCTGCATCGTCGTGAAAATGACTTCGTCCGTATTTTGGAGGACATGGCCCGTCTTAGAGATTCAGTCAAGGCCGAGCAAGTGACACTTGCATCTCAAGTAACGGAGCTAGAGAGTCAGAGACATCCGATCAACTGGCTGCCCTCGGAGTTGCTGATCCAAATCTTTGTCTCTGTGGCGGAGGGCAACGACTCAGACACCTCAGCAGGTCTCCCTTACAATTCCTCCCCCGTCATTATATCTCATGTATGCCGGAAATGGCGTAAACTCGCATTTGCCACTTCTACACTGTGGTCGCGTGTTTCGTACAAGAGCAGAAAGTGGTCCGCGTCTCCGGTCTGCGCGTTCATGGATCGCTCAGGTTCTAGTTTGCTCGACTTCATTTTCTCTCCCACACCGTACCACGTTGATGACCATGAAGCTTCCGAAGACGAGCGGCTGGCGTCTGAAAGCCTGCTCCACGCGATGGGCTCTCACCTCTCTCGTGCGCGCTCTATCACCTTCGAGTGCACATCCTCTGCGAGTATGCGACTCATGGTCGAAGTACTCATAGATAACCTTCACGAACTGGGGTCATTACGCTCCCTGGATCTTTCCTTCACAAGCCTTGCCCCATGCTTTGTTGGCACACCACTCCTCACACTGGATGAACCAGGCGGACAAAGTCTCCCCGACACACCGAGCGTCCTTACCCACCTCCGTCTCCAACAACTACCACCGCGTGTCATTCCTCCATTTCTATTACGGTCTGTGAAAACTCTCGAGCTCTCATTCCCTCAACGAAGGTCCCACCGTGTTCCTCAGTATACCCTACGAATGTCCCATCTGCACCGCTTCCTGAGTTTTATTCCAGAGCTCCAAGACCTAGTTCTTATGGAAGCCACACCGTTTCGTGATATTGTGCTCGAGGAATCCAGGGAAGGACAGACAGCCGACAATCGGTTCGCAGTCGTGTCCCCCCTTGAACTGCCTAAGCTCAGAAGTCTCATATGGAAGTTCGCAAGCTCCCTCGACGTGTACGCCTTCATGTCTTTCTTCGGCTTGCCTGCACTGGAGCGATGGGAAATTCTAATTGCCAACTCCCCAACGAAGCGGGGCGACGTCAGCACGCTCCGCGGTAATCATTGGCAAGAACCAGACTCGTTCATCCAGGCAGAGCCTCTCGGAGGCGTCCTATCCATGACCGCGCTCAAGGAGCTGTGCATCAGTTGCCAGAATGGTGACTCCCTCATTTCTTCCCTGCGCCAATTCATCTTCCCTGTGCTCGAGCAACTCGAGTTTGCATACGCAGGAAAGTGCCCACCAAAATGTGACCACAAGCATCCTCTCCCGCGCCTTGATTACGTATTCCGCGACCCCCGTCTCCCCCACCTTACACATTTCACACTATCACACCTTGATGTCTTTGCCGGGCACGGGAAGCTCATGCTCGGTTATATGCCGAGCCTGGTATCATTGACGCTGATCTCGTGCACGGGCGTGGATGGCGTGCTCGACGCGCTTGCTGAGGCATACGGTCTCGCGATGGATGCAGAACGCAAAGCAGCGCGTGGATGTGGCGTCAGAGTTTGTCCAAAGCTAGAAAGTATAACGCTATGGGGCTGCTCCGACTTCAAATTCAAAAGCTTATTTGCAGCCGTATTCGCGCGCGCACCGCCGGCAGGCAACAGCATGCACGTGAAGGCTCAAAAGGACGTTCCTAGCGTTGTCTCGACGGTTTTGGGCCGTAAGATACGGCCCTTGAAAAAAGCGCGCGTGGCATCTCCACAAGGAGGCCCCTCTTCTCCCGCGAAGCCACATTCAACACAAAACTCTCATGGAGCATCATCGACGTTGATTCCAATCGAAGAAGCTTTGCGTCCTGTCCGCATCGCCTGCGTTCATGTGGACGATTGTCCTCAGATCACAGAGGACGAAGCATTATTGTTGGAGGAGTTTGGCACAGTCGTCGTATATCGGTAATTACGTTCCCGCGAAGCACGGCGATGATGTTGGACCTGTAAGTCCCTCATGTTTGATGGTCGACGCACTCACCCAGACGATCATTTTAGAAGGTTGTCACAGAACTAAGATAATAACCGTTCCAGCAATGTATCCTTTAAAGTAACTCCAAGCTACCGCATGCCAATCTTGAGGCTACATCATCATGGTTACCACAAGTTCTTGCCACGCCATTTTAAGGCAGAGGGCATGTGAGCCGGGTTTTTGACAAGAGACGGTAGTGGGAATGATGAGCCTTGCGTGTTCATCCTGTTTCATAGAATTAGAATCACTGTGGAGTAGTGGGTACTATCAATCTGTACAAAACGGATGGCATCTTGCAATTCAAAACATTGTTTGACATGATTTGGCGGCGTGCACACAATGCACATCCCTGTGGTATCAAAGACTAATCGAAGCTGGATTGCTACAGCAACGCCTTCACCGGGTTGGAATGTTCCATTGATTCCCATACACTTCCAGAAACAGGGTGCAGTCTCTATCGAGAAACTTGAATTTGAGCCTTGCAAGCCATATAAAGATCGATAACACGTACTTCAGGGGTCACATCGAATTTGGACAGGGCTTCGAGCACGCCTCTACCACTCCATTTCTCGAGCTCGGTCACCTGCTCTGGACCGATAAAGGCTTGGGAGCTTCGTGAAGCGAAAACCATTTGGGCGGCCGCAGCTCTAATCACCGGTCTGGAAGAAGTATCTTCATCGAGACTGGAAAGGAGCACTTCCGCCTTCTCTCGTGTCCTGCTGGGTATTCCCGAGAATGCAGGTACCACCGGAACCGTAGCTAATGGAGGATTAACGGCTGAACTCGACGTTTTAACTCCACGCCAGCTGGCCGCAAGATGGAATATCCAGAACGTTTCCATCTAAAGAGGGACGCACACGTTTATCGAAGACAAGGCCCATGATTTCGATGAAGAAACACGTACCTCGAGCGTTGTTAGACCAGGTACAGCGGCTTTGAGGTGATCGATCAAAGAAGCATTGTGGTCCTGGAAGGATGTCTGTCTCCCCTGAGATGAGTAGAAACTTTTTTCATATCAGTATGATAGAGTGCGGTGAGGATGCGAACTGAATGTACCTGTCGGTCGATGCATTGACAGCGTTCGGAACTATAAGATTTTTGAGCGAAGGCGGCCGTGTCGCATCAAGGGCATCGCGCAGCTACCTTTGGAATGAGCGATGTCACAAAGTAATGCCCTGTTGGACTTACGGCTTCATGAAGGTCTGGATCTGCTGAGACCTGATAGGAAAGTTTCCATTCCGTGAGTGAAAGGGTGCGAAAGGAGCGATGATGATGCGGACGGGCTTGCTCAACCTGTATGGAACATCCCAAGGATCGCAGGAAGCAAAATCGAAGTCCACATTTCGGGTACAAGCGACGCTCGATGCTGGCAGGACGAGCGATCCTACGGGAAGGTCAGTCAAGCAACCGCATGACCCTAGCCTTCCGAAACAGCCCATTAATCCGACAATTCAGCGTAATTATCAAAATTGTTCGGACCTTATGACAAGCATGTCCCCACTCAGGCATTCTCTGACTTCGCGGATGAAAAAATCCGCGTTAGGCGCCCCCATGCCTATGCATACTATGGATACTGGTATACTCTTGTAGCATCCTGTGATGGTAAGGAAACCGCGCTCTGAGTACAGGGAAAATATCTTTGGAGAGGCGTCCAGCATCTTTGCGATTCCCTCTGCTCGTGAAATGGATCCAACAGTAATCTTATACAATAATTATGAGCTGCTGGAAGAAGCGGAAAGCGCTTCTGACTTACAATTCTGTTAGCTACCTCTCCTGCTCGTATACCCAGGTGGTAAACTCGACCGTCCTCTGTCTTGGGAAAATCTACATGGACGGTTATGATAAGTTTCAATAAACAAATATTTTACTCACTTGCATCCTGTATGCGATCCTTCATGATGTACGTAGCTTGCAGGTGAGCCTAGTGCCGTCGGACGTGTTCAACTGTTTTGACCAAAAATTCTAGCTAGTCCGAAACGTATTAGCATATTGATATTATTACATAATACAAGTACTTGCATGTTATTCTTTTCCGAATTTTCACCGAAATTATATTGAAATACAAATTCAGAGTCAGGCTTCGAACAAATCTAGCAAGTTGGCCGAGTTGCCGAGCATCGATTTATGACTCCGAACACAATCCCACTCCTGTCACGTCTTGCATCTCAATGGTACAATATTTGTGTCTCTCAACAACACTCAGTTATCATGTCAGAAAAAATTAGAGTGATATTAGAAGGCAATGGGAAACCATTGGTAAAATTCCTGAATTTTTTAGCGCATGTGGTGGCTTCCCTCTGATGGATTGGCGTGGAAAGTGCACATTCTGAGCAGTGTTTCGCTGCCGCAAGTACTTCTCGTCCATTTTTCGTAGAATAAAAAATATACACAGTAAGCTATGGATCAATCATCCTCTATAATTATTGCGCTAAGGAAATGAGCGAAATATGAGTGTGCTACATTGTGATTTGCAACTCTGGGCCATTTTGCAACAATTGCAGTGGGAATGATGAGAACAATAGTATTATTGTATATTTCAGCAATACTACTCACGGAACTACTGAAATTTTTTTTGGCTAACCTCATCACGAGTAGCTTTACAGGTGCAGAGCACTTGGCTCAGTGATATATACTGGTCAAAACGTGACGTAGGTCGGGAAAACGTCGACGACAAGATAAGACTCATTGTTCATCGGGCGTGCTGGTACTAGGTGCTGTAGCGCTATGGTTACAGGATATATAGCTATTATAGGGTGCTCACTACGTGGTGCATCACCTGCAGATGAGTCGGATCAAAATGTATGTAACAGTGACAGTAAGAATGTTGAAAACAGCTCAGATGAGTTGAACGGTAGACAATGCTGAATCGAGGTGGTCTCCAAGACGTTTCAGGGCCCGGAGGAGCCCGATGGTCTCAAGAAGGATCATTTGAACGTAGTAGGACTGATCACGAAAAAATTGACGGTCCTGAAGCAAACCAGCATGTCACCGGTCACTTGCGCGCACACCCCTAACATCCGGTGACGTCCGACAGCCTGGCTTCTCACGGAACGTTCTGCAAGGGGATATCTGACGGCTGTTTCCCCCCGCATGGAGGTCGACGTACCACCCTGTGCTACCCTGCACTACCAAGGGAACTATCGCATTATACATGAAATGACGCCTTCCTGCCCGCGCGTCCGATTGGTGTGTCATACTTTAAAACCTTGTTGTCCCTTTGCCTTATTATGCACGTCCCCCCCTTCTTTTCTCTCTTTTGACACGCTTTTGTGATATCATCACTGATGGGCTGACTATTACGTAGATCTGAGCTCCAATTCACTGGCTTTCGAGCCCAGACTTTCTGTTGTGGCCTCCTTTCTCCCGGCAAGAAGCTGTCCCAACAGGAACTCTATCCTTTGCAAACTGATATGGGACCACGTGGAGCGACGACGACGGTCTTCTCCATATCAGCTGGCTAGTTCTTTTATGCCGCAATCGGTGGCGTTGTCTTACGGTCTCCGAGGTTGCTTGCGGTGTACCATAATCATCGAAGTACCACGGAGTTGACTGGATTTGCAGTGCTTTCCCCTGCTTTCCATCGGAAAAATTTATCGACATCGTGGGTGGGCCGCGGCTAGGTGTAACCTTAATTTCTATGACTTGGCGTGAGCAAGGATAACATCTGCCCGGCGGCCTGCACAAACACCTCTGTCAATTGCGCCCGTACTCCGTGTTTCACGTCTCGCAATGGGATCACAAGAGACGAAGGGGGGCGATCCCCTTTGAGAAGAAGTGGTTCATTGCGTGCTAGAGTACCTTCAGAATAAAAGAAAAGGCACGAGTACGTTGTGATATGTGTCTCCTTGCAACATCACCTTGTCCCCAGTTGGGCTAAAAGGTTACTGATAGCGAGATGACTTTCTCTTGGAGAGCGATCACCGGACCAGCTGCCGGGTTCTTCAGCGTCGGCATCGAGCATCGTGTCAGTGGCGCGGAGAACAACTTTGGCAGTCAGAGAAGTGGGGATCGAGAATGCAATCGTTGCCCCTGTATGTCCAATCCTCAGATGCTCTATTATCCAGTACTTAGATAACCAGACCATCAAGGTGATAGTAGCTCTGACGTAGATAGTTAATAGCGCAGTCCAGACCGTCATCACATTCTTGGCTCCCCTGTTACCATTACATCTAATGCATCGAGTGCCGAAGCCAGGCACATCTACAACTTTCTTGGATCGCGTTGAGATCTTCTTCTAACCACGAAGCGATATTAATGAACGACTAAGAAGTCTGAGTGCTACTGAATTCCATGAACTTCGAGCTTGCAAGGGGGATTACACGCAGCGATAATGACCTAAGGCCTTGCCAAGGCGGCGTATGGCCAGCCTGGTGGTTTTGCCACGACACCGAAATTCGCCAAATTCGTTGATCTCGGGCTCCGAGCGGCAGCAACCAACGTTACGGTGCGCGGGTTAGTACTGAAGCCTGACGCCTGAAGGGTCGCACTAGTACTACATGAGAAGAAGTTTCACTATTTCAAATTGGTAATCATCGTCTTCTGTCTACTTCATGCAGATCTGGCGGTTGCTTGAACATGTGGATCTGAACAGGATCGCCAGACGACGCGTCTTGAGATTGCCGATATGACGCAATCCTACACAGTCGACGGGAAATGCCAATCAGACTCCGAGTCGATCTAGTCACCGATCAACAGTTGTTTTGGGATTGAAAAGGAACATGCTCACAACCTTTCCACCAATCACACGCAGAGAGCTTGCTTCAGTGCCCAGGAAATCTCCAAGCCGTCGACTCGGGTTTAGAAAATTAGGCCTTAAATCGTTCCATAAGTTTACTCGTGTTACACCTGGGTTGACCCTGAGCTGGCAATCTCACCTTTACGTTGACCCTTGAGGCTTTCCTGAGTAGGAAGACACATAAGCCACGCTCTGTTCCTTGGACTCATCCCAAAAGAGCACTCACAAAGCTGCTTTCGCTGGGAACTATCCCAAGTGTGGACTATTGGTAGGCTTGCCGCGAGATGTCATGATCTTGATCGGAGTCAGAAGATGCGCAGCAATGATACATAATATGCCTGTGCAAGAACTTTAAGCAGGCAAGGAATTAGGGTGATCCCTGAACCTAGGGTTCATGCTGACTAGTTCAGCGACAGGAAGCGTGCAGCGTGCAAGGAGAGGAAGCAAGAAAGAGGGAAGTTCGCGGCGGCTGGCAGATGGCGGCGGAGGTGGCCGAACCGAAAATGGAAAGTGTGCAGTTGTGCAAGCCTGGGGCATCTCCGAGTAAGCACAGCGACGGTCGGAGTGACGGGACCGACTCGTACTACACCCCACAGCACGGCGTGGAATAACCACGTTTAAGGTATGCTTCACCTGTGAGATCTAGCAGTGGAAGCTTTTACTTCCGCGTAGCTTGAAATTATTTCTCAGCAATCTCCGCCGGAACAGAATGAAACTGTCCTCACATTTTATCAAACAATCGGAGGTATGGCAACAAAAATGTCTCACTGGCAGACCAACCTGGGTTAACAAAAGTCGTAATGGCCTCGTGCTCGACACGAGTCACAGTTGTGTCGAAAGAGAGTTTGCCATGAGTATAGCCATCCTTGGACAAACTCTTCGGTAACACGCGAGTGTACTCTTTGGGGGATTGAGCGCTTGAAAATTTAAAGTCCTTCAATATTCAAATCACACAGATCTATCCTGAAGGGGCACTCGACTGGACGCGTAAATGGGAAGTGCTGGAACCAGGATTGACGACCACGAATATTTTGGATTCTTAGAAGCGGAGAAATATTTGAGCAGTCGCCAGTGATCATGATGAAAGGTCACTATAGCCAGCGGCGCTCGGTGCCAGTTAATGCGAGCCATACCCGAGGAAACGAGCTCCGCGAATTCTGAAGGCACCACTTAGGTTCACTCGACTTTTACGATCAGACTTAATGATTCTGCCTGTTCCGGTTCACCTAACCATGCGTTATTTCTTGATTTCAGTACGTCAACAAGCCTCTTCAAAACTCCTCATAACAGGAGCGAACAGGTCACCGATTACAGGACCGTCAGCAGTCTCAGTCCAGTTTTCAATCCATCTGGAACGTCACTTGCGCTTACAAAAGCGTAAGCTAACGCTATCCGAGCTTGACACTCTTCATTCGTGCTCCCCGCCGTTGTTAACATGAACCCCTTCAATGGAGAAGGAAGACATGGACCAGTAGCAGAATATACCGGCTCTTTCAATGTCTCCTTCAACGAAGGATTCGGAAGAGTCGAAGACCAGGGGTCTCTCTCGGGTTCCGAGGACGATGCTGGATATCTGTTGTATCCGGACGCAAACAAGATGGACACAGACACCGACGGTGAGCTATCTTCTCTATTTTCATAATGGCACATCTCGCTCAAATGACTTCAGACGACGCAACCACCTCCCTGACATCCCAAACCTTGAATGCGGATGGCACACCTAAGCGTCCCATGAATGCATTCATGATTTTTGCTCGCAGGAGACGACCCCAAGTTTCCGCGGAAAATCAATCAATGCGAACAGGGGATGTCAGCAAAGTCTTAAGTCGAGAATGGAATACTATGGACATGGTGACGTATTTTCTTCACGTTGTTCGACGGTGGTTCTAATGTCGAAATCATATAGCCCGAGAAGCAGTTCTACCTTGATCAAGCTAAACAGCTGAAGGATCATTTCAATCTCAAGTACCCGGATTACGTTTACAGACGGAGGCCGAACAACAGCCGTAAAAAGCGAAGAGCAGACTCCACAGGCGCGGCTGCAGAGTCTGCTTCCACCATCGACTCAGCCGACGATCAGTCTTCTAATCCGGAGTATGGCGAGATCTCTCCTGTCGAATACCATCATGATTCTCAAGAAAGATATGAGAGCAGCGGACCAGAGGTCTGTGCATCTGCGGAAGCCACATATCATGACGATGCTTCCTACTTGCCCCCGGCGCGGGCGCCAAGTTACCAACAGGCCCATAGTGGAAGTGACAGACGAGTGCCGTACTTGTCCTCTCATGGGCACGTTACGCCTGATGTCGTTATGGGACCGTCCACGTCCGCACCCCGCGGATCAACGAGTCCTGCTTATTTTCCCCCTTTCGTGCACAATGCGCCCCATGCACCGCCTGGCTCTTACTTCCCAAGTCAGGGTGGAAGCGAAAGGCAATGGCACCTTTCCAGTCGCTCCAGTCGAGACGATTTAGGACGCATAGCCGTCCAATCTTGGTCGCAGGGTGGTTCAGAACCGTCTCCACAGGCTGGAGATGACAGGCACCGCCAGTTCCAATCAGCTCAGCCATCACCATCATGGGGTACTAGCCCATCGGAGCCGCTAGCTTCGAACAATCCATCGGTCCATTCCTCGAGCTACGGCTTTCCCACGCTAAACTCTCCTTTCTATCCGCCTCAGGGCAGTACCCACAACGTTTATTCAGCCCGACACTCCCCCTCACAATTGTCTGACGTTTCTCACCACTATGGTGCTGTTGACCACATTCAAGGGAGCTCAGCGGCATCCAGGCAAGAGGTTGCATACCACGGTCACCATTATTCCCCAGTTTCTACAATGCCAGCGGGATATCCGCAAAGTAGTGGCTCAACCGTGCATCAATACCATAGTACACAATCTCGGAATAATCTTCTCTCGGCACCATTGACACCTGTGCAGTCAATGCCGGTATACTCGCACACGCCGTCAATGAACACAGCTTCCCCCGCTGGATCGGAAACGGACTCTGCCCCTCAACTCTAGTAGTGCACTGAACCTTGTCAGACACCTGTAGAATCTGACGGATGATCCCTTATGCGTAGACGCCTGGTCATACGGGGTTCCATTTATCTTTAGTTCATCGTTCATGTCACTCAGCTTCATACGGGGTTCCATATATCTTTAGTTTACCGTTCACGCTACTCAGCTTATTTGGTATCGCCCTGACACTGTTCTCGCGCTCTTCGCATATCGCATGTTTTTGTTTTGTTCTGGTTTAAAGTTACCCGCTTTATACATCATCGTCAAGTATCTGAATATCTGAATGTTTATCACGCTCGTGCGACTCAAACGGTGGATGGACGATCCCCGCATTGTCCAAAAGGAAAGTCTGCTACCATCGATTATTGGGATGATCGCTCGGTGATTACCGACCCTTGAGGGCGCCATGTTGCGGGAGAGGGACGATCGCGCATGGGTTTTTTTATTCGTGGAGGCAATGATTTCACACCTGAGCTAGCGATTCGATGATCCTGGATTTAGCTGAAAGTGTTGAAGTTTTATCGCAAATACATCGCGAACCAGAAATGTCGCACCGAGTCATCTGTATCACGGTCAAATGGAAATAAGCATGACATAAACCTGGCATAATATATGGATATAATCCAAGTATTTATTTAGGCCGCGGTACACGATTCCTCACAATCTTGCTGAAGGGCTGATCGGGAACGAAGCACCGCGGTGCTCGGCAGCCGTATTGTTCCGTCGGACCCCCCGCTGCCACCACCAGATGAGAGCATGGTGGTGCATGCTCGCCAAGGTCCTGAGCTGTTCTGGCCGTACGGCGAACGCTCCAGCGCATGCGGCTGGATAGAAGTGGCGATAACGAAGTATATGGTTAGGTCAACGTAGTCACAGTAAATAGAATAGGACGAACATGCGTCGAACATATTCACGAACAGTACGGCTGGTGGGCGACCGTTACTTGCCAATCCCGGTCTTCAGCATGGCAGTGGCGCAGGTTATTCATGAATCTGCCGGAGATGGCTAAGAATCAAGGGCACTGGCCTAAACCGTGAACGGGGGAAGCACGACTTAGGCCTGTCGGCGATATGTGGGATGTGGTTGATCAACTTCCTGACAGCACAGGGCATGCGTGTTCCTGTGATTGTGCCGCGGGTCTGATGGTAGCGAGTGACCAGGGACGGTGGTTATCTGGATATGGCCAAGGTATAGCTAGTATCAGTTTAGGATAAGTAAGTCGAACTATAAATTTTAGCACTACTCACGCGTGATTCCAGGTCCAGTTAACGCGCGGGCACATTTGACAAGGATATGGTCCGGGTTTCTCCCAGAAAAATAGAAAGCCACGAGGAGTGACGGTGTGTCCCTGTGTGTCCCCCAGAAGCGCCTATTTCCTTGATGAGGTTTGGGGAAACGTCCCCCAAAAAAAGCCCAGAAAATGCAACATATCCAGAAACTGGTGGTGATTTTGACCACCGAATCTTGGTGGTGATTTTGACCACCGAATCTTGGTGGTGTAAGGACGTGAGTGACGACGGTTACGCGGTGGGGAGACCGCCCACAGAGTGGGAGGGGGGCCGTGGCAAACAGAACAAACCGCCCAATTCTGAGCTTGAAACTGTGGGCCGAGCGCGGGAAATCAAACTATTGAATGGCCCACTAGCACAAGCGGGTGGTCATTTCCCCCTGCATGCCGTAAAATAAAATAGAATAAAATAATAAGTCCAGATGGTGCAAATATTTCTGCAGCAACATTAGAGACTACACCGTGGCGGAAAATTGCGTTGTGGAGATACGCATGTACTCACCCTGATACTGATTCTGATCAATTGCCAAAATTTCCGAAAAATGTCCCTTGCTTGCCGGTGTTCTTTGCCGCGGATTTGAAGGTGGAACACTTATCACGCGCATGTCAGTTGGATTGACAATCATTCCATACAGAACCATCGAGAACTTGCGACTATTTGGGTTGCTTCTTGTGCGAATAACTCCATGAATCATAGCCAGCAGTGGTTGTAATGCACGTGGCTCATCTTCCAGCCTAACATTGCTGTAACCAGCCTGATGAGATGCAATCACAATAAACGGCAATATGCATTGGGAACGACCTATTCAACCCTCTAGAACTGGGATGAAATTATGGGTGAGCTAGCTATTACGTTCGGTCAAGGAAGGAACAAGGTGGAGATATGCAGGTACAACGTGATGTGTCAATGACTTTCTAAGTAGTCGATAAGTCACGATATCCCATCCATACCAGAACAACTAGCTTACCGAGCCAATTTTGGGGTCGTGACGGCCACCGCAGGAGAACACCGCCAATCTCATCCTGCTATTTGTCTCTGCCTTGCTCATGCAGGTACCAACATGTCTCCCCACGTCCTAGCGATAAAAATGCCAGCTGCGAACACACTCATTCCTGTCACGATGCTGACGTTTCCGGGTAATTTTTCTGGAGCAGTGATTTGCTCTCGGATGAAGCGGGAGAAGGCAGACTCGTTTGGATCAACGAGTTGACGGCGTGGAGGTGCTGTGAAGAATGCAGGTGGTGCGTTTGCTGGTGCTGCCCGACGAGCCATGTCTGTGTTTCTTTGTGGGTGTTGGTGCTTTGAGAGCAAAAAAATGTTGAGCACACAGGCGTTCCCAGCGGCAAGAAAGTCGCGGAGTTGAGTTACCAGTCGCTTAGTCAGCATGCTGGAATAGGCTCGTCAATCCGTGACTTTACTTGTTCTTTAGGTAAAATATGAGTCGACTCCGAGGCCCGAGGCCTGGCCTAGTAGGTCAACGGTCTTCTCCCGCGTCTTGTTGATCCCGACACTAACGTATAGGCTATTTGTTTTCTACCAAACATCATCCTCGGCATGGAAGTCGGTTGCGCCCCACTCGGAACGCCCCTATGACATTCCGATCATGGAGAGATTTGAAGTGCGCTCGCTGCGCATTGCATCATGAATCTTACAAATGGTGAGTTATATATTATTTCAAGGACACCCCAAAGTCACTTTTCATCCTAACATTCATCTCATCATGCTGTTTATATCGCTTGGTCTTCTCACTCTTCTCCCTGCTGTCTTCGGGCAGTCTTGGCAGCAATACCTTGATGGCCTTGTTCAAGCCTTAAACACCTCTGGGCTTACAACGCTGTCTTCTGCGAGCGCTGCATTGAACATTTCGTCTGAGGGGCAGCGAGTGGCGCAGTCACTCCCTACAGGTAATTGGACCCTATTTGCACCGAACAACCAGGCATGTGAGTACTCCAATGCCCGACCGAAGGATAGCCTTTTATCCGTGATTTCACAGTTAGTTCCGCTCCTCCTAATCTCACAAGTGATCCAACTTCTGTTGGGAATCTCATTTCATACCATGTCGTGCACGGCAATTTCACCGATCAAACATCGCCATATCCAACTATTACCCTTGGGCGAACGCTGCTTAACGACACATCACTTGTCCAACTGGAAGGCAATGAATCGCAGGTTTTAGCGTGGTCGAAGGGAAGTAAAGGTATATTTGTGCTCAACAATGGGTGAGACTTCCCTTGTTTAGTAATTAACTGCCTTTAACTAGAATTCAGCACAATTGTCTCGGTCGTGAATACGACGGTCTATCGAAACCTCCAAGTCCTTGTCATCGATTCTGTCCTTAAATTTCCTCAGAGCTTGTCTGACACCCTCACCAATAATACTTACGAAGTCACCACCTTTGCTGGTGCGCTTTCGTCAGTCAATGTCTCTACCGATAATTCGACTACACTACTTGATGTGTTCGACAATGCTCGCGGCATCACGCTTTTTGCGCCAAATAATACTGCTTTTGCGACAGCGAACGGTATTGCCAGTTTGCTGCCAAATACTACTGCACTGATTGCGCTTTTCGAAAATCATGTCTGTCTTCTCATGCAGTTCATTTTACTTAGTTTGACTCCCAATCCAGGTTATCAATGGCACATCTGTTTACTCGCCAGCATTTACGAACGGACAGAACTACACTTCGGCCTCTGGGGAACCCTTCACCTTCATAACTAACTCATCTGGAGTGTTCGTCTCCAGCGCCGGCTCCAATTGGGCGCGCATTATGCGATCAGACGTTTTGACATCCAATGGAGTTGTACATGTCCTTGATAGCGTTCTTCTAGACGTGAAAGTGAACGCTTCCGCTGCGAGCTCTGCGTGCGTAGCGTGTGCCAGTTTATTGCTCAATATTGACGTATTCCTTTCCGTCATGTAGCTACCAATCAGCTACATCAGTTGCCGCGTCGATGACCATCGAGACCGGTCCTGTGGGCGTTGCGCCTACTAGCACTAGCTCTGTTTCCGGCCGTTGAAAGAATCATTTGATTCAGCAGCTCTGGACTTGGAATGTTGTCGATACTAATCCTTATTTTCAGTGGCATAGTTTGCTCGCCAATCCTGAACTAGTTTCGTTTATCTACTTGACGATCTGTGCTTTTTCATCACATAATTTGTATTCAGCTTTCTATATCATCTATCAGTGATCTTATCAATTACTGCCAATCATCAAATATGGGTCGTTTTCGTTATCAGATAACTAATGTTTGAAATAGCGCCTATGGCGATGCTCTGAGTTTTGACACCCGACTAGGCCCTTGGCAAGTTGAAGGCTTGAGAAACGAAGTGGAGCTTAAGTGCTCCCACAGCAATCCCACAGTCTACCATAGTGGTTTTTTTTGGGTATCTCTCCAGTGTCTGCACTGATTCTTTGAGCTGCTTAAGGCTGGACACATACCCTCCACATCGAACGCGTCATCAATCTGCACCGTATCTACCATGAAACACTTATCACTATCACTGAAAGAGGCCTTGCTTCCCCAGCCTCCAAGTTTCATGAAAAAACAATCATATGAGATTCACGAAATTCTTGGATCAGGGACATTTGGGAAAGTCATGGTGAGTTTCAGAGTTGTCAGCCCCGTGCGGTATAGCTCTGAGGCATATCTGCTCCAACTCCTGTGCGGTTATCATATCAATGCTCTAATCATAAAAATTATTCACTTTAGAGAGCGACATGGCAAGTTCCCCCTGACTTAGCCGATGTTTCGCGGCAAGGGGCGTTCCCAACATCGCCAACATCTCCAACTGATCACACCTCTGGGCGATCATCCATCCCTCTTCTCCATCCCCATCATATGAAGAGGTCCATCTCTCGAACATCTAACTCTTCCGCCCCTCCGTCACCCGGAGGACATAACCACGTCTCAATAGTGAAAGAAGTTGCATTGAAGGTCATTCCGAAGAAGAAAGTAAAGGGAAATGAAGCTGCCGTCTGGGGCGAGATGGATGTCCTCAAGGGTCTTGACCACCCCAATATTGTTCGTATTTTGCGAACGGCCTTTGGATCCCGTGCGTGCCTGACATCACTATCAATGCAGGTCAAGTTTTATGAATGGTTCGAGTCCCGATCAAAGTACTATCTTGCTTTTGAGCTAGCTGTCGGTGGCGAGCTCTTTGACCGTATATTGAAAAGAGGAAAGTTTACTGAGAAAGATGGCGTTGCAGTCATTCGGTATGTTTCCCAAATATTGCATAGTGCTATTTGCAGATTAATAAATTGTCTCAGGTCTATCTTGTCAGGAGTGAAGTACCTACACGATCACGATATCGTGCATAGGGACTTGAAGTACGTTCTTCTGGAATGAGGAAGTTGATCCAAATCAATCATTGATCTAATACGTGTACAGGCCCGAGAATATTTTGTACCGAACAACGGATCCGGATAGCGACATTGTTATAGCTGATTTCGGAATGTGAGGCCACCCTTTCTGAATTTACGTCTCAATGACGCATTTGTCCGAAGTGCAAAACATCTGCACACACCAGAAGAGCAGCTGCATTCGCTAGCTGGAAGCTTTGGCTACGTCGCCCCCGAGGTTCTCAACAAGCAAGGGCACGGGAAAGCAGTGGATATCTGGTCAACGGGGTAAGCGCTTATTTGTTGCATCAACCCCCGTTCCTGACAAAAAATGATGGTGCTAACACGTCCTTGCAGTATCATCGCTTATGTTCTGCTCTGCGGTTACTCGCCGTTCAAAGGAGATGATACAAACGAGATGATTCGGGAGACCACAGAGGCCAAGGTCGAATTTCATGAGCGATACTGGTCTAAGGTGTCTGATGAGGGTGAGTTGAATGTTGATTGCGTTGGTCATGTGTGTGCTAATATATCAACCCATATAGCGAAGGCATTTATCAAACTTTTATTGAACCCCGATCCATCGCAACGTCCTACTGCGCAACAAGCTCTGAACAATCATGTAAGTCACGAGTCCATGCATCTGCATAAACCTACGCTGACTGTCTTGATAGTGGTTGACGACGCACAAGGCCTCTACTGAACACGACGTCATCTCAGGTCTCAGAGAAAATTTCGACGCTCGCAAGAGGTGGCGCACCGCCATCATGTCAGCGCGCGTCATCAACCGGTTCGGCAGACGGCCCAGTACGGCTTCTACGGCTTCAAGCACAGGTAGCGGCGGCTGGGGAGAAGACCACGTCCACCCTGACGGAGGCGAGGAAGACGGTGAGGAGGATACTGCCGACGGCGAGTTCCACGACCTGCCCGACCAAATCAAGGCCTCGCTCTCATTAGGCGGGACCGACCCAGGATCGAACGAGTATGTGAAAGTCATAGGGCCAGAGCCAGATGACAAAGGTGACCAGCTGGGTAAGGGGGATGTTTCCAGTGCCCCTGATCTTTCTTTGACCGGTACCAGTGAGTCCAGTATGAAAAGCAAGACAACCTTTTCATCGCTTGCCGCCTCTCTTTCGAAAGAGAAAGCAGTTCACGTGGTGGAGCGAGTGGATACCTCGGAGTCATATGTTGCAGCTGATGACGAGTCAGAGCTGAAGATCCCTGGATACCTGCATGGAGGGAAGGTTCCGTGGCAGAGTAGTTCCCCCGTTTCTGGTCATCACACGTGGTACGATGCGCCGAAGAAGTTTTTTGGATTGTGAAGGTTACTCCGTTGATCTGGAAGTCAGCCGTAAGTTATATGTGATGTAACATTATGCACAACTTAGCCTAGCTCTTTTTGCTACATGGTTCTGGACTAATCCGTTGTATCGATCTATCTTTTTACCCATTAAATGAAATGACAGTGGTCAACATAGGTTTGATGTGGCGTAGAAGTTTTTTGGATCGTGAAGGGTCTTCCGTTGATCTCAAAGTCAGATCAGTCATATGTACGTGATGGAATGCTATTCACAACCTAACCTAAATCTTTCATTTACTACGTTCTAGGTTAAGACGTTGGATCTTTCACCCCAGAAAATTTAAAAAGACAGTCCCGCGGATTTACGGTTTACTAGGAGCGGCGTCACTGACCGGTCACGGAAATCAAAGGCCATTGCCCTAACATTTGTCGATCGGGGTTATGTTTGTAGTTCAAATAGTAGGGGGGTGTCCGAGACGACACAAGAGCCGAAGAAACAAAACTACCAAAAACCGTCCCAGTCAAAGTCAGAGTCGCTGTCGCTTGAGTAGTCATCCATGTCCTCATTATACCGAGCAACTTCCTTTGCTAGTAAGGGCGGTGAGGGTGCTCGGGCTAGCGATGATGGTAAAGCTACAACGACATTAGCATTTAGAGATAAGAAAACATAATCAATTCGTGCCCACCGCTGTCAGAATGTCCAAAAGCACATGCATTTTCAATGGCCAGCGCATAAACGTCTACCTCAGCTCGGGCGCGACACATCTTTGCTCGCAAGAGAGGCAGCTCCAACTGAAAATTGCGGTGATGAATATGGTAACGTTCCTCATCAAGATACGCTGTCGTCAACCCCGCCTGACTGATTCGTTCCGCCTTGCCTGCCTGATCAAAAGCCTCTTGGACATCAGGAGTCACCCATGTGCTCGATAGGCGGAATGAGGGACCAATGGACTTCAAAAATAAGTTGAGAGCAGCCAAGCAGGCTAATGGCGGTACTAACGTTCACGATGACGGAAGTTCGTTTTTCTTGGTGCGCAAGCGCAGACCGCCCGACTATCAAAGGAGAAGAGCCATCCGGTGGTGGATCATTTTCGGCCAATGAAGGTTCGTTAACTGCTATGAGGCTGGGGTCTTGTCCCGTCAACCAAGTTCTACACTTCTCTTGAACGGTTACCGGACAGGCCGCAGGTGGTGCCATAACCTGTGTCGAAGTTGCTGAGCGAGACATAACGTCGTGATCAACTGGAACTGCAATGGGAGGCATTGCTAAGTAACAGGGTGTCAGATCGCTCATTCGCATGCCAAAGTTAAAGAATCCCACGCATAGATCGGCGCTGTTCTATGTGTTCGATAGCCTTGCTGCATAGAGACACTTCCATCTGACATCGATCCCTCCTCTCTTCCATAAAGGTTCGCTCTACGATCCCGCGCCTTCTGCAATCCCAAAGTCCACTAGTATTTCGCAAGAGTTCCTCGTTCTGCGCTTCCACGATACGCCTACCCACTATTTGCCAAAGATCACCAGGATAGATTCGACCCATGAGCAAGAAGTAAAGAAGATACAATTCAGTCCGGAGCTGGATGAAAAAGTTTCAGGGTGCGGAAACTGACGCTTCAGGAACTATGTACTGACCATCTCCGTTGGTATGAGTCTTATGTAGAGATCCAACCATTCAGGGCCCAGTATGTTCGAGAGTTCAAACATGCCACTATGAGCAGCTGAGGAGTTGAACGGCGGAAGACTGGAGGGGGTTGACATTTCGTATGAATGACGGTTGGAGGAGTATTGTGAATTTGCCGATCCGATTTATACTGCTTTGTGCCGGTGATGAAATGCCTGCTAGTGGGGGGTGAGACTGTGCCATTGGACGAGATTTGCGCTATCGGATGCCATCGGTTGATCTTGGCGATCAAATCGATAGCCATCATATAGCGGGTCGAAATTCGATAGCCATCAGCAATAGCGATCAAATGCTAGGCCTTCTCTCGTAAACGGTAGCGGTCGAAATTCGATAGCGGTCAGCAATAGCGATCAAATGCTGGGCCTTCTCTCGTAAACGGTAGCGGTCGAAATTCGATAGCGGTCAGCAATAGCGATCAAATGCTAGGCCTTCTCTCGTAAACGGTAGCGGTCGAAAGGCGATAGCGGTCAGCAATAGCGATCAAATGCTAGGCCTTCTCTCGTAAACGGTAGCGGTCGAAATTCGATAGCGGTCAGCAATAGCGATCAAATGCTAGGCCTTCTCTCGTAAACGGTACCTATTGAAGAGTTTAGTCGCATGCAGACGGCACTGTGCTGAAACACGCACGTTTTCCCAAGTCGAGAAAACCTTTCAGGAAGAATATGACAATACGTTCTTGACTTCAAAGACAGAGCCGACAATCAAAATCTGCGGAGAAAGTCAAATTATGATGAGAAAAAACGAGAACTGAAATACACCACAAACTTAGGTCTAGATGTTTTCGTATGGGCACGACGCCCGTTCCCATATTTCATACTCCGCTTCTTCGTTTTAGAATGGTTGGGAACGAGGCAAGAACAAGACTATTGGTTAACACGCAAGTCAGCGGCTCGACATTTTGCATTGACCGCACGCTCGCAACGATTGTCGCCCGAATCAGCTATCCATCATGAGCATCGTTATCATGAAAAATCAAGACTACCGCACCAACTTCCTGTGTAAGTTGGGGTCGTGTTCGTAGAATTGGCAAAGATGAGGAAGGTCTGAGAGAATAGAAGAGACAACGAAACAAACAAACTACAGGAAAGACCAGTGAATGCTAGTAGTCGCTCAGCGTTCCAGAAAGCATGTCTCCTCATTGTTAGCAATTCTAGAGACAGATGAGTCAATTTTCGATGGGCTTCGTTCAAGACATCCGAGTCACGTACAAACATTCTGCGGCTAAAATGCGCAAATGCTGAGTAAGGGACGTATGAGCAAAGCGACGCTTGGTCGGCCGTGTAGCTGACCTTAGACGCTTTCCATACCTACCACGTTACACGGCCATTATGAACATATGCGTGTGCGTCGCGCGAGGGGATGGGTGCCTTGAAACCATTGGGACCATAAATTGAATAGTTCATATACCTCGGCGACCCTGTTTTTTTATGGATTTCGATCGCGTCTGATCGCGTATCCATCCAAATAAGTACTCCTGATGGACTTGCGTAAGGACTTCGAGCGAAAACGGAGATATGTGCAGCCATCGGTACACAGAGATGAATAGAAACGTACCTATACTTCTCGAGTCTGAACCTAGCAGTTAACCAGACGTCCCTTAGTGCCGTCCCCTTGTCAATGACAGACGATGTTTTTAAAGTTTTGGTGTAGGCAAGGCGCACCAAAAATTGATCTGCAGTGTGGAAGGAAAAAAAAAGATGTCTAGAGCTGTGAATGCAGTAGATCTTCGTGATTGTTCAATGTTGAAAAGGATCAACGGAATGCTCAGAGCTGTGACACTGATTCGAACTTATGGGGCCATGATGTTCGCCGCACCTCACTGGTCAAATTGGCAGCTGCAGTCATCTTGTTGGACATGTAAAGATTATGTTGAGAAAAGACTAGCTAGTCGGAGTCGATGGGGCTCAGGTAAATTGCCGCATCACTGCCGCGACTTGCCGCACCCTACCGCACCACTGTCGCACCCATACCAAATCATAAGTACTACACTTATTTTCGGCCTGCACTGTCCTCGTGCACCAAATAAATGAACTAGGAGTGTTTCTCGTCCGACTCCTTAATTATCCACTTCACACTAATGCATTTGAGAGTCTGAATTCAGAGAACAATTTTGAGCATGTTGCGGCACGGATGCGGTACTGGGTGCGGCAGACATGTCCCTGGTGCAGCTAAACGAATTATCAATCGGCTGAACTGTGCTACATATGCACATGCTTGCACTATCGTAGTTTCGAAGCGCAAGAAAAACTTACTCCAGGAGCCAGCCCAAAATATCCTCATTGAACGTCGCTCGTCAGGACCTGACGTGAACTCAGTTCCTACTCCCGAAGAGCAAGAAAACACGATGCTCCAGGCTGCCTGGCTTGACCTCCAACTCAGCTATGATCTGACCTCGATGGATATAGACATCGACTTGGAGTGTCTTGGCATACTGGAACAGCAGATGTTCGAGCTCTCGTTGGCTGCAGGAGCTGCAGGAAATGAACAATGGGAAAAAGACGCTGGTGCACACCAAGACCGATGGAATCCCTATGAGGGCCTCCCTGAGCACTGGAATCATGGCGACCGAGATTCATACGCACCAGAATTTGAAGGAGAAGTAGACGTGCGTCATCATCGCTTTTCATCGCAGATCAGTCTGACATGGTTCGACTAATAGTGTGGACCGAACTTTAGCGAGGGAAGTGAGCCTGACATAGTTAAGAAAGAGAAACGCACCAAAAAAACCAAACCGCGGCCACGACCAAGGAAGATACACAAGGCTTCATAGGCTGGGGCCTCGTAGTAGTAGTTTGTACTCTGAAATGAACGAGACTCAGTTTGCAAGGACAAAAGGCCACACAGATATGACATACATACCTTAAAGCCCCGGTATCCGTTTGCACAGGTTGCTGCAGAACGTGGTCGAGGAGATGTGTGACAGGGAAGTCAGGCAAGGCATGCAACCAGCAAAGACAGGTGTTGAATGATAGGCGGAGGCATCGAGGCGCCAAACCTGACAGGCGCGAGCCTGTGTGAGGGGTCGTTGAGTTGTCTCACCAAGTTTCGCGCAGCTGCTGGTAACGGTGCTGCAAGTGGAGTTGATAAGATGCGTGGTTTGGTGTCGGTGCAGTGGTGCGGTAGTGCACAGCCACTGCCGCACCCAACTACAGAATTGCCGCACCCGATTACAGAATTGCCGCACCCTACCGCATCACTGCCGCACCCATCAAGTACATATATCACTGTAGTACCACTGTTAGCCTTACACAAACACCTGGAATATAGTATTACTTATTCTTAAATCATATTTCAGACAGTTGCGTACGACGTAGACGCATTTTAGAGGCATATAAGACATTGTTGAGTAGGTTGCAGCAGGGTGCGGCACAGATGCGGCAATTTCCTAAGGCCCGAGTCGATGTCGGAGTCGCGGTCGTCCAAAGTTCACAGATTTTCCCGCGACTGCTTTGATCAACGACAATATCCTCAGGGAGGACCATCATGATGGTCCGCAGTTACGAATGGCACTAAATGAATGTGGAAAGCCAATGGCACCCGATTTCTCCATCCCAGGAGTGAATACAAGATTTGAAGGAAAACTGCGACATCGATGAATCCGTTGCGCAGCTTCAAGTTAGGCTATTCAACTCGATGTACTAGCAATGATATAAAAACTTGAAGGTCTTTGCTGACGTGCTCCAACTACAGCAACTGCCAGGTGAGACTAGACATAGAGTCGGCTCTACTCCAATGACCCATTGAACAGACTCCAAAAGGAACGCTCATCATCGGCGGGCGGACTCATTACACGTGGTCACTCCGCAACTGTCTTCACTGTGGGACATTCACCTAAGTCCATGACGATCTGGTATATGTCCAATGTCCATGAACCATTACACACCCTATATTCTCATAGCATCTTTTTCGGAATTCCGGTGCATTACTGAGAACATCAGCCATTCTCGACTACGCACCAAGGGCAGACATGTTCTCTACATCATTATATGTCGCGCCACGGAGAGCTCCGCGACAAAGACTGTTTCATCATGTGGTGTTAATACATCTTATGTATGTGGTTTGCCATATTTACGTGACTCCCCGTTGAAATTGATCGCGTTGCAGGCCACTGTGATCTCTGGGAGCGAGGGGTTCATCACACATCAGTGTCGTGAACGACAGTGACCTACCCCCGTTGACTGCGGGCGGTTCTGGCAGCAACGAGGGAACGGGCACGATGCCACTTATGAGACTTGCACGTCCAATTTGGCCTGCTTTACGGGGCCACGTCAAGCGTATGCATCACCATGATTTTGAGTATGGGTTTGCCTAATTCACAGTAATGGCATTCTCCGGTCGTCAAAGTCTCGCTCCTTTGATGATGGGCCGATGTGGATGGCATCCGATGTGAAAAGATGAATAATATTTTCTTCCGATTTTCTGGGGTTTGAAGAACTATCGGGCACCCATCAGGGTCATTTGACTGCCGGCACGTGTATGCTTCCGCTTGCTTGTGGAGAAACATTGGCGTTACACTTTTGCCGCTAATGACTTACGAAGTTGACCGACTAACAAATTGGGGAAATTGAGTTTGATGATGGGCCACAAGAAGCTATACCATACACCGCGTATCTGAGGGTAATACGCCGTCCGCGGCAGGCCTCGCCCGTGCTCGTGCTGATGCATTGAACAGTGTGCGAACGTCACTTTTCTTTCCAAGGGAAATCAAATCCGAGGTATCGATCAGGTTCAGATCAATGCGAATTCTATCCTATGGAGAGACCTATAAATATGTGCCTCTCAAGCAAAGGGAACGCTGCTAGCCCACTTAGCAGGCCGAACGAATACAGTCGTTCCTTCAACTTAGCCCCGGCGAGTCAGGATGGGTGACTGTGCGGATCTCATGGGACGCCAAACTGTCGCAGTACGTACCCGCATCATCTGTCAGTCTTTATTTGCTCACTCAAATTCAGTATGTTCAAGGTGGTCTATACTCGGGTTCTTATTTTGTCCTACATAGCTGACTTTTCAATTCACTGGATAGTCGCATCCATAGCAGTTTTGGTAAGGAGGAACGAATATAATCCACTCATTACCAATTTTCATTTCCAGCTTTTTGATATTTGCATCACTTTCGACTCGGAGGTTGGTATGTTTCAATGACGGTATACAAAATTGACGTGGCGCCAGATTCGCTGGACATGGGGGAGAAAGTGGGGGATCGTGAGGATAGCCTTTGTTATCTCTCGCTATATACCAATTGCAAGCGCTGCTATGTGTATAAATTGTGAGCACTCACGTGTGTTTCTCTACTTTCGCTCTTCACTAACGAGTCCCTCGGATAGACGCCCTCGAGTCAACTCGCGGAGGAATTGTAAGCTTGAATACTTGTGACAGAGTTCAAGTATCTCTGACGATATTTCCAGCCCGATCCTGCGCAGTACCTTGCTGTCAATGCCAGTTGCGTGTACAATAACCTCACCTAACCTGTTATGAATGCTCATTCTTATGTATGCTAGGTATACTCATCTTGGGTACTGCTGCTGCTGAGGGTCAGTGTCAACTTCAAGTTGCTTTCCTCTACGTAACGTTTTTCAAGTCCTACTCGTGGCAAGGACCCACGCGTTTTGTGGAGGTGAAAATAGGATCTTGGTCGCGGTATTATTGTTCAGCACGGTGACCTTAGTCCTTCATCTTGGTCATTTTCTCGTTGCTCAAATATCACACGTCATTTTAGGTCATAATAGCAGCTACGCTAACGATTGCAAATGTCGTTGCGAGTAAATCCGGACGTCTGTATCTACCCAGGCCCTCCACATTTCTATCTTCTTACCCCATACTTCAGATCCTGCGTGTGGTATATTTAAGGGACAACGAAACGCAGGCATCATTTATGGTTTGCAGATGATATTTGAGCTTGGTACGTAGCATTTCAATGATACTGCACAGCGACCACTACCCCCCGTCAGTATTAATGTCCCTGACACTATACAAACGCTTCAAATTTTACCGACTGGAGAAGAGTCCATTGGTTGTTACTATCTATCGGGATGGCGTGATTTACATGATGTGCATTGTTCGTGAGTCTTAAACGTTCTTTTCAGGAACATTCGAGTCTTTACTTTTGCAGTCGTCTCGGTGGTGAATTGCGTCAGTTTTTTTGTGCTTCCTGTGAGTAGCTTGCCTCGGATCGTAAAATAAGCTTCTGATCAGGATGCTCAGTTATCATATTCTCGTCTTTTCTATGGGTAAATGCTGTCATGTTTAACTTGATGTTCAATGCTGAGTCAGAGAAGCCTGCAGGCAGTTTTGCACAGTGTTCTTGCCTCACGCATCCTGTTCAATCTACGAGCAACGAATGAATCGCAGGATTTCACTATACACGGGCCGGTTGCCTCGGGGGTGGTTTTTGCTCAACCAATCCAAACACCATCCTGTGTGGATCGTTTGGAGTTGCCGGACATTACACACTTGTGACTTCCGAAACATATAAGCACACATTTCCGGCCGCTCGCTGTCAATTACATCCCCCCCTGTCACGATATGTTGCGCATTTGCAATTCATTCATATCTAGACTTCCCCGCATCCAAGTATCAGCTGCACCACAGTAATGGAGGACGACATTTTATTGATGGCATGCACACGCTCTCCTGGGGTTTAAGTTACTGTGCATGCGCCGACCGGAGGTCAGTACACACTCTGCATTCATTAACTGCTCAACTGTTTAAATATAGTACATACAACTCTATCGTAACAGACTAGGTAAAGAATCGATAGGATATAAATCATGTAATGTCAACAGTATTTCGCTGGTCATAATTTGGTGTTGCAGGCCAGTCCGCATGCTCGCTAACTGGACTGCTAGATATGGGACTTTGGGTAGTTGGAGTACCGGTAACGGACAATATCGTGCTCAAGCGAGGCCGAGTGGGGTAGATCGATGAATTATCTGCGAAAGTAATGGATCGCGTATGGGAGATATTAGAACTTGCCGAGCCAGATCGCGCACGGCTGCTCGACTCAACGCGCGCTGCGGAGGAGGCAGAATGTGATCGCAATCGGCTGAGAACGACAACTCCTCCGGGTGTGGATGTGGTGTTATGGCGCGTAGACATAGTAATACTTTCCATTTCAAATTGCGAATGACTAGGTCCATGAACCGCTTGCTTCTTGAGGTTCAGGGTAATCCTTGACATCATTGTGACCTGTCGACCGGAAGTGGTCAGTCTGTACTGGATATGCACTTCAAATTATGCTCACAGTGAGGCTGTGATGGAGTAATATCAGTCAATTGCTGTCATCAGTGGTAGACTATAAAGACTCACAGAAGTTCAAGCCTGTGCATAGTGCGTGTATTATGTGGTAAGCAATAAGATCTGAGCAAATACTGTAATGAAGATGGTGCGTACTGTGCGGCAATATTTTTCACCCCCTCGTGAGATTTAATGATCATGATTGTCAATACCAGATTTATGGTGCAAATAACGCTGTATGCTTGGTGAGCTCTGCTACCCGGAGAGCCTGACTTGCGCACCTGTAGTACAGTAGTCCGTCTGCGAAGAGAGTACGAACAACATGCCCCGCTTGTTTTTTGCGGATCGTAGGAAGCGTGCGGTTCAACGTCAACCCAAACACATACGTGTCGTAGAGGAGAGGCAACCAAGCTGAAGCCGAAGCAATACTGCCACTGGAAGAAGTTTCAGAGCTTACATCTCCATATCAGTCATGTGCAAGGACATACGAATTGAACACCATAGTGCAAGCTGTGAAGATATGAATAACGTTGTCGTGTATGAAAAAAATGAGTATCTCACATTTAATCTTGTCTGTGTGGATAACGGCTAGGAACTTTATCATAAACTCGTACGTTGCGTGGAGAAGGTGAAAACATACGTCCACCATGTGCCAATAGCCATGCAGTCACTGCAACCCAAGCCATCCATAAGAATACCGCCAGGCCAATGGCAGCCCATTGACGTTTATACATGGCAATGACGCTGTTTTCTCCATCATCAGTGGATGCTTGCTGAGAGGGCGAACAAAACTTACCGCACTAGCATCATTAACCCAACTATCTCAATACCTATAGCTGTGGTGGCCCCTTCGTATCGGACAAAATGCTGGCAACTGAGGCAATATCAGCTGAGTCCAGTAGCGCAGTAGCGCAATGCTGACCTCTGCAATAAAGTTCGTATGATTCATCATTGGAAGGGAGCGGGTGCAACTCACTGTGTAGCCCCACGAAGGTAGGGTGTATGCTGGTAGAGGTCATGGGTGGAACTCTAAGTCAAAAGTGAGGTACTCACCAACGAGATTAACGATAAAGACGAGAGGAGTAAGATATCGGTTCTGGGACAAAGACCAGACAGGTGAGTTTTTACTGCCAGATACTGCCAAAACATATGCATACCAGTAGGAACAAGTATACAACTAAGCAGGTTCAGGTAAAAGTGCATACCCATATGAGAGATGCCACTCACGGAACCCCTTGCGGCCTCGCCAGATTAATTCAACCTGAGGATGGTGATGAATATAAATTTCGCTGAATTCTGGTACAATTGATGTCACACCTCATCTGCGCTGGTGACAAGGTGGTCCCAAACCAATATTGTGAAACCTACGATCCCAATATACTGAATTATAGGATGAATATGATAGCCATTGCAACAGCAAACTATGGGGGAAAACGTACAATCGTTTGGCGTCTGAAAAGACGGGTATCAACTATGCAAAGACGTATAACGGGCAAGCAGAACTCACGTTTCTGTGATGTCCTGACCTATCGCCTGTATTGTATCCTTCACTAGAACAGCTGGTGAGTGTGCCATTTATCTATGATAACAGCGTCTAAAACGGGGTTAGTAAGGTGTTTTAGGATTATTAACCCCGAAAGGTTGGAAAGGTGGAGGATGGAGAAAACGTCATGCACCTTGAATGAACGCATTTATACGCAGCGCCACTGCTGTGCATGGCATGGGCGTTCAAATTCAAATAATATACATATGTGCACCTTTGTCACGGCCATTGGTAAGTAGGCGGCTAGCAACGTTGCTCCGAGTCCACGTACGGTTGACGTAAGCGACATCGACGACTGGCAGATGGCATCAGGCCACATGCCCATTGCCAAGTACCGCACAGATCAAGTTTCATATTGTCACCGCTCATAATGCACTGACCATGCATCTGCTGTTGAGCGGGCAAACTTGTGAAACAAGTCTCACAATGGTCGCAAACCAACGCGCATTTCCACTTTCCAAGTCTACGCACGCATCGCTGCGAGGAGGGCGCTTTTCCAAGGTAAAAGCATAGTAATACTGAGCGTTTAATTTGACTGACGGTGCCTGGTAATTTTTGCTCAACCAATCCTAACACAGTACCATCCTGTGTAAACTAGAACGTTCAGGACTGCCATGGGATATTACAGACAGCCGAGCCTATGGTTGAATGTTGATCCCGAGACTCGACCCTAAACCCAACGTACCGACCATGCACTCGAAGCCATCACGTTCTTCCCGACCAAAAGCCAATCTTTCTGGGCAGGCCAATCACCAGAGTACCAGGCGTCCCGATATTGTCCGTTTGGTGTGTGATCTCGGTACTAATGTAGGCAGTGTGGGGTTGGTGTGGGGCCATCATCATTACGCCAAGATCTAGTCAGCTGCCAGACGGTCCCTCCCAACGAGCGACGCCCCCAAAGGCACGCCAATTGAATTCACCTTACTTTGGTTTACGAATTTCACCGGATCCCCCAGCGCTCGCGTCTGGCGTTTGCGCGAAACTTGGTGAGACCAATCTGATATATTTCAACATTTCTATGCAGGATCTGTGGGATATGCTCGAGGAGCTGTTCCCACATTCAGGCGTTCACAGCAGCCGCGTGGCCGCACATCTCCCAATCCAGCAAGAACAGGATGAACTTGTGATGGACAAACCTATATAAATCGATCGTCACGCCCCTCCCAGTGCGACACGAGACTGTTTACGAGAAAATATACGTAACGCAGGAGGCGCTTGAAAATCCGCTGGACTTGGGGAGGATGCGAATCGACGTCCTGAACTTGAAAAGTGCAGACTGTCACGGACTTCGACAGTTACAGCACGAAACAAAGAAGGGTTAGAGGGATATCAAATGGGACCTGATATCCCTCCTCACCCATTTTTGTTTTGTCATCCGAATGTTATGTACTTAGTACTGCGACGTCCTTGAGCACAGGCCCTTGAACAACGAACAATTCTCGCACATCCAAATATTAACATGAAGGAAAGCAGCCAAAGGACTTTTTGCTGAGTCAGCGAATACTTGGTCCTACTTCTATATGACTCTCCAACCAAAGAACCTGCTCATCATCGGCGGAGGACCATGCGGGCTCATAACACTGCGCAATTGTCTCCATCGCGGGTCATTCACCAAAGTCCAGCTCGTCGAAAGACAAAATGACATCGGCGGGGTCTGGTACGTCTATCAAGCAATCCAGTTCACATGAAGCCTAGAGTACACAACCATCCTTGAAGGTATCAAAACCACGACCTTGACAATCGCCCTCGCTGGTCCACGCCCGCATACCCAGGGCTCATAGGCAACGTCATACCCGAGTTTCTCTCCTTCTCAGAACACCCTTTTCCGGAGCCTCCCAGAGAACACCAGCCGTTCCCTACGTTAACAGAGACGAACACCTACCTCAAGGAGTTCGCCCGCCCGTTTCTCAAAAGCGGGCATATTCGTTTGAGCTTCGAGGTTACTGGAGTTGAAGAGTTGGAGAGCGGTGGATGGACTGTCCGCATGAAAGATTGGAATGAAGGCGGTGTGGTATTGGAAGAAACTTGGGATGCGGTGGTTATCACTACCGTCTGGTTTGATAACCCGTATTTTCCAGACGTACCGGGTCTTCAAGAGTTGCATCAGCAAAGACCCAGACAAGTCCAGCACGCCATAAATTGGACGGGTCCACACCATAGTTACGAGGAAAAAGTAATTCCCTTGCTCCTCCTTACATCCATGAAATACTAATAATCCATCAGCGCGTCCTTGTCATCGGAAATGCAAATTCTGCAAATGAAATGGCCGCTCAGCTTGCGCCCGTAGCTCAAACGCCAATATACAGATCCACCCGTCGAATCTCCGTATTCCCCTCCTTACCAGACCCCCGCATCCAAGATATCGGCCCTATAAATCGCTTCACCACCAGCGAAAACAACAAAATTACTGCGCACGTCCAAGACGAAACCACCATCGAAAGCATCGACGCCGTCCTATTCGGAACAGGCTACTATCCGCATGTACCATACCTCCGCGTCCTCCTCCCAGACACGAATCCAGACACACACACCCTCGCCCGCACTCTTGTACCATTAACATCCCGCACGATAACACCCATTCGAATCCCCTCCCTCCACAATCAGATCCTCTACGCCCACAACCCCACCCTCGCATTCATAGGCGCACCCACCTCCTTCATCCCCTTCACCCTCTCAGACCTCACCAGCACCTGGCTCTCCCTCGCATGGTCCGGGCTCATCCCAATACCTCCCACACCCAACGCCAGACTCGCATACGAGCAAGACCGTCTCCGCACCCTAGCCGAACAACGCTCAGAATCCGACAACCCTTCCAACTTGGTCAATTTTCATTTCTTGGGACGCTATGAGATGGAGTATGCGAGGGGTATCCGGGATGATGTCGTGAGGGCAAGTGAGGTATTGGACGGAGTGCTTGCGAGGTGGGATGATGAGCAGGATGGGAGGCGGTTTGCGATGTATGCTAAGAAGATGGAAAGTTTGTATGTTTCTGCGGGAGTTGGGAGGTTGATGAAGGAAGATGGCGATGCGACGTAGATTCGGCTATCGATGCGATGCAGAGTGAGCTGTTGATGCGACCTACGCGTAAAGGTCGCCGCGGCGCAGACCAAGTTATCGATGCTCCGCAACCCTCCACCTGTCAACGCACCACTCCTCGCTGATGGCATATCATTGATCTAGGAAGCTGGCATCATATCAGCTGCAGAATCAGTTGATGGTTTTATCTCCATGGTGCAGGAAAGGGATGCTGGGACAGGCGTATTGCGGGTCAAAGAGAGAATCGTTGGAGAGCTATCTGAGATTGTCACCACAAGTGCATAACCGAATAGATTATTGTAACACATCTATGCGATCAAGAGGAACAAAATTTCACAAGTACAAATTGTCCGTCTATAAGTCATTGATACGCAACTGCAAAGCACTGAGAAAGCATACGCGTGGGCAATGGAGTAGCTCACCACTGTAGTGCGGAAGATGCGACAATGAGAAGCTAGGGGTTAACAATTCGTAGTCAGCAAGCTCAAATCACAAGCGCCATTCATGATATGACCCACAGAACTATCGGCAGGGCTAAGCTTGATCTGGCTGGACGGCACCAGTAACTGTCTCCCTGCCAGTGCCTTCATACCACGCTTGTGGAAGCGATCGAATTACCGTCGAAGTCGTCAACCGGTAGGCGGGGAAGGCCGATTGGTCGCCGCTCGCTTGAAGATTGAATAGTATTCGAGAGGCAAGAACGCTATGCGCAACAATCTGAGGTCTAAAATGAGGAATATGAGCTTTCGACGGCATATGTACTTGACCAGACTTACACGTTTAGCGTCTCGCTGTATGAGAGCTAGGAGTCTAGTCATTTCTTTGAGGCCATCGTGAAAAGCAAAGAACTCACAGGTAGCACAACAATAACAATCACGTTGACTGTAGATATCACTGTGGAGATGTCAGCATGAAACGGATAAACAATATTTGGTGTTCATACTCGTGATGCAAAACATGTAGAGGAGTCCATCGCGATAGATACTCTTCATTAGTGTGCTATGAGAACCAAGATAGTGTTGATATCTCAGAAATGCCATGATGGACATGAGAACTAGAACCGAATTGTCAGGTAAGGATTTTCGAATTAATTGTTGCCTCACCAATCTCGAAGAACGATAAGAGTCCATATACGAGAGCACTACTGTGAGCTCCCTCAAACACGCAAGGCAGGGCGACTGAAAGAGAATGAATACTAAAACTAAGAAGTGAGCCTTTAGACCTCGCCTCCTGGGATGTCCAAATTGATGGGAGCAGCACTTAGAATCACACACGCCGCCAAGATGACCTGCACCATACGGGTTAGTGGCACACAGGGAAATAGAAATTATCATCGTACCAAACCAAAGGAGAGAAGAATGATAAGATAAGCCTTTTTGCTGCCAGAGAAGACGTAGATCCTGACAATCAATAATACTATTGTGTAAATGTAAATGCACGCTATAACGTGGTGTGCAAAACCCAACCTTCCGAGGCAATGATACCCAAGAAATGTATGCCTGCAAAATGTCATTGCAAAGTCATGTCATGACAGTCGTCTGGACCAACCATTTACAGCATCGTTGAAGGGTGCACACTATATTTCAATGTGAGCCGCAATTGACACTGCACAGATAAAAGTTTTCACATCTTGCGTGCCCCATGTCTTGACAGCGGCTGGTTAGGAATCAGCTTTTGCATTGTAGTGCGCACCAGCGTATCTCACAGTAAGAGGTCATAAGTGCACCAGCAAAAGGTACATATCGTGAAACCGTGAAGGCAGTGCGAATAATTCCCCACTTCCGTCCCCAGGTCCATTGGACCTGGAAGAAATATTAGCGCCGAGGTATGGGTGGCTGGTTTTACTGACTTCAGAGTGTAACGTGACAAAGTAGTCATAAATCTGGTGATACTCATGAGAATCGTTATAATGACACTGAAACGACACGACTTACTAGGATTGCTGATGCAGCGACTTTGGAGTGAAACAGCATTGTGAATTATGACAAGCATTGTCATCAGCCGACCCTTACCGTTAGTATACTTTGATGATTAGAGACATTAGAGAAGGACTATAAAAAGCACGATTGGAGTACCTTTGCTAACTGCAAACCGAAGGTATCTGGGACTGACATTCTCGAGCGGGTGATTATGAATGGCAGTCTGCAGCAAGGAGCAGGTGAAAATAAGTATCGCAGCGTGCACTGCAATATTTATATGGAGAAAAGGCAGTGCTAAATACACGCTGCCAACTCACTTAGTTCCAGTCTCCCCGAGCCATATATCATAGAACGAAGACAGTCGTTCCTCCAACTTACCTCAGGATGGCTGACTATTGTGTGGGGTCTGCAAATCTCATCGGACGTCAAACTCTCTCGGTGCGTACTCCGCCTCGCCTGATGTGCTCACTTGAGTTCAGTATGTTCAAGGTAGTCTACACTCAGATTCTTATTTTGTTCCGGAAAACTAAATTCCTTGGACAGCCGCATTCGAAAGGTATACATCCAGAAACTTTGAGAGTGGAAGTTCACATCTGTTTCTTACTGATGTTTGTCTGTCATCACTCGCGTTCACTAACATCGTGCCTTTGCTTTCTACTACTTTACCCGATGTTTTCAGTTTCACGTTCGTGGCAGATTAACAATGGCAATACATTCATCAGCACAATTTTGGACTTCGTCCACGTTGGGGGGAACAACGTAAATGTCTTGGAGTCGCTACCATCCTGCCTAATTTCTATAACCCTGCGTCTCGCTGATTGAACATGCACACCTGACAGGCTGCCGGGATGGACATTACATGCCATCCTGAAGTTTGAAATCTCAAGAGGTCGAGGTAGTACAGTATACTGGAGCAGCAGTTGATATCTCGCAGTCCGTCATAAAGAGGTCCACGAGGCAGCTGACGATGCGCATTAACATCTTCTCTTCTATGTACTACCCTTAGGCTGTTAGCTATCAAGATTCAAGCGAATTTAAATGTACAAATGATGTTCAGGCTGCACAAGTCTTTTCAGCGTACCTATATATCAGCAGTAGGTAGTGAGCTCTGTCACGAATGTGGCCTTACACGACTTTATTATGAATCTAAGATACATGCGGATTGGCCTATGAGTGGTTTCCAGGCGAGTGACAATCGATATATGTTTGTGGAGACTCCGGGTGATCGGGACAGTAAGAAGTAATAAAAATTGTAATGAATGGAAGAACCGTCAGCCGTGTTGTCTTCCTGGTCGGCCGGGATGATACTATGTGGTAAAGATCAATGATGTGTTGCTACCAACTTTGCAGTGGCCGTAAGGAAAATGGCTCGCGATTGACGGTCCAGCCAGAGCGAGAGGGGTCAAAGAAGAAAGTGATGCGAACGAGACAATACACCTCTCCTATATGAAGAATGAATCCATAGACGGATGACAGAAGAGAATCATCCCTTCTCACTATGAGCAGCAGCACGCAAATAACACAGGTGGAGCGATTAGAATTTTACATAAAGAGTGGAGCGCGAAGCATACCCTGGCACGATAATCGCACGGCAGCTCACAGACCCAGCCGACTACCAAGCGCGTACCGACGTTCGCACATGATATACTTCTCACAGGGGGGACAGATACCATGTATGATGTCATAGACACGGACCAGTTTCGGCTCATCACTACTTCACGAGCAAACGCGAAAGAACATGATCCGGCCCTGTGTCTCAATTTGATCAAGATGGGGCACGAGCACGAGCACGCGGTGAGCTACTCACCCAATGCAATGCGACTGGTTTGGTCTTGACATGGATATGGAATGACAAGAAGCTTATATCCCAGCGACGGCGGATGATACAATGGCCGTAATCAATTGAATGGGCTCTTGCAGGTTTTGCCTAAAATTCTGTCCTCGACAGCAATAACCATTCTGCCAGATCGATTCAGAAGTTTGCCCATTAGTATACGCAGGGTATAAAAGCTGGCCGTCTTCCTACAGTATCCCCCATCCTCAGAGTTCTTATTCGAAATCCCCGTCAGAAGATTCCATATCACCTCACAGAAAAAATGCGTTTCTCCTTCCTCGCCGTTGTTGTTGCTTTGACAGCATCTATGTCTGTCAGTGCATGTAACACATATTGCAAAAAGACTTCAGATTGTTGTTCTAATGAAGTTTGCGGATATAACGTGAGTATAAGCAGTTTGCTGTCCATCCACATGACTCACCCTCCGCGCCTTGTAATTCTAATAGAGTGCCGCTAAAGCTAAAACCTGCCAGATAGTCTCGGAATGAGCCGGCAGCCTGAGCGGCACGCCGCGACAGTAAGTCATGTTTCTGCTTTCGCTTTGGTGCCGTGGTTGATGGTGCAATCCCTAGTTCAGAGACGATCAGTGTATGGTTGCTTCTGAAGAACTTCAAGGCTGCTTGAGCAATGCGGACCTTTGAACATCTGGGAAACTTCATTGTACGATATATGTATCAACATGAATGCATGAAATATGAGTTCTGAAACGTTACGTACTTATTGGTCCGAGTGCAAACTTACACATTCTGAAATGCATCACTTCCAAGAATGAGCATGCGCATGATTCGACGTGCGCACTGTGCATTGGGATTGAGTGATCCCTCTGGTTAAGGGATTTCGAATAACTCGTTATCCCACGTATGAGCAGCTACAGGGCCACCAGGGTATGCCATCTGGGCGAATTGCAGGTTTAAATGCGTGAAAGAAAAAATGACATGCGAGCGAGGCCGAGCATTGGAGGTTGCGGTTGTGGTGTTGGCGAGGACGACAAATGATTTCCCAGATTCCGAAAGAAAATCATTTCGGACTTTGGGAAATCCTTTCTCTTCCTGAGGCCTGAGGACTGGTCTTCAGCGCTGCCTACAGCTGGTTGGTTACACAAGTAGGCGGCTTTGAGTCGACTGTAAGTTCCCGGCACCTTCCGAGCGGACGTTCCCGCCCCTGGACCCGAAGGACTGCGGGTACCCGTCTACTAGCTATAGTATGATTGATCTCAAGAATCACACGACACACAAAACGAGGTACCACTACTGTTTATAAAATCAATTGCAAGGCAGAAGTTCATCAAAGCCTGCAGCAAACTCGGAGGTCTCACCACAGCTCACCACAGGGATCATTCTGGTCAATCCCAATGCCCATGTCGAATCATGTGATGCATTTCAGAATATGTAAGGTTGCACCTGAACCAAAAAGTACGTAACACATATTCCATGCATTCAGGTTGATATATTATACAATGAAGTTTTCCAGATGTTCAAAGGTTCACGTTGCTCAAGCAGCCGTGAAGTTTGTCCAAAGCAATCATACAGTAATCGTCTTCGAACTAGGGATGGTACCATCAACCACGGCACCAAAACGAAGGCAGAAACCTGACTTACTGTCGCGACGTGCCGCTCAGGCTGCCCGCTCAATCGACCAAATAACAGCCTTTGACTCCATTCTATCAGAATTACAAGGCGCGAAGGGTGAGTCATGTGGATGGACAGTAAACTGATTATACTCACGTATGATTGGCAAACATAGTTGTCACAACAATCTGAAGTCTTTTTGCAAGCGTATATGCTACACGCACTGACAGACATAGATGCTGTCAAAGCAACAATAACGGCGACAAAGGAGAAACGCATTTCTAGCGATTGTGATATTTGAATCTTCTGAGGAGAATCTCGAATAAGAACTCTGAGGATAGGGGATATAAAGACCAGCATTTATATCCTGCGCATACTAATGGACTAACCTCTGAATCGATTTGGCAGAATTATTATTGCTGTCGGATGGCAGAAATTTAGGCAGAACCTCCAAGATCCCATTTGATTACGGCCATTGTATCATCCGCCGTCATCGGGATATAAGTTTCTTGTCATTCGATATCCGTGTCAAGCCCCAAACCAATCACATCGAGTCAGGCGAGTAGCTCACCTTGTACGCGCGCTCGTGCCCCATGATGCCATCTTATTGAGACACATGCCCGGATCATGTTCTTCCGCGTTTACTCGTGAAGCAGTGTCCGTCAGACCTACGCTCAAACACCACGCGAACCACCTACAATTCATTTTCGAAACTCTGCAAAGACGTCCATGTTCAGATTACTCCTGGCGCTCAGGAGCCTGGGTCCATTCGGAGAATCATGTATATCCGGATAACATCGTCGTGATCCGTGAGCTTGTGATGTGCGAACCGGGTGTTAACGTGGAACCTATATTGTTAGCTCTATCTCCCGGAAGGCTTCATGGGAGACAATATTAAGTATGTGAGATGCGGAGCCAATTCATTTTTATATGGGAGGAATCGATGAGCATGCGTGTAACAGTGGTGCCCTGTCAGCGCTGATGCCGTTACGAAAGCAGTTGCTGTGCAGACTCTCGCTTATAAGTATACGGACCAGCCAATATTTGGAGCTGTGTCCAAATGGTGGTCAAACCTGCGCATGAAAACCTACAGGCGGAATCAATTAACGTGTGCTATAGTCAGAAAAAGCCACGTACTAGTAATCGAGCGTACTGAGGGTAGTTGCCAGAGTCTTACAACACGATGCCTGCCGGAACGAAAAACTGGTCCTTCCTGGGGCTGAGGTTATGATACTTGTTTCACAGCCAACCAATATGAACCCATTGATTTTTTGCATCCATTCGGTCATCTATTAGTACAATGCGAGAAGTTCAAGAGATCGATGGGCCGATAAATTGTATCAGCCACGACATGCCGAAGTACAGTAAAAACGGTTGCGGCGCCTACTACAAGCGCTGAAAATATGGTTAACACGCGGACACCACGTGTCTACAGTGGCCGACATTTGGATTCAGCAATAGTATCCTGTAGAAGATGCAACTTAACAGCCACTCACCATAGCGGATGTAAGTGACTGCTCCCTCCTCTATGATCTTGCTGGCTGAGTCGCCGAACAAGATCCAATGGCGGTTACAACTCATGGAGCATCTTCAACTCGAAAGGAACCACCTCATGTCGAAATGACGCTCAAGGGTCATGAAGCATGGGTGAACGGCGTAGCTTTCATCCCTAGTACACGTCTCCTCGTCACTTGCTCTTATAATAAAAGTCTTCGGGTGTGGGATTTGGACACGGAGAAACAGGTGGGGGAGCCCTTGTACAACGATTTTGGAGCCCAGACGGTTGCAGCATCCTCCGATGGGCGTTGGATTGTGAGTGGAGCG